TACATTTTACCATTCCAGGATTTCTCAACTGATGAATCATCTCAACCTCTGAAAACAAGTTTTATTCCCATTACGTACATGTACATGGCAATCTTGGCAATCCTGGATATGCAGTTTTAAATATATGGACCACTGGTGGTGAGGGTGCTGGATCCAATAAACAATGATTATTACGGTACATATTCCAAAAGACTAGCTCGCCAATGACACAACAAAAACCATAGACTCGAGCAATAAAATCTAAAGCTGTATGCCAAAGATACATAGTACTATCGTTCAGAATATGGATATCTGGATGAAACGGTGACAGTAAGAGCATATGTAAAGTTACCGATAATATGTATATGGTTCTAGTGGATTAATTTGAATGAAAAGAAATTGAAAGAGATTCTGATACACTGCTACATCTAGCATCCTGTTATCGAGAAGGATACATCCATATAGTAAGCTGTCCAATGAAATTATAAGTCCAGGTTATGCCATTCCTGAATGTGAAATTGATCACAACCAAATATCACTTTGGATTCTAATCTATTGAGTGTGCCTGGGCTATCATCAATAACTTCTGTGCTGATGATCACCGTCATGACCTGAATCACACTCAAATTTAAAATTACCTTCTTGTTACCGGATTTTCTCGCATATTAGCCCTGGGCGTATAACTGAAAGAAGGGGTAATTTTGTCTGTTATTTTACCTCTTATTTTTCGGCATGGGCGTATAAGTGTACTACTTTCGATTTTTGGCCCAGTGGGTGTAAAGGTGAGAAGAGCTCAAAGACTATCGTACCTACTGTTGTAGTCCTACAACCTTGGACTTAATGTTGAAACAAAGTAACAACAGAACGATCCACCACTGCCACTTACGGCACAGCGTTGAACTTAATGTTGAAACAAAGTAAAGACAGAACGATCTGCCAGTGACAAAATACTCTTGAATTTATTGAAATAATCAATAAATAGCCATTGTTATAGGCCCATGGGCGTATAAGCGTACTGCATTCGATTTTTGGCCCATGGGCCTAAATTTAGGGGGGCGTATATGCAAGAAAATCCGGTATCATAAAGTGACATTTGAAATATAGACAAAACTATGTTAAATTAACATAAACATAAAGTTGGCATGCATCATGACTCGAATGAGGATGATGATAATGGACCAAGTTTTTAAAGCTACATCAGTCAAGGCTTTTGATTTCCTTGATCTTTTCCTACTTAATTTTTACTAAATTTCTTTTTTTTTTGAATTTTGCAATTATCAATTTTTGCAGCTTATTTTTCAAATTTCTTTTATTAATTTTCCACAACTTGTTAATCCGCAAAATATAATACCATGCAAAAATTACCAGGAGTACAGTATTCATAAACCCTTGCTTTTCTAAAATTATAGTGGTTTGTAATTCTTTTGATTAACAATTGTAAAGAATATGTGCATATTCTTTTGTCATCATTGACTTGAAACAATATCAGAGGACGAGGTCTTAGATTTTGTCAATCATAAAAAGTCTGCGAACTAGACTCTTGATTTGAACTATGTTCAATATCAATTTCATTCATCTTTGATCTCGTAGGAGCTGTTAAACAAACATGTAAATATGTGCAATTATACTGTAGATACACTTATTTTGATGCTACTCAATTTGACGGATTTGCTCAATTCTAAATATTGGTGGCTCTTTAATTTTTGTAGATGTTTATGTCATTAGGACAGGTGTTTACAAAAATATTTTCTGTATTTCTTTTGGAATAATGTAGAATTGATGACATATTGTCAGGAAAAGGGGCCCCTGGAGTTTAATTTCTGAAGTGCATTGGACAAAAATTCCAAACTGAAATTTGATGGATTCTTAATTTGGCGGATTTTCTGAATCCGCCAATCCGTCATATTAAAACAGGAGCCAAAGTAAGTGTATCTACAGTAGCTAGATTCCTACAAGAGTATTTAAGATATTGTATGTAAAAGTTCACCCTATTATATCCAGATGAGTTATGCAGTTTCATAAATTTTATTCATCAACTCTTATTCATTAAGCCACACTGATTATTTTTTATCTTACATAGATATTATATACACCATGTGAACTTGAGAAGATTTATCTATATAATTTATTTCATACTGGCGACAGTTGTGCTGGTGCTTGTACACAGGTTAAAATTTAAGTATAACTAATCATTGGTGAATGTAAGTGCTTGTTCTTGAACTCTTTTATGTGCATTTTACACTTCTTGGGTGTTTGAAGATGTGCACACTGCACAGCAAAAAATTAACTTCTTATTGCTGTGGGGACTTTGGTACAACAGCAACAATAAAAATAAAAATGTCAAAGCATTATCAGATTATGAAACAATATTGATTAATTTGTGTGTCTGTATATTAAAATCCTCAACCCTCCCAAAATAATCCATATTTATGAATATTTGTAAAAAAAATGGTGAACAATTTTTTCTTGGTTGCAAATATGGTGTCTGATTTTAAGGATACTATAATCCAGTTTGTCTACAATGGAAAAAAAACAAACTTTAAACAATGGTTGCTATGGTAAAACAAGTTAGTGGTTCTCATGGCAACGGCAAATCAGTAATATCAAAGTTATTTAATGCCAAAAGTATGGATGTATTATAATTATGCAATGTTTGATGGCTGCTCCTTACCATCTATAGTTTCTGAACTTTCTTAAATTTATTGAATTGAGCAATTTGAATGGTTTGTAATCTTCAAACTTCAAACCAACAAGGTAACCAATGACATGTTGTATATCTTCATGATACTATATTAGAACATTTATATTAAAGGTTACCTGCTGAGTCCAAATATAGTGTTAGAATTTTATCATAGCATTATCCAGGGTGTCTAGAAGAGATCAAATCACATTGAATAACTCTTGCTATGGTTAACCCAACATCTGGTTTCCATAGTAACAAAAATAGATATGTCATACAGTAATCACATGAAGTTGACTCGTGAAATTTGAGATTTTGGCAGTGTTTAATGACATCTGAAAGACATATTTTGTTCAATTTTTCGGTTTAAAGTTCATAAATTGTTGTCATTTCCTAAGTTTAAATTTTCTTAGTAACCATCAATATGCTGTAAAAAGTTAGTATCTTAAAAAATGTTTTCATATTTGAATATTCAATAGGTAAGTTTGATTAACTAATTCCAAATATGGTGTCAGATTGTTATATTTCTGTAACCTTGTAGTTGCGGCTATACAATGAACAAAATCCCCTTTATTCATCGTTGCTATGGCAACACAGTGGACATACATGTAGTTGCCATAGCATCAATTAAGCAGAAATATGAAAGGGTAATCACACATCATCAGAAAAAGAATTGATTAAGACCGAACAGTGTTTGATGGTTCTTACCATCCATTATTTTTTCTCTAAAGTCATTAATGTATTGAAAGAGATCCTTATTTCCTACATACCAACCTGCGTAGTAAACTTTAACATGTAATATAATTTTGTAAAATCTAAATATGTTTATAACATCGATCTCAGTAATAGATAAAAATGACATGCTGAGTCCAAAAATGGTGTCAGATTTTAGAAAGGACATAATTCAAAAGGTCTTCAGTTGAGAAAGGCAACTAAATCAGTCGTTGCTATGGCAACCAAGTGGACATAGTTACCATAGAAATGGCCAAATAAAAATATTAGAATGTTATCAAACGTCATTGGTCAAAAAAGTGAATAAAATTGGACAATGTATGATACTGTTGCTCAACTTCTATTTATCAATTAATTAATTTAGTTTTTGTTTTCTAAAAATCACTTTTGATATTTTTATACGATACCTTAAAAACCTGTATAATAAGAAATAACATGCTGTATCTTTTCCTCAAATGTGAATATTTTTATGAAAACTTCAATACAAGGTATAAATGACCTGCTGAGTCCAAAAACAGTGTCAGATTTTAAAGATAACATAATCCGAGAGGTCTACAGTTGACCAAACCAACTGAAACTGCTGTTGCTATGGCAACAAGGTGGACATAGTTACCATAGCAACAACCATAAAGAAATGTTTGGAGGTCATCATACATCGTTGTTATGTAAAGTGTTGAAGATTTGACAATATTTGATACTGTTGCACAACATTTATTTATCTATTTAATTTCTTTTAATTTTCAAAAAACTGCTAAATTTGAGTTTTTTTATGTGGGTCCTTACAAACCTGCATAGTAAGAAATAAACTGCTGTATCTTTATATAAAATTTGAATTTTTTCATGAAAATTTCAATTTCAGGTAATTTTGACCTGCTGAGTCCAAATATGATGTCAGATTTTAGTAATATGGTAATCTTGGGCGTCTACAGTAGACTCAACCAGCTGAAATTACCGTTGCTATGGCAACAAGAGAGACATAGTTACCATAGCAACAACAAATAAAATTTGTCACAAATCTTTCATACATCATAAGTATGAAATTTGACCAAGATCTGGTCATGTTTGATAATTTTGGTAAGCCCCTAAAAAAACCTGAATAACTAATCACAGACCTATAGTAATTAAGATCGTGAACACACGCAAAAGTAAATTCACTTTGGATAGAAGGGAATACGTTTTTTGCTTCCTTATTCGGCTTAAATCAACTGAACTTTAATATTGAATTTAGGTGAGCTCATACTTACATCAGCTTCATTACAAACGACATTAGTATTATACTTAAGACAAGGCCTATAGTAAAAGTACAAAAGTTGATAAATGGAACATATCAAATATTTATTGCTATAAAAGGATGAAATCGAACAGACAGCAGAAAATGTAAAACAAAGTTATTTTTCGTAAGTTCACGAAATCCACTTTAGGCTTTGTCTGGCGTGATACATGGAGATAAAAATATAATCATCGAATGTAAAAAAACATCAAAAACTATTTGCCCCGAGCATAAATGATAGCTTTAAAGGTTATAAAAAGATGGAGAAATGGCGATCCTTTGACTGAATTACTCGTAATAAAATGTGTTTTTGATATGAAGTGGCTTCATTCATTTCAGAAGGGGACATATAATGGCTGGGTGTAATTCGATATTGGCAGCCCTGGTAGCACTGACTCTGTGTCATTTCTCCCAAGGTAAGTTTTAATGTGTTCTAATATGATTTCAGCAGTTATGATAATGTCACATTTCTATTATATTTACTTAAATGAATGGTCCTACTATTTCATGTTGCTATCATAACAAACAAAACAGGCCGATGTACAAAATGTATCTTAAAATATTACTTACATTCTAATGTAAATTAATTAAGCCAAGTAGGCTGAGTTGAAAAAATCTCAAATCAATCTCAAACAGAATGTTTAAATCATCATGTCATGATAACGTGGTTACAACAATTAATAAGGAAGCAATTAAGTAAAAATGTGTAGAGTTACAAACCGATCACGTTGTGGACACCATGACAAAGCCTGACAAGTAAAAAAGTAACCCTACTAGGTCTACCTGAAATAAATTATTTGTTATCATACACAAAAACAAATCAGATCAATGGATTGTTGTAAATAATGTTTTATTGAAATTGGGTAATCATGTCCTAATCCATTAACCTAGATCGATACAACTGACCTTTCAATGTGCTTTTACAGGACATAACTTACGAGTAAACTGGTGTTATATTGTATTTATTATTTATTATAGTGTCACGCCATAAAATATTACATAGTACTAAAACTATATAGGGTCTCATGGCACATTTCCTGAATATGCATTTAATCACTTGCTTTATTTATGGTTCATAATATTCATCATTCTTAATAAGACCATTTATTTTACGGAATAGATGTTCACACGTGAGAAAAGTAGAATAGCTAAAGGCATTTTATAACTCTTATAATATGACTACCATTATTATAGTCTTGCATGGACTACATAAGTCATAACATGTGACCCCATGCTGTACAAAAAGTCATTTTGTCTGTCATTTGATACCAACTGCGCAAACAGACAATATATGGGTAAATGATGTATGCCGTCATCATTCTTCGATGGAGCTGTGTGAACAGAAATCATTTGCAAATGCGCAATTCATTTTAGAACACTACTATACTATGTATAATCATCAAAAAGGTTCATAGAGATCATGTTCACACAAAATTTCATTTCATTTTAGATGATTCACATGATTATTAAGTAGTATGTCATATCAATTCATATTACGAATATGCTTGGCTGTAAGATGCGATCGATGAGTATAAGAATGCTATCATTCCATATAATACTAATTAAACAATAGCTCTGGGGGCGATCAGTGACCTGTGCTTATGTTTAACATTAATTTTATAAAAACCGCTTTAAATAATCTACATTCCGTCTTAATAATGAGTCCTGAAAAGAACTTATTGAAATGGTGTATTCATACACCATCATCATATACATGTATGAAAAACAAATAATGATAGGTAATTGTTGTATGTCCACTTATGTTTTATCACAAAAGTATTATATTGAATTATATTATATCAAAGTACAATTATTTACATCTTTGTATTATCCAGGTACATTTGTTAAACAAGGGGAATTGTTTGAAGTCGCCGAGAGTGATATACCGAATGCCTGGAGAAAACTCTTTATTCAAGCGGACAACATTTTCGAAAATGGCTACATAGCGGGCTTCACTGCCTTCTTTCACAATACAGCCCCAATTCGACTTCAGGTGTGGGAGCGGAAGAATGAATCTCTTCCAAATACCTATACACTTAGGTCTGAGAGACGAGTTATCCCCGAGGGAACTGGCTTGCAAACAGTAAGTGGAAGTAACTCTTCGCAAATCGATTGTTTAGCTTGCCTTCAAGACCCTGGACCCCTCTCCTTATCTACTTTACACCAGGGTCTTGTAATGACAGAGGTTTTCTGACTGATGTTAAAGGCAGAATCTGATCTATAAGGGGTAACAAAATTACAAGCAACATGTATAATTGACCTACCAATCTATTCCTTACAATATCAAATACAATATCTCCCAAAAGATTCACAATATGTTATAAATTGGTGAAGTTATTAATGATTCAAAGTGCAAAAATTAGTGAAAAATGTTTAAATTCTCCCAAATAATAAGAATGGTAACCATTCTTATAGAAACATAATACATTATTGTAAAAATCTTTAGTTTTCCTGGAATAAAGTATGCACTTTTGTGATTTTAGAAAATAGACATGACAAGGAATGACATGAGCAAAAAATATTCTAAAATTGAAACAATTTTTTGTTAAGCCTGCTCGCTATGTCTGATTCTCTCTTTAATTATTCATGCACATTGCTATTGTGTAGACAGTGGTATTTTAGTGTGACCATGAATTGTCAATCACAAAATTCCAGGTGTCACATTTGTATGACAACTTTTATATTTAAACTAAGTTGGGCAACAGTAAGAAAAGATATAGTAAATAGTAATTATAGTCATAAATATTTTCGATATAAAAACAAGAACCACAAGAACTCATTTTAAATGAATCAAACCATTTCCACTTCCGATGATCTAGAGGGTAGCACCTGTAGTGAAACTGTGATTACAAGGCTGTGTTATATTGGAAAAGTATATAAGGGGGGGGTCCACATTCTTGAAGCAAGACTATTGTTTAGCAAACCCTATTGAGCTTCATTTGAAAATCCAGATGGCAACAATTAAAATATAATGTGTTTCAGGTGAGCTTTGACCCATCGGAGTTCCTCTATACACTACCAGGGGATCGTTATGGTTATTTCAATGAGGACAAGAACGCAACTATAGGCTACAGGGTGGTAGAGAAAGACGACCCCGCTGCTGTAGAATGGTCCTCTATACGAGACAGCTGGCCTCAGGTTAACGATTCTTGGAAGTTCGATAAACTCAAACTTGGCTACCAGTTTGCCATAGAGCTTTCAGTTTACATCGGTAAGTATCTTATTTGTGTCGTCGTGAAGCAATCGATCATTAAAATGACATCATTCTAGGCTGAAGTCACATGCATGATTGAAATTAATGTATTTTGAGGTCCTTCAATGTATTTTCTTGATCATTGTCTACCAAATACGTATTAGGCATAATAATAAATAATCTAGCATAATTATTTACTTGTTTAAATCAGAGCAAAATAAATCATCATTTCCCTTTGGGTGCATCACATGCTTCATGCATTGAAATATTTCTTTAAAATATATTTTTACTGTTACAGAAGTTGATGATTGTGTCAACGTGACTTGCCTCAATGGAGGTGTGTGCGTTGATGGATTTGATAATTACACCTGCCATTGCAAAAATAACTACATTGGAGTCGATTGTGAAAAGTGTAAGTATCTTCTAAGCATATTAATAATATATAGTGTGCTTATATGATTCCCGTAATATGTTACTTGTTTTATGTAAAATCTTTTTTTTCATTTCTAAGGCTTCACATTTTAGTTGACAATTTTATATGTATTTATCAAACTGTGATTTAAGTGCTGCTATTCTAGTATTTATTTTTCAGCCGCCACTGAAGATCAATGTGCCACGCTTCCCTGTCAGAATAGCGGTGCATGTATAGATATGATGAATGATTACTTCTGTAGTTGCCCTCCTCAGTACACCGGTAGAAACTGTCAGATAGGTTAGTATTTTTATCACGAAATTTAATGTTGACCTACAATAAGTATATGTATAATGGTAGTTTTTATATGTAATATTATAACATGTAACTCAGCAATTTTGTTTGAAATACTATTAATTCACCATATTCTACAATGTAAATTGTAAAACAACCCTAGAGGTGAACCCCCGCTACCCACTTTTTGGTGCTAGCTTTGCTCGCAGTGGTGCAAACCCAAATCGCACCCCTTGGCAAGTGTTGGCTAAGCCCCTGCAGACGATATGATAAACCATCATTTTACCTATTCTATTTCAGCAACAATATGCCCAAATATAACTGAACCAGAAAACAGTGTGCTGACAGTGGGATCCTTGAACAACAACCTCCCAGGAAGTACTGTGGAGTTCAGCTGTGACTCTGGCTACCATCTAAATGGTTACACCAGATTGACTTGTCTTACCACTGGCAGTTGGGATGCAGACGTTCCTACGTGTAATGGTAAATGGCCTGATTTTCGTGTTTACTCTTTTAGACTACCGATCAAATGCAGTTTTGTGGGGCATGGAATTTGAACAACAATGTTAGTGGATTACCTAAAGTTAGGTGCACTGAATTATTGTACGCTATCGCATTTCTAGGCACATTTATATTTTCAACCCTCCCTTAACCTATTTGCAGTCAATGTGTGTCCTAATGTAACTGCACCTGAGTTTTCCACTGCACGTGATGAAGATCGCAACATCACAGCTGAAGCAGGCGAGGACATAGTTGATAACTCAGTAGGAGATACTATTGTATTTGCATGTGACACAGGTTATCATACCGTGGGATCAGACGTTATAACATGTACCAAAGATGGCCACTGGGATTACCCTCCCATTGCAATGAAATGTGAAGGTAAATACCCTTCTCCTGGAGATCTATATTGATCCAATACCCCAAAATGAGGGATATTGATCTCCTTTATCATCTATATTTGATAGATTACCTTTATCAAATATCTTTAATGATAAAAGCATTTACTCCTTTGTTAAGCCTGTGTTATCATGGTTTATCATGTAACATAAATTGACATATACATATAGTATAACATGGTAATATCTAATGTTGGTATTCATTTTGTATAGAGAACAGATGCCCAGATTTGACCGTACCAAACAATGCCCAGATTAGTACGGGCACAGGAAGTGGAAACATTGTTGGGCATAAGGTACTCTTCGAATGTGACAGTGACTTCACTCTCCTTGGATCACCAGAGCTAATTTGCAATACTTCAGGATTATGGGACAAGCCTGCTCCATACTGTCAAGGTACGTTTGGAATTTTTTATAAGGTTTCTAATAGTAACACTTTGTGACATGATTAATATAAGCCTTATATTAATCATGTCACAAAGTGTTACAAAGTGTTCCCTGAGGGAATCCAAATGAGCAATTTGGCAAGACAAAGTTCATTCTCTTATCCTGCTTTACAGAGATCAAATGTCCAGCTATTGTGCTGCCTGTTCAAGCGTCTGTCTCTGCTGGGTCCCTGACGGAGAGAAGCAAAGGTGACTCCATTACATTCACCTGTGGTAATGGATTTGTTTTGCATGGCGCAGCAACCATTACATGCAAAGAAAATGGTCAATGGAATTCCAATGCACCTATTTGTGAAGGTGAGCTACACCTTTAAAATAAACATGACTTAACAACACACACTATATACTTGCATATAGCAAATACTATGCCAATTATCTGTAATATGTAACATGAATAACAGAGGCAACAATGGATGCCTTTCACATTATTTTGTTTTCTGATTGTCGTCTTAGAATCTCTTAAAATGTAACAATATGATAACTACTGTATGAGTAATATTTCTCTTTTCAGTTATCTCATGTCCAACTCTAAAGGTACCAGACAATGGTATGGTTGCATCCTCTCCATTGAGTACCATTGTAGGAACAATAGTTGTGTTTGAATGTGATGCTGGTTTCAATCTCTTGGGAGCACAATCGATTCGATGCCAAAGTAATGGAGCCTGGACCAATAATGTACCCTTTTGTAGTGGTGAGTCACTTTGTATTGCTACTTATGCATGGACGATGTCACATCCTCGTAACACCACTACATTCTTACTAGTTTACTTGTTTCACACACTGTTCTAAGTGCATGGCGTCATGAATCCATACTCTTTTCAGAGATAGCAGCGATTACATGTCCAGATTTAAAACTACCGCTAAATGCAAATTTGACTAATGGCACACTGACTAACAACACAGTGAACTCATCAGTAGAAGTAGAATGTATTGATAGATATACTATCATGGGATCTTCAGTTCTTACTTGCATGTCAGATGGTGCATGGGATACACATCTTCCTTTCTGCCAGAGTGAGTTATATTTTCCCTATGTCCTGATATCTTTTCGAAATTAAGCACACACCAATTCAATTGTATTTAAACTATATAACGATATGTGTGTATCACAATTTACAGAAGTAGAAGATGTCACGTGTCCCGATGTTATCCAACCGCTAAACTCTGAACTAACAGCAGGATCACTAACAGAAAACAAAATAAATTCCACTGTTAAGATAGGATGCGTGGATGGGCATACTCTTGTAGGATCTTCGGTTCTTACTTGCATGTCTAATGGTGCATGGGATGCAAATGTTCCATATTGTCAAAGTGAGTTATGTCTAGATCATCGGTGGCAGAACACATTCAATGTCTCTTTATCTTTTCCGATTTGAAGAATTAACGTACCCTTATTTTACTTTTAATTTCTATGCTTTCTATGTATATCGTTTGTTTGTTTGTTTGTTTGTTTGTTTGTTTGTTTGTTTGTTTGTTTGTTTGTTTAAATATTAACCAACTTTACAGGAATAGAAGGAGTTACATGTCCAGATGTCATCCTCCCCATAAATTCGAAAGTAACTACTGGAGCAGTAAACGGAAACCAGATAAATTCCACTGTTGAAATGGAATGTCTCGATGGATATTCTCTCATTGGCTCTACAGTTCTTACTTGCATGTCAAATGGTGCATGGGATATAAATGTTCCATATTGTCAGAGTGAGTTTTGATTTGAAGTACACACCATTAATCATACAACAAGATGCGTATAAAGATAATACACTTTTGCATGATCTTACGATAGTAACATGAATGTCTAGAGGTTATCTAGAAACATATAAGCATCTTCCAATATATCTTACATCATCCATCCTCTCTCATATTGTCATATTGTCACCTAAATCTATTTTAAATTCTCATTTTCGCTAAAACAATATTGTTCTTGGAAACCACAACATGTATTTATGATAAAACACAATATAATTCACGTTATAATAAAAATTACAGAAGTAAAAGATGTCACGTGTCCCGATGTTATCCAACCGATGAACTCTGAACTAACTGCAGGATCACTAACAGGAAACAAAATAAATTCCACTGTTGAAATAAAATGTTTGGATGGATTTACTCTTATGGGATCTTCGGTTCTTACTTGCATGTCTCATGGTGCATGGGATGCAAATGTTCCATTTTGTCGAAGTGAGTTTTATCACGATATGTTGAAATACTTTTACTGTTACAATGCACAAAACATTTTTCTATCATGATATTTTTAAATTATGAACATTTTTTCTTATATTCTTCTACCTATTTGCATGTTTCTGTATTCTTAAAAACCTTTTGAAATGACTCTCTTGTCTTTTCTGCACATGTTTGTGTGACATTTAACACTCAATATTTGCAGAAGTAGAAGATGTCACGTGTCCCGATGTTATCCAACCGATGAACTCTGAACTAACAGCAGGATCACTAACAGGAAACAAAATAAATTCCACTGTTGGAATAAAATGTTTGGATGGATTTACTCTTATGGGATCTTCGGTTCTTACTTGCATGTCTAAAGGTGCATGGGATGCAAATGTTCCATTTTGTCAACGTGAGTTTTATCAAGTAATGTACAGGGTGTTTAATAATGACCGTTCCCCCATCCACAGCCAATCCTAGATCACATGACCCTAAAATCTTTGATTGAACTTTGGACTTAATATTGCATGATTGCTCATTGGGATTATTTTTGAACTTATGTTTGGTTGTCACCATTACCCTCAATTGCCATATGGCCGCCATTTGTAATGAATGTAAAGAGAATATAACAAACAATTGTATAATCCATTGTATCATTTATAGGTCTCTGGGTATTTCTTATTTTATTTGACAAAGCTTTCTTCCAAATCATCCATCAAATGTTATAATTAACTATATAGTTCTAAAAGGCAACACAGCATTTATTTTTAGAAATTGTGGCTGTTCGATTTTATGCCATTGATCACATGGAGATTGGCTGTTGTTGGGAGACGGTCGTAATGACACACCCTGTATACATACTGTATCAACATTGCACACAACGTTGTTTTTTCTGTCATGATATTTTTTAAATTATAAGTCAATTTGCATTTTTATTTACATTCCCCTAGCTATTTGCAATTTTCTTTGTTCTTGAAAACCTTTCAAATAATTCCCTCTGTCTCTCTTTACATGTTTGTGTGTCATTTAACAATTACGTAATTTATAGAAGTAGAAGATGTCGCGTGTCCTGATGTTATCCAACCGATGAACTCTGAACTAACAGCAGGATCACTAACAGGAAACAAAATAAATTCCACTGTTGGAATAAAATGTTTGGATGGATTTACTCTTATGGGATCTTCAATTCTTACTTGCATGCCAGATGGTGCATGGGATCAAAATGTACCGTTTTGTAGTAGTAAGTAAACTAGTGCATGTAGCTCTTGTTATTGTTTGAAACTTCAATCTACCCATCTATCTTAACTGCATGGTTGACAGTATATGGAATAGAAAAATTGACATTTGCAACTTAAACAAGCCTAAATTTACATAATTCTTATGTATTCTAGAAATTCAATGCCCTGTAGTTATCCAACCTGCAAATGGTGCAGCATCAGGAAATGACAGAGACAAAGATAGTAGAGTTACATTTACCTGTTCAAGTGACCATGTTCTAAAAGGATCCGACACTATAACATGCCAAGCTAACGGACAATGGAGTGGAAATGTTCCTTTTTGTGACCAGAGTAAATATGAATTAAACATTATTAAAACTTGAGATTTTTCATTAGAATAAAAAACCCTATCGAAATATAACCACTTGGTTACATGTCTAGTCATGTTAAATGATTCGTTTCTAATTCTATCGTATAACATTGGTTCATTATTCTCTTTGAATTTTAGAACCAACTGGTGATAACGGGACTGATGCCACAACTGTAACATCGACGGTTGTCACGGCAACAAACCCAGTATCTACGTTACCAACAACAACAGAGCCAGAGGTTACCACGGAGAAAGACAACAAGGGTGGAAATGGTGTCACTTGCCCACCTCAAACTGCAGCCCAAACTGCAGAGCAAAATGACCTTTATTTATTCATTATACTCATCCTAGTTGGAGTTATAGTTTTACTAGTATTAATAGGATTCTTTATGCTTATTTACTTATGCAGAAGGTCATATACAGTGTCGAAATACTATGCATATAACCCATATCTTACGAACAATAAAATGGTTGACCCTGAGAGGCAATCTGGAGGTACTGATGCAAGAAACGGCCAACAGCAGGGTAGTCCTAGAAGCCCAACGGCTTCTATTGGAGGGGAGAAAAACAATGGTTTTAAATTTGAAACCAATGAGAATGCAATGTAATGTTAAATATGGTCGCACCAGTGTAAGATAATTAAATTCTGTGTTTAGCATAATTTTAATTCTAATGGAGAATGATATTTATTTATATTTTGGGCTAATGAAATGTATACAAAGCGCACATTTCTGTCAAAACAGATGGCTTGTGTGTGAGATTCACGAATTGTCATTTATTTATTTTATTGATAGTTGTATTTTGAAATATGCTAAACGTAGGACTTGTATTTTGTCTCTTTTAACACAAATTATATCAAACAACATTTCAGAAAAGCAGAGATTAACTTCTTTATAAACTATTATACATAGTACTATAGTACGAGTATCTACCAAAGTTGTGTCGAAACAACAATATGCAAATATTTCATTGCATAGAACGAATATTTCTAAAGTTTTTACTTTTATATTAACTGATGTCGATGTTATACTATTTTCTGAAAATAAGATCTTGTTATTTGTTCAGGCCTTCGTATATATACATACATTTTATGGTGCTAAGATCGGATATGACAGTTAACTGATCAAACTGATGTAAAATGTAAACTATTTTCAATTTACACGATTTGTCTTATACTAATATGTACATATTTTGCAAAGATGTCTGTAAATATTTTATAACTTATATTTCTATTTATACTCAGTTTCAACATTCCAATATGATCAATATGAGAAGTCATACTTTGCTTACGTGTTGTATATATTGAGGGAATGGCTCTCACCAGGTGGCAACCCTGGACTGTTCCTGCATCAATGCACCACGTTTCACATCATTTGACTATGAATGCTGTATCTTGTATGAGCACAAGTCCACAACTATTTTAATGTCAGATGATTGGTATTATTTCTCCAGTATGATAGGAATGTTACGTCGTATTGTGCTTATGGAGTGCAACAGACACTGCCTCTTATGGATCATTGTTCTGGATAATAGTTTTTGTTCACTTATGTTTTAATGCTAGTTTTAATTTTTTAAATACCCTTTGACATGGGCACCCTCAAATTAAATTTATTGCACATTTATGCAAAGAAATTTCTTTTAGTTCAATTATCCAATTTTTACTTATCAATGCAGTATTTACATCATATGTTTATCAGATGCAATATGAAGTTGCTATGGTCCGCCATCTATACGAGTAACGAAGGTGATTTAATGTGAAACTAGTAAAAGGTATTTCTGACGTACAAGAATCGTTTAGTGAATGTTTTCAACTTGGTACAGCAGGAATTCCAGGTATTGTCTGCGTTTAGAGAATGTACTTCGCAATGTATGGTTGTGTGTGGTCAAAATTTCATAGTCGTTTTTAAATTTGATACAACTTAATGATTCTTGAAAGATATATGTTTCCAATTTTCAGCATTTTCAGTATTTTAATACGATGCAATACGATACATGTTTGTTCAAACCAGACTAGATGCTAGCAATAGTTGCCATATGATGAAAACAGATGCTCGACTCAAACAAAATTAGGTGGACTGATCACCTTAGATTACTACGCGAATTAGTTCATTTGGACAATTGAGATGACGTCTTGAGATTCCTGCTAATAATGATTAAGATTTACCATGTTTTTTATGTTATCATACTACTTACAGAAAACCAAAGAGCTGTACTCAATTTTATGATTGACCCTCTTTTATCATTATGTATTTATTGATGAATGTACGTGTATTTATTATCTTGGTCAAGGTATTGTTTATATGGCTAAGAACGATGTATATTTTGTAGGATAATGTTTATTAAAAACAAGTAAGTTTATAAGACAAGTAGTTTACGGAATCACAAATTTGTTTCTTAAATGTATATATCATTGTGATGATTACAATATACAATATACAGTGTCCCCCATTATATACGATCGACTGAGATATTTTGTTGATGTTTTTAAAAAAACTATTTATACAGATTCAAATGATATCATTGTGCAAGAGTAATCCAGGATATAATTCTACGATACACACTCTTAAATTGTAGTGCAGAATGTGTAGTACACAAACAATTCTGTGTTTTGTACTTAAACAGTTAAATACCGTGACATGAAAAGCTAAAGAGAATATATTTTGTACAAATCAAATCTAGCGTTTGGTGTTTCTTGTTAATTGTTTATGCATGTGCATATGCACGAATGAAGGATACAATTACGTATTTTAATTTATAAATATTACCAATAAATTGTTCAACTTTGTGCCTTCACATACAGTGTGTCCTGAAAGTATTGGACCCCCCCCCCCCGTATAAAGTCTTAAAAGGTTTTAAGATGATTAAAAAATTCTACACCCCTATTTGAAGCGCTTTTAAGGTCATATCCGAAAAGAATGGTCCTTTCCATGTAGCTTTGAAATCTCATTAAAGTCTCGTTTTAATGTGATTTTAGGAGATCTGCATTTTAACCATTAAAGACTAACATTGTTTTCTATTTGATGGCATATTTGAATTCTGTGTGTAATTTCCTATCAGAACAACTTTGGTTTGCACCATTATTTACCTTTATTCAAATTCTAATGATTTTCTAGTTGTCTAAAAAGGTTGGGCTAAATCCCTTTTGACACAATGCTGAAAAACCTTAAAAGTTCATTTACAAGGATCGATCACTAATGTGAAATCACAATCCACATGTCAATAAGACAGTATAGTTATATTCCAATGGTGTTTCAAGTTGATCCAAATGAAATTACTTCTTCAATCAAGAAATTAAGTGACTCTGGCAATACATTTACATGCATTCTAGCCCTACCCTAGCCCTATCAATACCCATGATGCCATCTATTTTCCATTAATATGGAAAAGGTCAATTAAGCCTTTCGTGGTTCGCCAAAAGTTCCGAAGCGTTTGCTCTAAAAATCATAATATTTTATGAATATTGTTCATATTTGGCCACAACCACCCCATATACAGTGTGTCTCAAAAAACGCAACAAACAAAAACATTTTTTTGGCTCACACAGCGAGCCTATGGGATCGACCAGGCGTCCGTCCGTCCGTTGGTCCGTCCGTCTGTCGGTCCGTCCGTCCGTCCGTCCGTCAACATTGGTCGCATAAATTAAAACTGCTATTCGGATTGAGTCATATCCACAGTCATTTTATGCATATCCATAATGCCTATTTGACCTATCATCGCCATTTCCCAAGTTCGCCCGGTTTCCGAGAAATTGCTGATTTTGACGTCAAAAGGTCAAATTTTCTGTAAATACTTGACACTTTGTTGAAGTAGAAGTTTCAAATAACTTGTAGTAGTTGCTGTATATGCAACTTATGTCCTCTGAAGATTTCAAAGCTCTCGGAATTACAGTTTTGGTGTTTACTCTATAAAATTTGACAAAAAGTAGGACTTGGACATTTTCAGGAAACTTTCTTATGTATAAAGTCAATGGTAGGTTTTGTGATTGACAAGCTTCTCAAAGTTTGCCTTATACTTGATCATTTCTTGCAATGAATTACACCATAACTAGATTTAAGCATTCCCTACATATTGCCCAATATATGCCAGCATCAAATTTTTACCGTTTTTGAGATATTTGACGTCAAAAAACAGTAAAAATAAGTTATTTTCAACTTGCTTCAATTTGACCAAATCTTTTTTAAAAAATCATCTACAAGTTACTAGGAGTTCAAATCTGACATTAATTTTAGGATTTGACCTTTACTTGACCTTTCAAGCTAGGTCACACAACTGTGCTGTCTAAGTTTCTCAAAGTTCGAGACTACAAATCCAAATCAATATTTTTGTTTGAAAGTCAGGATAAACATTCCTCTGAAGGTTCCAATCTGTGAGCACAGGACCGCGGGTCCTATTTTTTTCTTAGTAGAACTGAGTCTGAATGTATGTCATGTAAGTCTTGTGACCAAAAGTTAATCCGCAGCCCAATTACATAATGGCTTTATTGTAAATTAAATGAAGAAATTGATGTAATTATCACTGGATTTGTGGAATTGCAATGTTTTGGTTTGTTGCGTTTTTGAGACGCACTGTATAGTAGTTTCATTTTGTGTAAAAATAAACAATAAATCTGACCAGCAACATAGGTGTCTGGTTACCATAGCAACATGACAACAGGGTAGGTGACAATTAAACGTTATTCCGAAATACAGCAATAATTGAAGAGCTATTTCAGATCATTTCAATTCGTGGAGTTTCACCCCCAGAAAATCTCATACAAGAGGTAATTATCGTTTATGAGGGCAAAAACTGTAATTTCAAGAGCTTTGAAATCTTCAGAGAACATAAGTTGCATATACAGCAACTACTACAAGTTATTTGAAAGTTCTGAATGTGGATATGACTCAATCCGAATAGCAGTTTTAATTTGTGTGGCCAATGTTGACGGACGGACGGACCAACGGACGGACGGACACCTGGTCGATCCCATAGGCTCACTGTGTGAGCCAAAAACAAAGTTTTGTTTTGTTTGTGGTGATAAAAAATCGGATTACAGTACATACAGAGCATCGATTGCGTTTGATATTTTTCATACTACATAAAAAATATGATTGACATCAGGTTTTAAAAGGCCGATGTTAGATGTGTGTTATCTATGCAATGTAATGCTCTTTTTATGCATATACCATTTGTCTAATATTTTGTATCCTCCAACACACTGTTTAAATTAACATTGCTGATGCATAATTTGTTTGAGATTTCGCCAGAAAGTGCCCTTCAGGGTTACCTCTTAAATGACATACAATGAAAACATTAGACAAAATATTGTTATTTTTGTGGTGGATTTAGGTTCTGCTGTCAAATATTTTGTATCCTCCAAACATTAAGATCTACTGAATGCACATAAATTATTTCAAACAATTATTTTCAGAAATTAGACTAATCCAATGTAGTATTTATTTATTTATTTTATTAAAGTGTCACTTGTATCATATCATACAACCAGCCCTATCTGGGCTTATGAGACACATTTGAACATTTTAAAATAGCTAGTTATTGTTTAAAAATAAAGTCTTTCCTGATCTGCATTATGTCAATTAAATACTGACCAAACATCTTAGTGTATCTTTTACTTTTAAAAATGTCACTTAAAGTAGTCAGACTCTCTATTTCCAATTTTTCAAAGAACTCATTTCTTTTTTTCCTATGCGAGGGGTGATCAATAAGTAATGGACGCTTTTTTACACGGATGCTTTTTATAGACCAACACCTTCGATCTTCTTACCAGTGATACATCATTCAATTATCTATCAACTCTGAAGATTTGAAAACAAAACATGTAATATATTTTGATATATCTTTATTTCCGTGAAGGAGGTATAGGTACCCCGGGACCGACATTTACGTCAAGCATTCTGAAGTTGTTTTAGCTTGTTTAACATGCAACGCAGATGAATGCAGGCTGAACAAAACAAACCATTATGGTCATGAATTACCCCATTTTGTTATGCCATAGTTGATTTTGAATATTTTATCATCACTATGTGGTATTCATGCCACATTCATTCTACAGGGCCCTCTACATAGGTTCCATCAAGTGCAACATGTACACAATTCCTCATCCTCTTAACTCAAGATTGTGAGACAAGGCTGAATCTATTCTCTGACATGGTAGCAAGATGCAGTTGCACGGGTTGTTGTATTTCATCAATATCAATAAACCTGCGTCCCTTCTCTATAGACATAAGTAGTAAAGGAATAAATAAATCACATGTGGGCAGATCTGGACAATATGGTGCATTGCCATGGGCTCAATTTAAGGGTCCATGGATTTGTTTTCTGAACATTTTGAGATATATGGGCAGGTGAATTGTCCATATGGAGTGGGGTGTTTCCTTCTCTCACTAACCCCTTCTTCCACAATGCTTCCTCGAATTGACCTGCAAACCCCGACTATACAACATTCAGACATCACATAACTTATAATTGAATGATGTATCACTGGTAGGAAAATCAAAGGGATTGGTCCATAAAAAGTATCTGTGTAAAAAAGCGTCCATTACTTATTGATCACCCCTCGTATGCACTACAATCAAAAATAGAATGCTTTTCATCTTCGATTTAAATGATTGTACGACATATCAAACAACCCCTTTTGAGAGATAGTGGGAAACATAATATTTTATTTACCAGTTGATGCATAATCTGTTGTCCGAGTTTCAATAGCAAAATTTTATTTTTGTCCAAAAATCACCATTAAAGCTGTTTTTAAGAAATAATAAGCAATATTTTTAATATATTGTTGTGTTGACAGCACAATAGCACATATATAGTGTCGTTGATCTCAATACACATGGCGCAGGATGCGGTAGAATAGCAGAAATTATGGAATTTTAAAAATATCAATTATCGTAAAGGATAGGTATCGATATCGTGAACTGATTTCAACAATGTTTTTCTCTTAAACCAATTATTGAAAACATTCTATAAAAAACACGGTCCTTTATGTAATGTTGACTGATTGGCAACAATTTAATGCAAAAATTATTTATATATATTTTATAAAACTGTTTTTGTTAACATTTTTTGTTTTTTAGTGCAATTGTTTTTTGTTCCTTTCTACCAATTCTTGAGAATGAAATAAAATGTCTTTCCAAACCTTGATTGTTGGAACAAAATAGCATATCCAACATTTTCTTAGACCTCTCAATATTATAGTTATACAAAGGAAATTTTGGCTGATTTAACAAAAAGTATGCAAAAACTTAAAACAACCCCCCCCCCAAAAAAAAAAAGATAAAAATTAAGATAAACCTTTCATTTCATTAACAGGATACTTTTTTAAAATCAACTAAACTTTCCTTTGTACAATTACAATATTGAGAGACCTAAACACGTCGTGTTTATGTCGTTTTGTTCCAATGAGGTTCGGATAGATGTTTCATTTCATTCCGAACATATTATACCAAGAACGAAAGAAGTGTCTGTTGTGTTTTCTAAAACAATAAAGAGAAAAGTATATATAATTCAAATTATAATGTTACCATCCAAAATTGATGACCATTAAATTGACGATGTGTAGAATTTTCAGAATGTTTTGATGACTGGTTGAAGTGTTCAAAAAGTTCACCATATCGATACCACTCCTTTACCCATAAGTTCGTTCGCCTTCAAAATAGTCACCACCATGTGCTACACATTTCTTTCAGCGTTTCAACAAGTCTTGATATACATGATGAAGTTTACCTTTAGCTGTAGCATAAACGCTATTAGTACAAATGCTTGGATAAGGTCAGCTTCGTCATTGAAATGGATACCATGCAGTGGTTTCTTGGACTTCGGAAACATATGAGAGTCACATGGTGCCATATCAAGAGATTATGGCGGATGGGGCTGTAGTTGGGCCTGCAAGCACTCGTGTATTGCCTCTATTGTAACATTGGCTCTGTGGGCTTGGGCATTATCATGGTGAAAGGAGTTCTGGTCGTTTTTTCTCATAGCATCTTTAAGATCTGACTTCAGCATTTGGAACACATTTTTAAACTGAGTAAGTGTCATACCTAATTGATTGACTCAAAATAGATTGAAACATACTTCATAAAAGTAATCTAGTTTACAACTTTATTAATGAGTGATAGGGTTTTTTAACTTACGTTTGAATAATAAGCTCCATCGACGGTGAACCAGGATAACTGTGTCGTACCCTTGCTCCACCTACCCTGTTGTCATGTTGCTATGGTAACCAGTTACCTATATATATGGGGTGGTTGTGGCCAAATATGAACAATATTCATCGAGTATTAAGATTTTTAGAGCAAACGGTTCGGAACTTTTGGATCAACCCTCGTATTAATATTAATAGGAGATCAATCGTTTCTGATAATTTTTTCTGTACTCCCGTACGGAAATATGAACGAATATATCGATTGAAAAATAGGTGTGAAAATCCCCATGTTAAACATGGGGGAAAACAAGGAAGTATGAATTTGTTCAAGTTGAATTGGCCAAGCACTACATTTTGAAATGCCTCTAACCTTTTTCCATTTGTGAGTTGTGTTACGCGGTATATGGCATACATTATGTTTGCATGCGCGGTGAATATGGCATACTCACCAGAGGTATCTGACATATTCCGCAAGTGAGTATGGCATGTTCCGCATTGAAATATGATATAGTGAATACCTCATATTCACCTGCGTAATATGACATATTCACTCGGAGAATATGACATACACGTTGCGGAATATGGCATTTACCGCGCAGCGAACGCCATACAAAATTGCCTTGATTTGATTGGTTTAGAGAATCAACACAAAATGTAAAAATATAACCAGTGATTTTTTACATCATGGTCATAATCATGCACAGGCGGATCCAGAAGCAAGGCCTAAAATGCCCCCTAATTGAGGCCCAACAAAAATTCCCCCTGGATCCGCCAGTGTCAGATGAAGATACTCAGAGAATCCTAGAATGATCAAAATAATTCCTCACTAATATTACGCAAACTGAACGGATAAAGTTCAGACTTACCGTTTTGAACGTACCATTCCCCTTCCTAATATTTTGAAGTTACTCCTCAGTGCATATGTAGCGACATCTTTATTTTGAATGGCAATAGAAATATCTAAATTACGCGCGTTACAAGTCATACTTCCAAGGGTTATCGTAACTAGAAAAAAGTTATCACCTGAACCGTCATTAAGGGCCATTAAACATGACACTTTTATATTCCATTATTAGAATGAAGTGCAGATTATACTGCAAAGTATATGTTTTAGAGTACAGGAAAATAATAACACAGGCCTCGCTGTCCCAGAGGACTAATTATTGATCCATTTTGTTTCGCTATACTAAATGTTAAATATTAATGCATTACTGCCTTGGTGGCGAGTAGAGATGCCATAGCTTTAATAGTCAATCCCAGTACCTATCAGTGCGTATCACATATATTTTAATGCATCTAAAGAGAAAATTACGATGAATTGAGGACTTCCATATCATCATGTTGTGATGATTCTAATTTCCGGAGTAAGCAGACTTCTAGAATTACCAGGAACATGAAGTACCACCTGAACCTATAGAAATCGGAAGCATACGCAGCAATGAGAGTGTCTGCTTATGAAGATATGTGCAGAGTCGATCTTACTAGGTAAGTGCTAAATGCATACGGGTGCTTATCAAATTCACAATGATCACAAATTACGAAGGTATTTTAGCATCCATCCGTAGTATATAACATCATGGTAATTTTATTAATAGAAAATATATGGCACTCTGTATAATTTCAAGACGAATTCAGTTGTTAACAATGATGTAAGGTAGTAGCAATCTGAAATCAGGCGGACATATACCAATGCCTCCATAGTATGTGTCATATATAATTTTAAAGCTCATCCAAAGTTACATTGATTTGCCAAGTATAATGGTATTTAAAGTATGTCAAAAATAAAGGTTGCATTGTCTTTGATTCAAAGCATACAGGGTGTTCCAAAAGTAACAGGATACTGGTGCTGGCATTTTGTCAATTTTGCACGGAGTATCTCAATTTTCACAAATTGTACTTTGAAGTATTGTAACTTAAATTATAAAGTTTCCGAAAAAATTATGAATAGCGGTTAGAGTTGTAGTTACTATAGTAACATGACATTCCAATACCCGGGGCAACTTTTTTCCTGAAAATGAGATATCTAATATTTTTGTATTACTGAAGAAAGTATCTAATTCACCTATTATAATACAACATTTCTTATTTATTTTATTAGTTCCTTTGTTGTAAAGGTGTTGCTATATACAACTCAGATCCAAGTATAATTTCATAATAATAATAATATTTATTCAGTTTCCTGGAATATCACTATGTATAACAGTCTGAACAATTCACGATTGAGTTTTTGAAAACCCAATTTGAAGCCAGTCATCTACCTTTATAGCGCGCCTGCCCGCAGGTCACCATTAAATACCATGCAGCTATAGATCAGGAGCTAGGTCTTGAGGTCTAAAACCATGTACCATACTCCTCTGATCATGCAACATCTAATTTTTACTTATATTGAGAACGGAATGCTAATCAGTGCTCTTTAAAGATCTTTAAAGATGAGAATGACCTTCTCCAAATTGTCCAATCGAACCTGCGTGACATGTCCTCAAATGGGTTCACTCATGTGTTTTGGTCATGGATACAGAGTACTACTACTCTTGTACTGACCAAATAGGAGATTATTTTTCAAAGTAGAGGATACATTGGGATATCAAATGATGTAAAACACCGTGTTCCGCATAACTTACTTCTACACAAACTAAGGGCCTACGGTATTCATGGACAACTTCTAAATTTATTAAAATCATATCTGACAAATAGGCGGTTTTTTGTAAACATTGCTGGTGAGTCATCAGTAACAACTGAAGCAGGCTTCCTAAACTGTGGCGTGCCACAGGGATCAATTTTAGGCCCACTTCAATTTATTTTATACATTAATGACCTTCCTGATAATAAAAACTCCAAATGCTATATCTATGCAGATGACACATCTCTTCATTTTATTTTTGATCCCAAAAAGCCCCAAGAAATTGATGAACTAGTTAAATCCGATCTAACTGAGATAGAAAATTGGTCCAAATTGTGGAAATTACAATTTAAACCAGAAAAGAGCTGTGAAGTTATTTTCCATGGAGTTAAAGCAAATCCTCAAAATGTAAGCAAATCGTTTCTAAGTGACTCTGAAATCGAAAGAACAAATGTACATAAACACCTTGGATACACTTTTGATCATAATCTGACCAATCAAAACCATATTGAAGAAATATATAATAAAGTTAGGAAAATGATAAATCCCCTGAAGAACCTTAAAACAAAGTTAAACTCAAGAGATCTGGAAACGCTTTTCAACTCATTTATAAGACCTCATTTTGATTATGGTACTGCTATTTTTAACACTGCATCAAAATATCTTCTAAATAGACTTGATCAAATTTATTATCAGGCTGCTCTTTTGTGCTCTGGTTGTCTTCATGGCAGTAATACTGATAAAGTTTTGAATCTCCTTCAATGGCCTTCTCTAGACACAAGAAGAAAAATGCAAATTAACAACTTTATGTTTAAAGTTGTAAATGGTCCAAATCCACCCTTTTTAGATGAAATTTTTGATAAATTCAAAAATCGGGGAACACGCAATCTGCGTGATAGATCTGAATTTAATTTACCAACCAGATGCTCAAAGAGGTTCTTGAATTCATCAGTTCCATCATCAATATCAAACTGGTCATGACTACCAAAACGATTACGTAATTTGAATACTCTCCAATCCTTTAAAAAACACCAAAAGATTTTGTTTAAAAACCAAGAAAGTTTTATTAGCACCTCCAAACTCAATCTAAAAAGATCTCATGAAATTTTGATTAACCAATTTAGAGCTGATCTTCTTTTCAAAGCCCAACTTTATGCTCACAACTTCACTTATGTTGAGAATCCAAACTGTAAATGTGGAGCCCCCCAGACGGAAAAACACTTCTTCTTTCAGTGTCCCCTTATTAAAGAAAAGATAACAAAATTAAAAACTGATATTATTAACATAACTGGACTATCAGATAATCATTTAACTCAGAATGATCTCCTTTACTTAATGAAACATGGCTCGGACAATATTTCCCTTGATCTAAATTCACATCTCCAAACCTCAATCGCTGAATTCATTGAAATGAACCTATAACGTTTTCCCCTCCCTACATACTATATATACTATACTTTATTTTATATTATCCACACTTAATATTTCCACCCCATGGCCAACCACAAGTGCAGAGTGAACCCCTTGACCTAATCATAATTTTGTATTTTGTGCTATTAATGTACCCTTCTATAATGCATTCGGGCGACTGAAGGGATTTATATTATGATATTTTTATGAAGCAATAAATATTTCTTAATAAAAAAGAAATGTAATTCCCACCAGTTGTTGCATTTCAACTTTGATATGGCATGTACAAAATGATATGGCATGAACAAAATGCTGAATGTCTCTGTAACTTTTTGCGTGGAATGTTGCCCCGGGTATTGTGATGTCATGTTACTATAGCAACCATAACTCTACCCGAGTTTCATATATTTTGTCGAGACTTTGCAGTCTTAGTAACGATATATGAAAGTACATTATGTAAAATTTTGAAGACGATTGGTGCATATTTAACAAAATACCAGCACCAGTCCTGTTACTATTGGAACACCCTGTAATACCTGGTTTATCGACTGAAATGGCATATCCAACGTTGTGTCCTCATTGCATCAACCTGGGGTAACAATCGCAGCTTTAAAATTAAGGTCGAATTCACGCGTTGGACAGACTAAATCCCCGGACTAGAACATCCCACATATAAAACATAAAGTCAAGATAACTTTGAAACGAAAATAAATAGGTACCAGCCTGCCTTTAGAAAAAATCAACTTATACAGTGAAATGAAAAAGATTATTGTAATTATAAATCTATACGTATACCGTCACGAAATTATTCAATAGTAAAAGCAATTATGTTACCACATTACAATAATTGCGTTTGTAATTGCATAGCCGTGATTTTTTAATTTAATATTCAGAACCATGTTAACGGAAGAATGTAGAACTGAGAATATTGCATAATATATAACCATCGTCAATTGCTTCCGTTGTTTGGCTTTTATTTCGCGACCATATTTGACATCCACATACCTGACATGTGCAGTACTAATGTCGTAGTAATTTATAATTGCTCAACCAGTCTCAGAATCAATAATTGTATTATTCATAATATCATGTGTCACAAACTACACCATCGGTATTTTTCATACTAAGAATGATAATAGATTACAGAATTGTATTTCGAAATATGATGGTGTCGCATACATTAATATAATAACATACTTTACAAAAAAGAACAATCGTAGTTTATTTATACGATACGATACAGTGGAGTACTTTCTGAAAAAAGGAAGACAAATAGAATACTAAAATGAGTTATTTTGACATAATGAGTAACTATATAGATTAATTATTTAAACCGGATTTATTTCCATGAATAATTGACAAAATAGTCATTGTGTAAGGTCGCCAAAATATAAAATAACATCCCAATGAACAAAGTTCGGTAGGGATATAGCGAAGCACCCTTCCGTCCGGTTGTCTGTCAGGAGCATAACCCAAATAATAGTCGACCAATTTTCTTCATGAAATATGTACATTGATAAATAGTTTTACTCAAAAAAGATTTTTCAAGATGGCTGCCACTTTAAAAATGGCGGGTATTTCTCGCAAAAAAATACTATACTCGATCTCGATACTAAAAGTTAGGCTATATAATATATATCAATACTGCAGATCCTGCATTTTCACACAAAAATATCTGCATCTTTACTACACCCGGCAATTTGTAACCCCCCTATCACACCAAACTAGTTCTTACCCGTTCTTGCCAGTCCTACAAAAACGTCGTAAAACGGGCTCAATCTGGCTGTAATCGGGAAATATGTCTGAAATAATTAGCTTCTTCGTTCTTAAACAGTCTTCAATACGTCCATCTCGTTCGCAGTTCGTTCAGGTCGCACCACGTCGGTGTGCAACGTCGTAGAACGCGTCCCTTAGTCTAGAAGGTCAACATGACCTGATTACAGAACGGTATGGTCGCCATGTTCAAAATTCTAAAATCACATTCCCGTCTGAGAACGTTCATAAAGTTCGTAAATAGACCTTAGAAAGTTGCAGCTACGTTCATTCCGTTCGCATACAGTTTAAAACCAGTTTTGAAGAACGCAGTGGCAACTTGTTTGGTGTGATAGCTATATTTTTGCTAACCCGTTCATCAGCAGTGTTAAATACGTTCTTAATCAGTTTAAACCCGTTTGCAATTAGTTCTACCTCGTTCTCAACACGTTCTCAGACAGTTCAACTCGTTGTTAAAACGTCCCTAGTAGGATTGAAGTACGACGGTTCCGATCGTAGTACGTCCAGCTCGTCGTTAGTACGTTGTCACTCGTTCTAATTGTAGAACGTGACGACCACGAAAACATTTTGAGCATTGTCAAGTTCTAGAGGACCTACCCGTTCGAGTACGTTCGATGAAGTTTGTAAATAGATCCCAAACGGTTCTTAGTAGGTCCAGTCCGTTCGTACACAGTTGAAGCCCGTTTTCGAGAACGTAGTGAGAACTAGTTTGGTGTGATAGTAGGGTAACCAATAACATAAGTCTAATCCACTACTAGAGATACCTGTCAATCCATTCACCACCATGTGGCCAAGTTCTGGGAAAGTAGCATGCACATGTACAGTTGAAGGAGTGGTGTAAATTAGTATAAAACTTAGCATAGAACCTCATTGGCAGATTCATTGTTATTGCACACGTTTTTAAAAGTTTCATCCTCAGAAGTTGTACGATTTTTGACATTTTAAGCTCCTTTTATATCAAGTATTTTTAGAGCCAATTTGTAGTTTTCATAAATGAAATAAGTTTTTCAGATAAAAACTTCAAAACAATTTTTCAAGTTTCTTATTAGGTTCATATTTGGTTCATACTTTGCGTTATAGGACATGCTCTTAGCAGCATTGCCTTTTTTTGTAAAATCTAAAATTTTCCTTAATAACCAATAACATAAAGATCCTAATCCATAACAATAAGGTAAGTCATGCCTTCTCCATTCTGCAAGAGTGAGCGATGCATAGTATCAGAATGAACAATAATTAAGCAAATTGAAAGTTTCGTATCCTTCAATCTCTGGTTCATTCTAACATACGTACATGTAGTCCGGCTATCCCTAGGGTTATATATCATGATAAAGCGGCGCCAAAAGAAATGTACAAAATTAACGTACATGGTCTCCAAACTATAAATTCAATATCTTCATTCTCTCTTTTTGATACCTGAGGCAGCATACACTGTTTACGTTTCTAATGCAGTTCTAATTAGAAGTTTGAAAAATTCATATATCAAATACAATTTTGACATTCTCTTCGAATACGAAACGTTTCATTTTCACGTTCTGAATACTGCCGTTTTAGAATTGATTAAAATATTAAGAAATCACCACCTTTAGAGACTTTTAACGTAAAACTCATTATATACACACAAGAAGCTTCTGTTGTTACAAGTTCTACACTTTAATTGCACTTTATCAAATGATATTATTCTTATGATGCTACAAAGCTGTCTCTGGTTAAGGATGATTAAGTCAAATCGAAATGTGTAATTTAGTTACTGTATGTACATGTCAGGCTAAATCCCAATGGTGATAATATCTGCGAGTATTCTATTCATTGATTCTCATTTCAATATGTATGTTACTGACTAATCAAGCTCCAATTCACAAAATAGAATCAAATAAACTGTTCGAACACGTTTAACCGGAAAGTCTAATTGCATTTGTAACCATTTCCTCTTAACAGACCTTCAATTAGTTCCATAATAAGAAATGTATTTATACACACGTTATCAACTTTATCTCCAAAATGCCAAAACAGCCAAACTGTTCGGCAAGAATATATACATGATTAGAACTTGACATAAATTTGACATTGATTATTAAGAGATTAAATAAGGACAGCCCTTACATTGATTGCGTATTGCTCGAGTAGTACTGACTTGTATTTTATCATAAAATGATGACAGAATATGTATCAACTTTGAAGAATGTAGTCTCGAATTGCGTTTTTTGATTAGTGCCATTTATCACTCGTAAGCCTTCACTGTATATTGCGTCATAAACAACTCGCAATCTAATGAATGGTTCATTTAACGATATGTACCAACGATAAATTCTTTGATTTATCTACACTCTGTTGATCATGAAAAGAAAACTCTTTTCGATTTTCTACTCTCGTTAAAAAGCAGGTATATGGGCAAAATTGAAAATCATCATTAAGAAAATACCTACTGTATTTATTCGTATGTAGTATTCACTTAGATTAGGATATTCAATTAAAAGTATATGGTTTCATTCGAAAAGGATTTTTCTGAAATTGATCTTAAATTATCATCCACAAGAAGGATGCTTGTTTTTACTCGCAAAGTGCATCTCCCCACGAAGTAGACGTGGTAAACATCAGGCTCATCTTGAACAGTTGGGAGTAATTTACAGGTACCCTCTCTCTCAGAACTTGTTGAAACGTAATTGGATACAAACAGCGATTTCCATCAGTATCCTAAAAATATGGTTTACCTGATATGCGTTATTGGAAACTAGGCAGAGACTAGCAATATGGTTGAAGTTTTTGGGTCTAAACGAACCAGAAGCAAATTATGTTCATAGTTATAGGCTTATCGAAAACAATTTTACTTTATTCTGTTGTGGGTTATCGACCTAAATCATAAAAAGTAGTTTCGGAAATAACCTTGACATGTTAAGTCATGTTCGAATTTCAAGGTGGTATACAAAACAAAATGGAACATCTGGAACCTTGCAGATTAATAAGATGTTCCTAAGCACTGTTCCACAACTAGTTACTTTGACGGAACGTCAATGTAACAAAATGGGTGAACTTCCTGGTTACTAGTTTTTTGTTTTCTCGAATTCGACCTACTTATAAGTCAAGTTGCAGATTATAAGTTGGCACAAAGCTAGAAAATATAGTTTTATTTGGATTTGGAATTTGTTTCATAAATGAAGTTGCAATTCATATATTTAGCCCCTCGCTTTTGTTACATTGACGAAAGTCCGTTATATTACTAATGTATGTTACTTTAACGACATACGTCAATGTAACAAAAGCGATGGTCTAAATGCATGACTTACAGTTTTATTTAAAAAATCAAATTCCAAATCGAGAGCATTTCTAAAAGCTAGACTATATTGTCTATTTTTGTGCAAAATGATAATCCGCAACATGATTTGCATGTAAGTTTAAATCGAGAAAACAAAAAACTCGAATCCAGGAACTTCATCCATTTTGTTACATTGACGTTCCGTCAAAGTAACTAGTTGTGGAACAGTTCTAAGGCCAGAACAAATTAATATTCTTGTTTCTGCTACCCAGGATAGACAAGTCAGCCAGGTCTATTTTGTGAAAATGTTAATTATTAAATCATTTCCAAAAATGATCCTTTAGGGAACTATTTATGACAACATCTGCGTGAGTTGAGGTCAGTTTCGTTTTCATGAAATATCAGAAATATTGGATAGACAATGCGATTGATTGTCATATCACATTATTATAGAAAGAAGCATTTTTAAAACTTCAAAACTATATTAAGTCAATCTGGTCAATTCTGTTTTTTAAATATTTGGCAACCATAAGATCTTATTTTTCTGGCTTAAGCTTTATTGGGCTGTACACGTTCCCTCTACTGTTGCGTTGTTCCCTATACAGCATGTTTTGAAATAATGTCATGTTGTAGAAAAAGACGAGATAAGGATGAAGGTCTTCTTGGGCCTTAACATTAAACATCCTCTCGGATGTCAGTTCTTGTAGAATCCAAAGATAACAAGATAAAACCCCGTTAGCCTATAAAGAGTTTGACGTCCAATTCTCATCTGTAAAGGGAGCTCCATCTAGAATGTTATTGCAAGCTTCTTTGAACGAGGTAAAGGTATATGGTAGGTATTAAGAGGAACTAAATGAATTGTTGTAAGCAGAGATGTGTAATGTACTTTAAGAATTCTTCACGAGGTTTAGTTAATCGCCACTATCACAGGAACGTATTTTAAATCTGAAATCTGAAATTCGTTTGAGGATTTGTGATTTAACATAATTTCGAAGTGCCTTGAAAGTTAGATAATGATGCGGTATCTGATAATAACGTGCATCATACCATGGGCTTTCAGAGTTAAAAGAGTGAATGGCGTGCGTGGTTAAACAGTTTCTTTGCTATTAACGTACATTTATCTGGCGATAACTGTTTCAAATGATTACACAATTCATTTATTAGATATTTACATTTTTCCTCACGAATTTTGTGTTCCAATTTTCCCAATTCTCCTGCTTTAAGACAAGTACGACAATGTTCCGAGTTATATGGGCCTATTTGGTTTCATTGCCCCATTACCCATTGTGCATTCGAATTGCTTTTATCAACGCGTCTCAACGGAACAATACTAGAAGATCGATCCAGGATATTTCAAATCTGCCGGTTCATGTTGATAGATTTGCAGTTTTCAAACGAAACAATACATATGTTTCTGGAAAGGCTCTTGTAAACGTGGATCTAGCCATGATAATACGAAATTATAAGCAACTACAGCCATGGGAGATGTTGACGCAAATCGACCTTAATAAGTTAGAATATATTTCTACAATCTACAGCCGTAAAATTTTATCGCTATTGAGGGAATTAACCACGATTCTAAAATAATAAAGAACTCGCTTCAAGGTACATGCATATAAAAATAGTCATCATATCATAGATGATGTATATAAAAACGTTGATGTCGAAACTATGAAGCTTCCTATGAACGCCGTTGTATACTCATCATATCGTAGATGATGTATATAAAACGTTGATGTCGAAACTGTGAGGCTTCCTACGTACACCGTTATATACTCATCATATCATAGATGATGTATATAAAACGTTGATATTGAAACTGTGAAGCTTTCTATGTACATCGTTGCATATAATTATCATATCATAGATGATGTATATAAAACGTTGATATTGAAACTGTGAAGCTTTCTATGTACATCGTTGCATATAATCATCATATCATAGATGATGTATATAAAGCATTGATGTCAAAACTGTGAAGCTTTCTATGTACATCGTTGCATATAATCATCATATCATAGATGATGTATATAAAACGTTGATATTGAAACTGTGAAGCTTTCTATGTACATCGTTGCATATAATCATCACATCATAGATGATGTATATAAAACGTTGATATTGAAACTGTGAAGCTTTCTATGTACATCGTTGCATATAATCATCATATCATAGATGATGTATATAAAACGTTGATATTGAAACTGTGAAGCTTTCTATGTACATCGTTGCATATAATCATCATATCATAGTTGATGCACATCGGTTTGTTCTATAATTAGTTTATTCTCTATTTGCAGGAAAACAATGGGGCATCAATAAAACAGCCACTTAGACAAGACTGAAAGCATCACTCAAAACGTTTTTGGAATAAATCGATTTTCCATGCATTAATTCCTAACTTTACCCTTGGTGCGACAGGAATTACAAATTAGACAAGATTGCTTCTACAGCTAATTGCTACCGGTCTGCTGGCATCGAGAGAACATACGGTGCAAGGTTGTAAGATGTAAAATGCCAATCAGGAAGGAAGAACATCCTAGAAAATCTCATTTTGTAAGATGATAAGCTGGTGCAATATCCTGCATAATAACATTCAAATATTTGTGAGCCTCTATTGGTTTGGCTTAAAAACATTATCTCTATGCAGAGCTGCTGTGTAGCATAAGGAACATAAGTGATGGAATAGCTTATGACACGCTAATATGCAGTTTTAATGATAAAGCAATGTATGTGCAACAGCGAATTTACGGAAAACAATGAGTCAATCAATGTGGCAAACGTGAAATCGTTTTATTCATTAGGCTACGTGTCTCTCTGTCATATATTGCTCGCAAAGCAAAGTCAACGTGACTCGTGACATTAATGATGAAAAGGAAATATGCTGAAAGGAACTTGAAAATATATAACAGGAATTCTATTAAAAGTATGTTCTTGAGTAGGGTTAAATAAGCGTCTGTTGTTTCAATGCAATACAGGGAATTAATACCGAGTATGCATTGGAACTTAGGCTGATATCTGATAGACTAAATGCATTAATAGTGGATGATGTGGTCGATGGTCTCTGGGGATGAAGTCAAGCAAAGACTGCAGTAATATGTTCAAGTCATGATGTATCACAATCGGCGTATTGATTCAGTACCTGCTTGCTATAATACGTGAATAATATATGCAGATTTGTGACATATAAAACCACTGGCGATGTCGAATAGAGCAGCAGCATTAGCAGGGACCCTTCCTGATCACAGGAGTAGGAGTTCCCTTAATTCATCAAACATGGGAGGAACGGTCCCGAAAGTCAGCTCATGTAGGCCTCTGCACGAAGGATACAAAGTTATTGTTCAATATGTTGCCCCTGGTATAGATCACAGACATTTAGTGTACGAGGGAGAACCACCGCCAAAACCATATATTGCCAATTTAGACAGTCCATGCCCCTCTTGTTCTTCGGTTACCACAAATAATTCCTATTTGAGAACCAACACGTCGGATTATAGCAGCAGTATTATTAGTGGACGTAGTAGTGTACTTGGAACCAGGGAAAGCATTGGAAGCACTAGAAGCTCCAGGACATTGCAAAACGACCCTTCCACGGTTTCCTCTACGCCTAATGCTACTGCTGAATCGCTTACTCACTCCACAGTATTGAAACCAAACGGCTCAAATATCAGTATAAATGCAGCAAATGATATCGCATCAGCGGAGACGTCTCCAAGGCATGATGTTAAAAAAGGACACAAACTCAGTGCGTCGCTTCAAGGAGGATTAAATTCAACTCCTACAAGTCCTAGTCTACGGCGTAGTTCTGATGATAAATGCAGCGAGCGAAGGTATTCTTCTTTACCTAGACCTATACCTGCCCATTCACGGATTGGGACCAATCAGTCGAATGACTCGGGTAGTCATTCAGACTCGGAGATACACGACGACCCACTGTTAAAAGCAGACACTGGGATGAATGGTGGCTTGAGAAATAAACTGTTTAATGTGTTTCTAGGTGGTCACTCACGACGCTCATCAACTGAAGGCTCACGCTCATCGTTATCATCAGCGTCTAGTGATCAATCACATGACAACGAACCTGATATTACTCAAATTGTACAGGAGTCTGAAGAGTATCTCAAAGATGAGGTTTTCAACCAAATTCAACAACTAACAAAGGATATTGAAGAAGTTGGGAGTAAAGATATTCTAGTCAGTCCAAAAACGGAAGTTCCCAAAGACAATAAGTTACCTGAAAAGGAAACATATGACAATGTAATTGTGGATGAGTCACAAAACTCATGTTCCAAAGAACATTCTAGCAGTGGGTTGAAGCTACCAACTGTGAATGTGGATACAACCATGTTACATAATGAGGTTGATAATCCACAACCCGATGCCCTGCCTAGTAACAATGACTCTGGTCTTTCACAAGATGCCTCTACGCAGGATGAAGGTGATAAAACACCCATTAATGAACTTGTCTTTCCTGAAATTGATGACACGCCGAAACCAGAAGAGAGTTCATCTTTACACAGAGACATTTCTGAAACTGAACTGTACAATAAAGTTTCAGAAGATCAACCAAAGCCCAAAAAGAAAAAGAAGATTAAATTCAAACAGAAGCCAGTTGTATTATTATTCGGATGGCTTAATGCTCCTGACAGGGCATTGATCAAATATTGCAATCTTTACCATGAGAGGGGCCATGATGTGATTATAATCAAAGGTGCAATCAACCAGTTTTTATTACCCTCAGTTGCCAGAACAACTGCAAGGCATCTTCTTACGTATGTTGCTAAGAGACTGTCAAAGAACCAACCACTAATGGTACATGCCTTCTCCATAGGCGCATACCTCTTCACCGTGTGTATGATTGAACTGAAGGAGAATACCAAACGCTATGGAAGATTGTTACGTCACAGGTTTGTAGGACAAGTATTTGACTCTATTGTAATAGGGGGAACCGAGAGGATGGTAAGAGCCGGTTCGATAGCTGCCTCTGATAGCTACCTAGGTAGACTGTTGGTGAGACTTATATTTCGGTCATATCTCAGCCTCACGAGCAAATACACATTAGAGTTCTTCGACCAGGCGGTGGAGGTTTTCAAGAGTAATTACCTTAACCAGCCAACTCTAATCTTCTATTCTTTGGATGACCCGATGAGTTGCCCTCAAGCCATACAGGAACTGATAGACCTTTGGAAGAAAAATGGGTTCGAGGTTCAGGCCAAGTATTGGCCTTCTTCCCCGCATGCTGCCCATCTGCAGGCATACCCCGAACAATATAAGATCATTCTGGAAGCCTTTATGATCAGCAAGTTGGAAGTGTGATCCGTTTATTACCAAAGCTCTTGCTTTGGATGTCACGTCATCTATTCGTAATTTCGAGGCCTCATATGCTGTTACAGGGGCTTCTTACTCGAAGATCAGAGATGAAATAGAGATACATTTATTCAATTCTTTGACAATGTATGAAGTCCATATACCATATTGGCGTGAAGGAATGCATTACGTTTCTGTATGTGCATCATGTTGACCAACAGTGGTCTATATTTCGTAAAATTTTATATTGTTACTCGTAGTTAAGAATTAAACTTTCATTATTGTTTTAGATATTTCTAGGATTCTAGCAAATTTTAACTGTTAAAATATGAAATGTTAATTTGTGTTTTGATTCTAATAAACCAAAGATCTAACATTATAGCATATAATATATTATGTAAAATATATTTACAAATGTTACATGGAATATCCCATTTAGCTGATGATTAATATGTCAAATTGTTTGAGATGAGATGGATGCTTGTATTTAGCGATTTCGTTGATGTCCATACCATCGATCGAGTCAAACCATAATCTTCATAATGTAAGTCATCAATCTTGCATGACAAGACGAGTCTGTGGAATAATACAACTGGTACTATGCAACTGATAGCTATAGTTGATAACACATTTCCCATGACATCGATTTGCCTACAATGACGACAATGTCACGAAACTAAAATCTCGGAAAACGAGGGCAACACCTGGGAACAACATCTTAGAACCGATATACCTACAATTAATTATATTGGCCTTCGTGCCAAAATTCTGCGTATGTTATCAGCGAATTGCAAATATGATCTAGTTTCAGTTTTATATCAAAGAGTAGCATCGGTTCATACAGTACATACATTTGTATGCCATATGTCACCGGGAAATCAAAAGGACATCTATAGCGTGTCTCAAAAATGTACCCAAGTACATCAACTTCAACAGCACAGATAAACCAATCAACATTTTCAGACATTTTTGCATGGTCATGTTGCAAAAGCATGTAAGTTTTCTCTCCAATACAAAGTTTTAGTTCAGCTTTGCCTTTTTAATGCTTTGCCGTTTTTACAACACATGATCCGTGTAACCTCTTCATATTCAATGACAGCCTGCATCCTTACCGCTACATTTGTTAATCACATTCAATAATAATTTTGATGGAATGTTTTGAATTTCTCTTCGAATCACTTGACTAGGAATTAGCATAAATATGGTTCTTCAAGTTACCCCAGAGAAAAAGTCCGGGTGTCAAATCTGCTCAGTGAATAGGGAGGCCCTCACAATGTCTTTATACAGAGAAATTAGACGTTCAAGGAACAAGATCATAGGAATTCTCATATGTGTATGGAGGGGGTCAATCTTTCTGAAACCACTGTGTTATCATTTGGATACCATTCGGTCTCTGGAAGGTAGACTAGAAATCCAAAATCATTCGACATGAATTGATCTGGTTCTCTGTGATTGTTCTGCTGTTCATCCTTGAACTTCTCTCTCTGGGACTATTTGAAGGAGCATATGCACCAAAACACCTAGAAAAACTTAATGCCAACATCCGAAGTGAAATTCAAAACATTCCATTGGAAACATTATCAAATGTGATGAACAATGTAGCAGTAGGGATATAAGCTTTCGTGGAAATATGAAATAAAAAGCAAAGGATTATAGCATCAAAAAGGCAAGACTGAACTAAAAAAACTTGTATTGGGAAGAAAACTTACATACTTGAGCTAAATAACCATGCGCAAAATGTCTGAAAATATTGATTGGTTTAGCTGTGCCGATGATATACTTTTAGGTACATTTTTGAGACACCTTGTATGAATATATTAACATGAATGAACCTATTCTTGAAACTCTGCAATGATATTCGTGAATCTTCTCAGCACATATGTTCAAACTAGGCCCAAAGGGTAACTTATCTGCAGTTAAACGAAATATATCTGGCTTAAATCACATATTTTAGTCAACTAGTTTTTATTTTTCCACCGAATATACTATAGCATATAATCACTGCAGATTCACTATCGATATTCAGTCGCTAATATACTTCAACAGCTAGTTTCAATGTGGGTTGCATGCAGAGATACGCTCACGTCCATTGTGGTTCTGAAAACCCATGCTGTCTAGTATATTACAGGATACATCATTGGATTAGAAATAAAAGGTTAATTTATTAGATCAAATATATACATATAAGATATTACACATAAATCGACACATTAATTATAAAATAAGCATACTTTGTTTAAATATTTACAACGTTTAGTTGTTCATAGAGCAACCCTTTCCATTACAATAGAGCAACAAAAATATGTGAAATACCATTATATCATTAAGAAAACTATAAATGAATCAGTGGCAACTGCCGAAAATCAATAAACCATAAAAATATAAATGATGTTTGTGGTGACATCTTTAAATAAATAGAACGAAGCTGATTATAAATGTCTGTGTCAAATTCCGGATCTAAACTTCTACGTTTGGGGAAAGTATAGACCTATGGTTTGGCTGGGCTAGATTTGATTGACAATGATCTTTTAACAAAAGAAATCAAAATAATTACAAAAAGTATGGAATGCAATCTATGAGAATAACAGGGAAACGATTAATCGTTTTCGAGCATATGTCACAGGCGAACAATCTAAAACGTTAAGAAATATATAAAATAAAAACAATTGAATGTCCTCGGTTTAAAAACAGTATATAATTCCAGAAACGGATGAATGTTGAATTCTTTGATGTTGTTCCACATTTCCATATGATCCTTTATTGATTTGGGAACAGGATTACTAGTAGTAGGGCAGCAACACTGTCAGTCATCAAATGTTAGTTTTCCTGTGATGAAGTTTCCAAGAGCACCCGGATCGTCGGATCTGTAATACTCTATGGCCAGTTCACGGAAATATTCAAAATCTACCTTACGTTCACCATGCTGAAATTAGAGGCAAGTGTGATAAATTCCAACCTCCTGTCTGAAAAGTATAGGATATCCTATGATTTTGAGAGATATCAATTTTATCAACGAGTTGATATCAATATCTGGACGAGTGAGCGTAGTGAATGAGTGCAGATATTGATATCAACGATTTGACTTCAAGTATGGGATAACTTGAAGTACAACGGGTTTTACGCTACATTTATTCTGAATATAAAATATATTTTCCTAGAAAGCATTTCAGAATCATGAATGGACAGTATCGGACAGTATCGGATGTACGTTTTGCCCTAAAAGGGCACCAGTACTAATAAAATCCTATTATATATAATGTATCTGAAATGTTTTGTCGATAGAACAAGTAGAGGTATTTTAGAGCCATGCACCTGTCAGTTATATGGATTTTGTCAAGTATCAGTGCTTTCTTTCTTGTGTTTTATGACAGGGACTGTACGAAATTATACGTGGCAGTTGAACGCGCGGGGTAAGGTAACAACACGAGGGCGATGAAATTAGAACAAACTGGTGTTTTCATCGTTTCAAAAGGTTCTGGTCTAGTTTCTAAATATCTGATACCATTAGTGACATTGCAATGCAATATTTGTGATGAAAATACGGTTGTCTGACATTTTTAGGGATTTTACAACAATATTAGAAACAATACTGCCAATAATATGTATTATATTATATATTAACCATGTAACTGTGTAGTACTAAAGTTTAGTGTATATCAGAGGTATGGTTTAAATCTCTTCAAGTATATTTAACATTGGACACAACATTATTGAATCGTACTCCCCATGGTAGCCATTTGTTCCCCGCTTGTTGTATACTTACCCCGCGCACAATTGGCACAGTCCCCGTGTATATGAGCAGTCGATCATTTATGGATTTGTCAAAGATCACTCTATCGTATGTGCAATATGGTCAACCTTTTGCAAAATATCTGTCGTCAGTGGTAACAACCAGACAGTCATTCAGGCTCTTGTCAAAGATCGGTCGTCATGGTAACGTTCTCCCTTACGTACATAGTACATACTATGAGCAATCGGTCATTCAGATTTTTCAAGCAATAGTTGTCTGGTGACGCGCTTTATTATGTGTAATATAATCAACAGGCCTTTGTAAAAGATCAAGTCGGCATGGCAACGCCCTTTCTTTTGTGAAATGATACCAGCAAGTCATTCAGATTTTGTCAAAGATAAGTGATCGTGATTTGGTAATTGATTCATCTAAAATAAGGATTCCAAAATGATTTCTAGGATTGACCTCAATACTGAATGTTTAAAAGAGCAAGTAAATAAAACAATTAGATACTAGTACTTCTTAATACTTATTCACAAGTACTTAGTAGTGTAACTACTAGATACAATGCCTATTATAGTCTCGATTTTTTTAGAACGCCCGATGATAGAGAGAGTGATCTTTTAATAAAAAGTCTATAAATTACATAAAATGATACCGGAATAATTAAATTATAGTTGAGAAAAATATTTCTACACATCGCTCATAACAAATATCCGTATTCACTCCCGTCAAAATGCTACGTACTTCTTCAGCAATAAAATTCGTCTAAAGCTTCGAATTATAAGTACTATTTTAACAGTTTAATGGGTGTGTAATTTGAACTTTTGATGGCAACACCGTGCACCATTCGGGAATAGCAAGGCTCTTGAAATAACACATGCTGAAGAAAAATATCATAGTAAAAACATGCTCCCAAAGCACCAACCAAAGCTAAATCTATTCTAAGAATAAATGGCGAGGTAATTTAAAATCACAATTTCACCTCTGGTGGTTTCAATATCTCACATTGGCACCATTTATCCTTAGTGGAGGTATCGGGATAATCTTCCTCATTGAGGTCAACATAAAATGCACTATGCTTCATCTCCTAAAAGAGGGTGGTTTGAAGTAAGACAGCAATCAATTCAACGATGCATAGATAATGGAAGGATAATGTATATGTACGTGTAGTTTACAATATCTAAATCAGAATGCAAAATTAAACAGAAATCGACTTAGGTGTTGGTGTTAAAAACCTTTGGGATATTCTATACCAACAGATCGACTTCGAGCCACCAGAGCTTAAGTTACAATCGTACCTGTTGGTCTACGGTGACTGTCGACCCAGATGTCATAGCATCTTGTTCTGACGGCTCTGTTGAACCTTGGTCATCCTGAGTGGGTGCTGTAGGTGAGACAGCCTGCCCCACGCCACACTAATAAACAATAGACATGAGCGGGCTACTAAGCAAAATATAACTAAATAAATAATTTCAAACACTATCATTCAGTCTATGATATTACTATACAAAATAAATCAATGAAATGAAGATCGTAAAAACAGTTTAAAGCCATACAACTATTTATTATATCTACTAAAGGACTACACACAACAATAAACTGTACTAAAACTGAGAATGATAATGATAATTAGGTGATGTTAGAAGTAACAGTTTGGGATATCAGTGACAGACATCAGACTGGTAAGTTTCAGAAATCTCGAGGGCAACAAAAATGCCGTAAATAAATAATGGTGTAATAAGTTCATAAATATTATAGGGTAAAGTGGTCAATAGAAAATGCACACTCGTCAATAAAATAGGGTTAAAATACAATCATTCTAGACAGCCCTTGATTGACATGTCAGATGAGTACAAACACAATATCTGTTATATGTGGGAGCACTCTTCGTTGGACAAATTAAAAATTTCATACCTTTGATAGAATAGTGAATGCAGATCTACTCTCTCTTGGGGAAATGCCAAATTCCCCAAGAACATATTCAAATTCATCAATGTCTATAATTCCATCTCCTGCAAAGGAAGAACAAAAAGCCACAATCAATGACCTCATCTATGTCTATGATTCCATCGCCTGTAATAAGGAAGAACAAATACTCGCAACCAATGACCTCATCTATGACTATGATTCAATCCCCTTCAATAAGGAAGAACAAATACTCGCAACCAATGACCTCATCTATGACTATGATTCAATCCCCTTCAATAAGGAAGAACAAATACTCGCAACCAATGACCTCATCTATGACTATGATTCAATCCCCTTCAATAAGGAAGAACAAATACTCGCAACCAATGACCTCATCTATGACTATGATTCAATCCCCTTCAATAAGGAAGAACAAATACTCGCAACCAATGACCTCATCTATGACTATGATTCAATCCCCTTCAATAAGGAAAAACATGGTCACAATCAATGACCTCATCTATGACTATGATTCAATCCCCTTCAATAAGGAAAAACATGGTCACAATCAATGACCTAGCTTAACTATAGTCTATGATTCCATCCCCTGCAATAAGGAAGAACACAAAGTCACAATCAATGACCTTGTCTATGTCTATGATTCCATCGAAGAAAATAAAGTCACAATCACTGACTAATCTATGTCTACGATTCCATCCCCTGCAATAAGGTAAAACTAAAAGTCACAATCAATGCCGAAATACCCCTGCGTCTTTGACGCCATCTTTATATCAGACTGAGTTGTAATCCATTGCAGAGTTCAAAAAAATCTGATATGTGAACGATGCACCTAACAAAGATAACAAGGCATTAACATGACAAAATGTCACCACCTAAAACAATTTTGTCAATTTAAAGCAAGTTGGAAAATACCTTTTGACCTTAAGAATGTTTTTGAAGATTTGAGCTTCTGGGATCTTGTAGATGATTTTGAAAAAAGAAATTGTTCAATCTGAAGCAAATTAAAACTAGTTGCACACAAATCTTAAGTCAGATTTGAACTTCTTAGAACATGTAGATGATTTTGAAAAAAAAATTCGTCAATTTGAAGCAAGTTGAAAAAATACCTCTTTGACTTTTTTTGACATTGAGAAGGTCATCGAAGGTCAAATGTCAAATGTAAAGTCAGATTTGAACTTCTGAGAACATGTAGATGATTTTGAAAAAAAATTAAGTAAATTTGAAGCAAGTTGAAAAAAGACCTTTTTGACCTTGAAAAGGTCATTGAAGGTCAAATGTCAAATCTAAAGTCAGATTTGAACTTCTGAGAACATGTAGATGATTTTGAAAAAAAATTAGTCAATTTGAAGCAAGTTGAAAAAAGACCTTTTTGACCTTGAGAAGGTCATTGAAGGTCAAAGGTCAAATCTAAAGTCAGATTTGAATTTCTGAGAAAATGTAGATGATTTTGAAAAAAAAATTAGTCAATTTGAAGCAAGTTGAAAAAAGACCTTTTTGACCTTTTTTGACCTTCAGAAGGTCATTGAAGGTCAAATGTCAAATCTAAAGTCAAATCTAAAGTCATATTTGAATTTCTGAGAACATGTAGATGATTTTGATAAAAAAATTTAGTCAATTTGAAGCAAGTTGAAAACAGACCTTTTTGACCTTGAGAAGGTCATTAAAGGTCAAATGTCAAATCGAAAAGGCAGATTTGAATTTCTGAGAACATGTAGATGATTTTGAAAAAAAAATTAGTCAATTTGAAGCAAGTTGAAAAAAGACATTTTTGACCTTTTTTGACCTTGAGAAGGTCATTGAAGGTCAAATGTCAAATCCAAAGTCAAATCTAAAGTCATATTTGAATTTCTGAGAACATGTAGATGATTTTGAAAAAAAAATTTAGTCAATTTGAAGCAAGATGAAAAAATACCTTTTTGACCTTTTTTGACATTGAGAAGGTCATTGAAGGTCAAATGTCAAATCTAAAGTCAGATTTGAATTTCTGAGAACATGTAGATGATTTCGAAAAAAAAATTTAGTCAATTTGAAGCAAGTTGAAAAAAGACCTTTTTGACCTTTTTTGACTTTGAGAAGGTCATTGAAGGTCAAATGTCAAATCTTAAGTCAAATCTAAAGTCAGATTTGAATTTCTGAGAACACGTAGATGATTTTGAAAATTTTTTTAGTCAATTTGAAGCAAGTTGAAAACAGACCTTTTTGACCTTTTTTGACCTTGAGAAGGTCATTGAAGGTCAAATGTCAAATGTTAAGTCAGATTTGAATTTCTGAGAACACGTAGATGATTTTGAAAAAAAAATTTAGTCAATTTGAAGCAAGTTGAAAACAGACCTTTTTGACCTTTTTTGACCTTGAGAAGGTCATTGAAGGTCAAATGTCAAATCTAAAGTCAGATTTGAAGGTCAAATGTCAAATCTAAAGTCAAATCTAAAGTCAGATTTGAATTTCTGAGAACATGTAGATGATTTTGAAAAAAAAATTAGTCAATGTGAAGCAAGTTGAAAAAAGACCTTTTTGACCTTGAGAAGGTCATTGAAGGTCAAATGTCAAATCTAAAGTCAGATTTGAACTTCTGAGAACATGTAGATGATTTAGAAAAAAATTGAAGTCAGTCTAAACAGTATTTGTTAAGTTATAGGAAGTTGTAAGAAATTGTTACAGACGCCGGACGCCAACCGCCGGACGCCAACCGCCGGACGCCAACCTCCAACCGCCGGACGCCGTCGCAAAAAAACGGAGACCATAACAATATGTCACCACTTTTGGTGGTGACATAAAAACAGTCCGTGAAAGGCAAAGACATGTGATCCATACATTCAATAGTAATAATAAAGTTAATTGAATTGGACCTAATGTTTTCCTATAACTTGATGAATGTTTTTGTGACACTATTGTGTGAGACAGTGCATCGCTGCAACAAACAATGTGATCAGCATATTGCAACCAGCCACAATTTCATTTTTATTGCCCTAATCTAATTTAGTTCATTTTCTTAAGTGTTCCTGAATGTTGGAATATGCAAAATATATCTCGTTAGAAAACGATACCATGTACATTTAAGAAATGTAATAGTGTTATCTATAATTTAATGTTTCCATTAGTTTAATGAAATATTAATAATGTGTAATACAGAGTAGTTGCATACGATAAGATGTTAACATGGTATCCTTGTTCTACTAATTCAATGAGCCCAGAAGCTATGTACTGTACAAATGGTAATTACCCAAAATGAAACCCATGAGAAACTTAAAATTACACGGTGAAAACTCCATGATATTGGCACATGAATACTTCGACCTATATCTTCACTATACTTCAGTTTATACTTTTTACTTCGGCCTATACTTTCACTGTACTTCGGCCTGTACCTTCAATACACTTCGGTCTGTACCGTCACTATACAGTATTCAAAAAATAATGTAATGTATGTTTCTTGTACTTGTTCCTAATGGTTCACGTTATGTTAAGTGACATTTTGAGTACATTATATACATACCTGTCCTATCATATAAATTGAATCTATATTCTATGTATTTCTCGAGCCATCGGGGTATACTATCATCTTCAGCCTTGCCTTCTCGAACTGCCCGAAGATGGTCTCTGTGAAGACCTTGCCACATCAACAACTGAAAAGAATGGAATGGTCAACTATAAGTAACAAACACAACGAATCCTGGAAGCTGTGGCTCGAGAATAAGATAAGACTTTGCCACATCAACAACTGAAAAGAATAGAATGGTAGTAACAAACACAACGAATCCTGGAAGCTGTGGATCAAGAATAAGATAAGACCTTGCTACGTCAACAACTGAAAAGAATAGAATGGTAGTAACAAACACAACGAATCCTGGAAGCTGTGGATCAAGAATAAGATAAGACCTTGCCACATCAACAACTGAAAAGAATAGAATCTTCAACCACGTGACGAACGGAACAAATCCGGAGAGCGAAGCTGAAAACGTGGTTTATCGTTACATATGTGTTCCCATCATTCGTCATGTATTCAGTGTTGTATTTTAATAATGATACAGCACGAAGTGTAAGGTGACCCGCCGCTGTCACCATAAGATACATTACAGTGAATTAAATCAAACCAGTACGTTTAATTGAACAAAATTCCCACTCGGATTACAAAGTGTGCACCTCTTATTACCAACGGGAAATTATTGAAATGAAAAGAAATTATAAGCAATGTTTTAATACATACTTCCATGTTTTGATACGTATATTATCAATCTTGTCATATAACGAACGTCAAATTGATGCTAGGGGAATTGTAGAACCCCATTGCAGAAATTTAACTGCTGCTTTTAGTATAAATTTTCATATTCTTAGTATACACACATATACACGCATGACTGTATTTCCATATAATCGTATAATATCGTCTTATACACGAGCTAGGATGAAGATGTGAATTGTTTCCTTCATCCTAGACACGAGTAAGTGGTTTGTTTCTTGTTACGTTTGTTTCTGATTAATTGTCTGAAAACATTCAACGTTACATGCTTGATTTCCTGTACATCGACTGAAAACTTTAACAAACTGGATATATTTAAAGAATATCTACGAATACTATCTTGACCTCAATAAATATCATCAGTCGAAACAAGAACCTTCAAGAGAATGGTATGCATTTTCCTATTATTCATACATACATTATACATGAGCATTCCATTGGAATTTCAAAAATGCTTCCTGTACTCGTACGCATTCCAAGAAAATTTGGACTTTTCAATTTTGATAATAATTTAAAGAAATTACTCAAAAATAAAAACAAAATTATATGCATCCATGTTGATTATACAAAATGGATTTCGTCAGAATTATGGAAGTAATGAAAGTGTGAGTTCTCTCACAAATTGATGTCAAATTCATTGTCTTCCAAAATGTAGTTCATTTTCTGGCTTCTTTAGTAGTAACTGCTCTTTGCATTTGTTCGACTTAGCTTCTTAAAAGAGAGCTTCGTTTCCGTAGTTTATAACCAGACTTTTCCAAGGTAAATGTTTCCTTTTGTGCTTTTTCATGATTATAAGTGATGGTTGGGAGACCTATACTAGCGTGACAACTACAAGTACGTGTAAATACGGTATATTTAGTTTATCACCTATGGCCCAAGACGCGTAAGTAGTAACGTAACTTTGGTAGACTATTTAGCTGCTTACCCATTCATCTTCTGTAACTTTACCATCAAAGTCCCCATCAGCGGAATCCTGCAGATAACGCCATATCTCCGTGAACAACTCCTGCGCATGTTTGTACTTTTCTGAATCTATTTTCCATCCATTCATTTTGCAAATGTTCTGAAAAATTCAATAGTATGTATGTCGTAAAATTACTTCCACATATCATTATTGGGGGCATAAAGGGCAAGGGAGACACCTGGGTTTTATAAATGGATGTTACACACAAATGTGTGAAGAAAATGAACATGCATTCTTTTGGGCAATCATGATAAATATGGATTCTGCTTTGGAAAAACATAACATGGTGATTTATTCAAAATGGGAAGCATACCGACAGGGGCAGAACCTTGGGATGGTCGCGGATATTAACCAAAGGAAACATGCAGGGAAAATCAGCGTTGAGGTATGGGTGTATTTTATTGCGAGGTCGAGGATGATCCTCATAAATGCAATAGATTATCATTTACGCATACAGTATTGGTGTCAAATGATGACATAAATAGGTTTTATGAATTGAATGAAACGACTTCTACTCACCTCTCTAGCCAAATTGAGATCTTTCCACTCCAGACAGCCATCCTTGTTAGCATCTGGAATATACATATTATATGCATACAGAACCATACAGTATTTTGAGTGATTATTTTGAAACTATAAGTGATACATAAAACGTTTAAACCTAGTTAAGCATCATCCCGAATTAATAATAACCGTTGCATTTGGTTGCTTTTTCCAGTATTTATTGCATAAATTAATAAATAACAATTAACAAAAATGTAATAATGTCAATCGACCTAAGACATTACAGACATATTCACCAATAAAATATACAGGGTGGTCCAAAAATGGGACACTCGTATTTCAAAAATAAAAATTGATATTATGAATGAAAACGTATCATATTATATACCAGTGGATAGGGAATTTACTTATCTATAATTTGGTATATCATAAATTCAAATTTATTATAATCCCTATCAACCGGTGTCCATAATTCAAATGACGTCATTTTCGTTTCAAAACGGTTTTTCAAAAGTTTTTTGTCAACATAAGCAGAAGCTCAATATGTCCACTATTCTGATCAAATATAAACTTGTTGATTTATCATTGATATGCTTTTGAAAGAATAAATTCCACTTCTCCACAATTCTGTCCTTAAAGGACTGAATAGATGTACGAAGTTTATGGTACACCAACGCTGTTAGTTCTCCTCATACGTGGCAGAATTTAGCATTGGGTGTTCTGGTTTGAGGGAGAAATTAAGGGGACGATTCAATATATCCTGCACTGAGGACTTATTCCTGATCTCATATTCTGTTAATTACATTTTCCAACAAGAAGGGGCTCCAAATCATAGATCCCACAAGGCAGTAAAATATTTAAAGGAGAATGTGCCTCGATTCATACCCCCTTATCACTGGCCCTCCAGATCACCTGATGCCAACGTCTGCGACTGCCACATATGGGGAGTGTATCATGAACTCCTTACATCTTTTCAGTCCTTAAAGGACAGAATTGTTGAGAAGTGGAATTCACTGTCTCAACAGCATATCAATGATGTTACTGATCAGTTTAGGCCAATATTGGGGGTTATAATTGATCAAAATGCAGGACACGTTGAACATCTGTTTCTGTAGAAAAAAACTTGTTTTTGCAACGAAAATGACGTCATTTGTATTATGGACGCTGGTTGACATGTATTATAATAAATTTGAAATTATGATATACCAAATTAAAGGAAAGTGAATTCCATATCCACTGGTATATATAATATGACATGTTTTCATAAATACAATCATTGTTTATTTTAGAAATACGAGTGTCCCATTTTTTGAACCACCCTGTACAAGTGTACATATAGGGCAGAAACGTGATTGGAAAACGTGTAAGAGACAAATTGATAAACGTGAATGAAAAGTGAATGAATATGAAGGATGAAATGATGATGACGACTTGAAGGTGACAGTAGGAGATGCGAAAGATCTTTGTTTTTATTAATCAGTTTATTTCAGATATTGTGATACACTTTCCTGGTCAATGCATTTACCATTGTTGTTTAAATACACCCCCTCCATAAGTTTGGCAACCTTTGCTCCCCCATTGTACTACGTGTTAAAGCCTCTTTACATTTGAATTTTTATTTACTTAACCTGCTATAGAAATACTTATAACATTGATGGAAACGTAACTTGACATTATTTCCAATACCTCCAAATGTTCTCAATTTGTTTCCTCAGTAACAATAGGTCGAAAATTGATGATAAATTTGATGAATTTTTGAAAATCGACATTCCCATGTTAACCAATGGGAAATGGTAGGTTTGCCGCAAGCCATTTGACAGAATATCCATCCATCCGAGTCCTTACAAAAATACAAGTTATTAACAAAAAATTGATACGTTTCGTCAGGTTCAACAAAGTTATAGGTCTTTAAAGTCAAAATTGTTTTCCAAAAAAAACTTTCCCATTGAAATAACGCAGGAGGCGAAAAATGATTTTTAAAATGACTTTGAAGCCCTGTTACTTTAATATTCATCAAGTAAACTAAATACTTAGTGCACAAAAAGTTAGACGATTTAATTTTCTATATAAAAATATTTTTGCTGGATCTTTTGCTGAATAGATATCCTGATGTCTGATTTGCCCCTAACCCACCATTTCCCATTGGTTTACATGGGAAAGACGTTTTTTAAAAACTCATCATATTTGTCATCAGTTTTCGACCTATTATAATTGAGGAAAAAATTGGGGAAATTTGGAGGTATTGGAAATAAAGTCAAGTTTCCATCAATATTATAAGTAATTTCATCGCAGGGTAAGTAAATAAAAATTCAAACGTAAAGGGGCTTTAACGCGTAGTTCAATGGGGGACCTAGGGTTGCCAAACTTATGGAGGGGAGTGTACATCAGAACATATAGCTATTATCTTCATTAATGACTCATTCAATTGCTATTTCTGATTAAGTCAGAATTGAACTGTCATAAAACTGATATTTCATCTTGGCATTCCCGACTACAGATGTTGTATTGTTGCGATAAATTAAATGATGCTGTTATAAACAAAGGCTGCCAACTACATTACAAGCTGAATAGTTTACCCGTAGGTCCTAGGTCAATAGAAATATTCATTACATTGATTAAAAGATGGGAGTGTAATTGAGTCGACGATACAGTATATTATAATTTGATATACTGAGCATCATATCAGGGTATGAAAATTGAGACTAGGGATGAAATTGAATTTTGATTCAAAGTATGTTACCGAATGCCAGAAACAATTGCACTTTGGCCAAGCTCTGTATTTCCCAATAGTTTTCGTTTGTAAATATTACTGTATTCTATAATTAAAATGTTATCATATTAAATGTACTGTCCCTGGAGGAGGAAATATACAAAAATACAATCATAATATTATACGATACAATACAATACATCACAATAAAATACAATACAATACAATAAAATACTGTATGATGTCTAACAATTCATTTGAATTTACAGTTCGTGAAAATACGTTTTCATGAAAATCCATTTCAAAGAGTACCCTAGAGAATAGACTACACTCAAACGTACATGTGTTAGTCAACGCCATCATAATAACATTATTACTTGGCTATTGAATAATTAATCCAGAAAACGACTATATCCAAGGCACATATATTAAATACTACATATATGAAATGCTTTGAATTTACAATAATTGGTTTAATAAGTCTTATTTACTCTATTATTCTCATGAGGATGACAGCTAAATACACTGCACACCCCAAATTTGTTACACTTTGCATTCGTTTGACTTCACTTCTTAAAAGAGAGCTTCGTCTTCGTCTTGTAGTTTAACTAGACTCTGCACGCAGGGTACAAATTTGTATTTCCAAACAAAAAGGTCTATGATTAACATTATGTTGTAGAAGAGCGTTCTGCAAAATGTATTATCATTTGTTGAATTAATATAGTAATAGCACTGATAACCTTTACTTAGTTATAGTTAGATAGAGTTATTGATATATCGTGGAGTAAAGTTTGTGTTTCATGAATTTATTGTATTAGTATAAAATGTATGGAATTGTAGCGGTATGTTTAATATTACTTGTTGCATGTAGGTCTGCACGTGACTAATACTACAAAATAAACGGAAATATCCGGAAGGATAAGAGACTCTCTGTCGATCGTGATTGGTCGTATACATGTAGTCATTATTACGACAAGACCAAAGATACGAGGATACGACGTATCACGAAGTCCTCAATAAGTTTCCACATCCTTGATTCCAGGAGGGGGTACCGTATGTTATCCACAGTGTTTTTGTTTCCATTGGTATACCCTACGTTACTATTTGCATTCGTTTGACTTAACTATTATTGCATGTGTTGAGAGGTACCACCATAGGATGTAAAGGATGTATGCCATACGTACCATAGAATGTGTGAAATGTAGGCTAAACATACCATAGAATGTAAAGGATGCATGCTATACGTACCATAGAATGTGTGAAATGTAGGCTATACGTACCATACAATGTGTTAAATGTCGACCATACGTACCATAGAATGTGTAAAATGTAGGCTATATGTACCAATACCATAGAATGTGTGAAATGTAGGCTAAACATACCATAGAATGTAAAGGATGCATGCTATACGTACCATAGAATGTGTGAAATGTAGGCTATACGTACCATACAATGTGTTAAATGTCGACCATACGTACCATAGAATGTGTAAAATGTAGGCTATATGTACCAATACCATAGAATGTGTGAAATGTAGGCTAAACATACCATAGAATGTAAAGGATGCATGCTATACGTACCATAGAATGTGTGAAATGTAGGCTATACGTACCATACAATGTGTTAAATGTCGACCATACGTACCATAGAATGTGTAAAATGTAGGCTATGTGTACCAATACCATAGAATGTGTGAAATGTAGGCTATACGTACCATAGAATGTAAAGGATGTATGCTATGCGTACCATAGAATGTGTGAAATGTAGGCTATACGTACCATACAATGTGTGAAATGTCGACTATACGTACCATAGAATGTGTGAAATGCAGGCTATGCGTACCATGGAATGTGTGAAATGCCTGCTATACGTACCACAGAATGTGTGAAATGTAGGCTATATGTACTAATACTATAGAATGTGTGAAATGTAGGTTATACGTACCATAGAATGTGTGAAATGTAGGCTTTATGTACCATGGACCATAGAATGTGTGAAATGTAGGCTATACGTGCCATAGAATGTGTGATATGTAGGCTATATGTATCATGGACCACGGAATGTGTGAAATGTAGACTATACGTACCATAGAATGTGAAAATGTAGGCTATACGTAACATAGAATGTGTGAAATTTAGGCTATACGTACCATAGAATGTGTGAAATGAATGCTATACGCACCATAGAATGTGGAAATTGTAGGCTATACGTAGCATAGAATGTGTGAAATATAGGCTATATGTATTATAGAATGTGTAAAATGTAGACTATATGAACAATAGAATGTAAGGCTATATGTACCATGGACCATAGAATGTGTGAAATGTAGGCTATACGTACCATAGAATGCGTGAAATGTAGGCTACATGTACCATAGAATGTGTGAAATGTACACTATACGTACCATAGAATGTGTGAAATGTAGGCTGTACGCACCATAGAATGTGTGAAATGTAGGCTATACGTACCATAGAATGTGTGAAATGTAGGCTATACGTGCCATAGAATGTGTGATATGTAGGCTATATGTACCATGGACCATTGAATGTATGAAATGTACACTATACGTACCATAGAATGTGTGGAATTCATGCAGAAGTTTCTTCTTCTGAAAGTCGGAGAGTTCATATTTCTTGAGTCCCATGGAATCGAATAAATTCTCAACCTTCTTAAAGATATCTCTAAAGAACTCCATAACTCCCATGAAAAGATTTCTTATTATAATCCAGTGTCAGCGAAATGATGGTGTACTTTGTTCATTTGTAATAATATTAGCATTAACTGTTGCTTCAGCACACGATTGCAGCAGTCTATATAAAATTTTACTTTAAATACTATTATCAATTGTTCCATTGATGAATGTCACATATCCCTCATAGGGTAATACCCTCATTTAAATGCAGTCTCTTGTAAAATGATGTTAGATTATAACATATGTGGCTTCATCCTAAACTACATGTAGCTAAATGTAAGGATGTTCCTGTTAATAAATATATAGATTATTCAAATAAAATCGATGTCGGTGTCACGTGACATTTATCACTAACAATAGTCGTACATACTTCAGCCCATCCATAAAATTAATCTATTTTATCTTAGACTTGAATATATTGACGGTACGGACATTTTCACCGATCGCATTATGTCGTCTTCATGCGCGTAAGTCAAGAGATGCTAAATCAAATTCATTTCTTGTAATTGTATTGTGAAAAGCATGAACATTCATGGATGAAATATGCAATATGCGACATTATCTCGCGGATATAACCATCTGTTGCAAGTGTAAATAGGCAATATAGAGTACTAATGGAATGTTCCGTACAGGTGATGTAGATCTGGAAGGGACTAGACCGGTTACAATTTCCCCTCTACAAAATAAACATTAACACGCATTAAGAATTATGGCAGGACTCATAAATGTAATAATACAAAAGGCAATATAACATTCAGCGAAGTGATATAATTTCATTATTGCGTTTCATCATCGGTAGAATATCAATACACCTATTTTGCTTACCAGAACCTCTCGTCAATGTCGCTGGCAGGAAGGAAAATAGCGATTGGCATAAGATTACTGGTTTACATTTAATTTACTGAAAGTATTTTGATTCTTGTTTCTCTTTCACTATGAAGCCAGACAATACATATGAATCAAACTTTCAGTGGTACCTACATGTCAAACATAAATCAAAACTAAGATATGTCCTTGTCCTATTTACGCACTTCTTGGTATAACCTTTTCAATAATGATGATTTCATTTGCCTATGCGTCCTCACTGTCAAATGATGTTAAATACAGACGCAGACGATACAGGGTGACCCCCAAAAGATTATGGTGGAATCATCTTACACTGACTGAATGTATTTATTGAAGCAAGCACTGACACACTTGTGCCAAAAATGCTGCTCCAATTTGTTACCGAATCAGATCATACACTGTAAAGTAAGTACTACGTTTTAGATATCTGCAAGATGATGTTTCAATGATCTGATAGAATATGACATGTTTTGAGTCAATGTTGTATCGTACATCTGTTAGAAATGTTGTATCGTACATCTGTAAGAAATGACACGTTGTGTGCTAGATATGACCCTACAACATATATTTTATCCCTAGTAAAGACATGAAGGAGAAGTATGCTAAATATTGAAGCACAATATGTAGCAGAGAAAGAAAGACTGGAGAATACCCATTTGGATGAATTATAACATAAAGATGGCAGCTAATGACTCATGCCTGAGTCACAGCCTACGGCCAAAAGCAACCCTACGACCGCAGTACAATTTCCACGGTCACGAATTTAAGCAGTCACATTTCCTGCGGCAGCCATGATAGCGCAATAGTATAGTTTCCATATAGCTTTTGAAATCTCGCTAAATCTCGTTTTTCGTGAGATTTTAAGAGACTTGCATATTAGACCTCTAATGACTTACATTACCTTCTTTTAAATGGCATATTTGAATTCAGTGAAATGTTTTCTCCTTTAATAGCTTTGATTTACACAGTTATGTAATTTGAATAATTTTCTATAACAATTTAAAAAAACTTGGGCCAAATGTCCATAGATGCAATGCTAAAATTCTTTAAATCCGTGGATTATTTGTATGTCAATCAACATTTGCATGTTTAATCACATCATGTACATAAACAGGGTTATCATGTGGTATATCTTTCAAGTTTTATACAGATTCAACAAACACACTTTGATAAATCATGAAATTAAGCCACTTTTCCAAGATTTTAGCATGTAAATGAATGGAGCTCTAGCCCGAGTTAAAAGCTGAATAAAAGATGGCAGCACGAGATTTCATTGATTTTTCTGCTATTTAGAAACTATCCTATTGTGTGGAGATAGAAAATCTGCGATTACCGTAGAGCCGTTGTCAATGTTGATGTACGGTGGCCGTGTGGCCAGTCTTGCGTTACGGCATGGCTACTGCTTCTCTAAGAATAATTGAATATTGAATAAGCTTTATAGTGATTTAGAGTTGACTTTGGATTGGGGACGGCTCAGCCATGAGATGTTTCAAGTGAAACAGAAAGATGCTATGAGTATCAGAATGGGGGGACGGTAATATAATGAAATACCCTGGACTTAAAGAATTCTAAGGCCTGTAGAGCATTTATATCGTTTGATCATATATAGATGGTGCAATTGTGTGCGAAGCTACAACTTATCTACAGTAAATTGCATAGACAGAATAATTATGTTGTAGATTTGACCATGATAAAACAAGAAAATGCAGCAAAACTCCTCGAGTCGAGGTCTCCAAGTCAAAAAAATGCCTGACCCTCTTACCTGTTGATTATCCTGTTTATAACTGATTCAAGAGCGTTGCACTGAACGAACCTATATGCCAATTTGTTATTTGTTTAGTTGTTGGTTGGGTAACATGTTTATGACGTCACAAATGATGCGAAGAATCTTTAAACCAATCAGTGAAGTCTATGTTAATTGTTTGTTTAGTTGTTGATGCGGCAATACGTGTCTGACGTCACAGGTGATTGCATCATATTCCAGTCACGCCATTTTACGACATTGCATAATTTTAGCTGATTTTGGCTTCATTTCACTTTATTTGAAAGACGTTTAAAAATATAAGAATGAGTCAGTATTTTTTCTAATAAATATTAATATTTGAATTTGAGGTCAAAGTTCGAAAATTTGATCAACTGATTGAAATCACATTTTAAAGAGGTGAAGAAGTGAATAATTACAGGAGCAAACGTGATCAATGGTTCGAGGTCTCCCGCAAAGTAAATAGTCAGTCACGAGCAGATATATCCAGCAGCTCCCATAATCAAGTAAGATTTCCTCACTTTAGCAACCAGGACGTTATTGGATGTTAACACATTTGATGTACGGTGGCCGTGTGGCCAGTCTTGCGTTACGGCATGGCTACTGCTTCTCTAAGAATAATTGAATATTGAATAAGCTTTATAGTGATTTAGAGTTGACTTTGGATTGGGGACGGCTCAGCCATGAGATGTTTCAAGTGAAACAGAAAGATGCTATGAGTATCAGAATGGGGGGACGGTAATATAATGAAATACCCTGGACTTAAAGAATTCTAAGGCCTGTAGAGCATTTATATCGTTTGATCATATATAGATGGTGCAATTGTGTGCGAAGCTTCAACTTATCTACAGTAAATTGCATAGACAGAATAATTATGTTGTAGATTTGACCATGATAAAACAAGAAAATGCAGCAAAACTCCTCGAGTCGAGGTCTCCAAGTCAAAAAAATGCCTGACCCTCTTATCTGTTGATTATCCTGTTTATAACTGATTCAAGAGCGTTGCACTGAACGAACCTATATGCCAATTTGTTATTTGTTTAGTTGTTGGTTGGGTAACATGTTTATGACGTCACAAATGATGCGAAGAATCTTTAAACCAATCAGTGAAGTCTATGTTAATTGTTTGTTTAGTTGTTGATGCGGCAATACGTGTCTGACGTCACAGGTGATTGCATCATATTCCAGTCACGCCATTTTACGACATTGCATAATTTTAGCTGATTTTGGCTTCATTTCACTTTATTTGAAAGACGTTTAAAAATATAAGAATGAGTCAGTATTTTTTCTAATAAATATTAATATTTGAATTTGAGGTCAAAGTTCGAAAATTTGATCAACTGATTGAAATCACATTTTAAAGAGGTGAAGAAGTGAATAATTACAGGAGCAAACGCAGCAAACGAGCAAACCTGAGCAAACGTGATCAATGGTTCGAGGTCTCCCGCAAAGTAGTCGCTACGCTCCTACTGCAGAGGAGACCTCGAAAAAAATACTTGATATTATTTTTACTATTTATTCATTTCGATATATACGAATAAAATAACATTAAATTACAGTCAGCTGATTGCAGTACAACTGAAATCAATAATATTTGACTCGATCTTTATGTGATATGGTAAGGTGGGAACACAACCAAAATATAGAGTGTATATATTGATGATAGCACAATGACCAACATTTGAAAAGCAAAAGAACGCAACCCCCACAATGCATATAAAGTACAGTAAAACCTATCTGAGTGAACATCTCTCTCTCTCTCTCTCCCTCTAGTGAACACCTGTCTCTTGTGGACACCCTTCCTCCGCACATACTCTACTGACTTCTGTATAAATTATCCTCTCTGTAGTGAACACCTATCAACACTGAACGTTTTTCTCGGCAAAAAATGTTCGACATACACAGGTTTCACGTATGCCAAAATAAATACTGTCTCAGGTCAGAATTTATTCAACCACAAAAAAAGAAAATTTTGATTTAACTTGTGAATTTTCTCTGATTGTACATGTTAAGTATTTGTAGCATTCTCTGACACACCTGTTCTGTTTCATCAGATGCCATGCTTATATACAGTGAGAACACAAAATGACTAATCGAGTGTGTTTTATCTTTAATTTAACCCCAAACACTTTGATCCATCTTAACAAGTAAATTAACTGTATAACTTATGATTTTACGTTCTGTTTAAACTGTGTATTTAGATTCGGTACTCGATAAGTGCTGTGTTGGTTTAGGTAGATCGAGACGTGCTTCATGCCCCAGTCCCCGCCAGTCTCACAAGTATCCAAGGTACGACGATTGTTAAAATAAGATTAATCGATTATAAGTGTGAGAGGAATTGGGTAAAGAAGGATTTGGAGGCAGTTATTGACGGATTTTGATGCACAACCGTGTAGATAGCATGTTTCGTTAGATCTGTTGTCGGAACAGGTGCAACGACTCGTCCTGTGTACCAAACAACTTCATCGCATCCAACTTTACAACTTACTTTGTCAGTCTGAATCCTATAATCGGCAGAAAATGTATGTCTAATGTTGGCGAGCTGCGCGTCATGACAATGCAAGTGAATATGCATATTACCTGATTCGAAATAATCGCCAACCCCCCCCCCCCTCCACCCCCTTTTATCTCACAGACAATCAACACACAAACCCTAAACTAATCTAATAACAGCTTGATAAATAAAACCATGAAAAATTATCACTAAGATTATGATTCCCGAGTGTGAATATATAAGATCAAATGATCATATTTTATCTGTTGAACGGTAATCCTTTTTCTCGCATTAAAATTTTTAAGATATATGCGTCGGCATGATCAAAGCAACCCAATTTAGACGTGGATCCGAGAGATCCACTTGATCTTGAGATCATCGCGTTAGTTTTATCATTGGAGAATTATTCTTAGACGATAAAGTTGGCAAGAGATAAGGAAAAGATAATGTTATCAACATTAATTAAGAGCTGATATCATTGATACGTGAATTCAAAGATGTGAAGGTTGGTTTAATTGAAGCATTATGCTCCTTCGAGTCTTTCATCTCCCGCATTCTTGTTTGTGTTTACCTTAGTAAACGATCATCCTATTATACGCGTGTATATATGGCCCTATTTTGATTGTTTGTTTGTTTATTGATCTGTGCATATGTTTGTCGATTTATTTGTTTCTACAACTTTACATGTGCATCATGACTGTATTTTGACCATCGCAATGTTCCTTATTTTGTGATCTTGATTTTTCTCCGCTCTGTATTGATCCAAGTATTGCCTACTGAATTTTTGAAATTAAAAAAATTTTCTCTGTCGAATTTTATTAATATTGGATAATGCTACAATACAACTCATCGTGGTTTATACTTTACATAGGGCCTTTAAACAAATACTCTTTAAGACCACCCTGTATATTCATGTCTCCAGCAAACAACAAATAAACAAACGTGTAATAAACTCACTGGACCACGCGTACGATGAAATTGGGTTACGATTCCGATGTCACGCGTCTGGCTATGTAGAATTGTAAAAATAAGTAAATGTATGATTAACGTCACCGTTTAAGGTTAACCTAACGTGAATCCTGAATAGACCATACCAAGAACTACCCTGCGCGCAAAGTCTAGTTAGCTCTCGTTTTAGAAGTGAAGTCGAATGAATGCAAAGGGTAACCAAGAACATCATGTCAAATGAAATAATTAAATGATTTATTGGTCTCTACAATGAATATATACACGTATGAAATGTTAGCACCAGTTCGCATTTACAACTCACTCATATCTGTACAACTATTTACAATTTATATTATTTGCTTAGTGTAAATTAAATTGCCTTACGATTTCTGATTTTCTCACTTCTAAGATATCACTCAATAATAATTGAAATCATCCGAGCGCAGGGCCATAACTCCAAGAATAAATTCTTTTGGGAAAAAACGTGTGAAAACGCCCCGGACCCCTGCGTTCGGAGGATGAATATTCCTCATGGTAAAGAGGATTATCAAAACGCATTGAAAAGCTTACACAATGCTCTCGCATTAGTGTCAGTAAGATATTATTTCAACTGTTCAATCCGCAATGATTTTAATCCATGTGGATAAGTACTTCAACATGTTTTGCTTGTCTATTTAATAAGATGATTTCGTGGGATATTGAAAAGTCACTAATTTATTTTCACGGCGGGATCCTCGATTTTAGATTGCAGATCTGGTATCAACTGGTACTACGTCAGTTTATGGTTGGCCTAAAAGCATCTTTAATTCTGTCGGGGGAGTGTAAAGTACTTCCAGTGCATTCAACCAGTGTTAGAAAAGATCATTTCTCTTATTCACCAAAGTCACCAGCAGTTGAGTTCTCGATCGTGATATGGTACGGATAACGCATTGAGTTGATGACGTCATTCATCATATTCAACGACAGCTCAATTTCCATGGTAACAGAAGAGAGTTACTCTTGTTTCCATGGTCACCATATTCTGTATTGCACAGGCTCCAAGCATAACAATAGTATTTGGCACTTTCCGGCACATCACGTACGTTACGTCTTGAACACAGATCGACTGAAATTAAAAAAGCACACATGAAATAAACGCTTTTATCGTAAAACGTAAAATCGTATTTAATCAGTACAATTAATTCCTAAATAATCATAAAGAAATAAAAAAAGACATATTACCAATCAACAGTGTAAATCATTTCGATGTAAATAAATAGTAATTATTGAGCTTGAAAATGTTAATTACGTACTTTTTATGAAGAAGTCATATTTACATACAGTACGTACATTACTAAGAATCATCAGATTTAATGGAACATTTAAGTAGATGTAAAACAAATTAGGATTTAAAAATGAAGTATGTGTTTTGGATGTTTCATCTTCTTGGTGAACAAAATTCTGACTGCGCGAGAAAAAAACATGTTGGGATTAGGTGTATAATTTGGCAGTCTGCGCAACGGGTTACAGATACACTATACCCGCTCTATGAGCTACCGTGACATTCAATACCCCTGTCTTAGCCAAATTCGTGGGAAAACTAAAAAATATTTGCTTCTGCAATCTGCTGGTATGATTTTCACATGAGATAGACAACATTAGGAATTATGATGAATTTATGAGCGACATGCGGCTTCAGTGGAAATAGTTAAAGAAGATTGATGGGACACGGAGATCACTTGCTAAACTCTTTCATATAGTTGGCTTCAATCATGCTAACTGACTCCAACGCTGTAATTTAGAACTAGTGGTTTTCTTGTTTTGTCACTTTTGTCCTGTTTTAGAAGTTTTATTGTATTGGTAAACACACGACCAGCCGATGTTCAATGTGATCTTAGTAGTTGTTGAAACTACAACAATTTGTGCTTTCAAGACGCATGAACTGCTGATCTTTGTGAAGTAAAATTACGAGTGATAAAATAAATAAGGCATTTGTAACAGAACAAGTTAGACATGAAGGGCGACGGATGCAACACAGCCGTCCGGGAGAACAAGTTACAAGCGAAAATGTTTTAAAATTGTGTCACTTTGGTATGCGTGTTAACATGGGAGAGTGTCACTGGTTATTAGTAGAACACAGAAGGGTACAACGTTGCTGTTTTTCTTTTTATTATAGCACTTTTAAATGTTGACATAATTCTAAACGATTGTCTCATATTTTCATGCCAGGTGAATAATAGTCCGATGTATACTAATAAAAATATCACTCAAATGTTACCGATTATTAAAAATTGATGGGCAATGTCAGAACCTTACCAAAAGATTTTTATAATAAATGGATAGGAATTTTTCTGACACTACTCAACACTCTTGCGAACTATAACTAGGACCCTTCCATAATGGACAGTTCGAACGTGTGATAAGTACTTATAAAGTCTTGCTTGATTTCCATCGAAAAACAATTGAACAATTTCAAACTTGATATTAAGATAACCTGATACCCAGAGTGAGGCTCTCTGAAATAAGCGAAATCAAACTATCGAAAGCCATTGTAGGATCCATGATCTGTATTGTCAGGTACAAAGGAAAGTAGTGACTAAGGAACTCTGTTCAATCAGAATGGTCGAAAGAGTAATATTTTTGATTTTGGAGTGACTTTATAGTAAACGCGTGTTTTTAGTCATCAAACGCTAATTGATATGGGTAGAAACAGATATACTGGTGATTGCCTTGAAACACCTATTATAAATCACCCTATGCTATTTGTGTAGACTTATTTTCCAAGAGTGGGAGTTGACTTTGCACAGAGGCTAGTAGTCGGAAAACCACGGGTCTTGGAACTCGGAAACTACGTAGTATCCTAGCTAAGTCATTTCAACTTGTGATATTATCTACATTTCAGCCTAACTGGCTCTGACAGTTTTATTTAAAGTCTTTGATTTATGCCACTGGTAAACATTGAATCTCCCCCTAATTTGGTTAAGCTACTAACTTCAGAAGTAATTGATTTGGAACGTGGATACAGGTGAACGGCTTGGATGTCGATTTTTATTGTTTCTGGGTCATCAAGAAACTTTCAAGAAGAGAATGAAACAGCAATTAATCATAATTAAACAGAAACATAAAATGAATAAATTCGAGCAATTACATGGGGATATTACACCCGTGGATGAAAAAATGCGTCCTAACCAATTTTGAAGGACATAACAAACATATTACATTAATCACATCATTACCAAATTATTCAAAAAATGATCAGTCCTCCGTAGAATGAGTGAACAAAATAATGTTAGTCATTTTTACAATTAATCTTGCTCTCAACTTAACCATATCTAAGATTTTTCCATGAATAATTAATGATAAATCAATAATTTATTTATCAATAAATTATTAAAAAGGCACCATGCAGATGAAATGCTAAAACCTAAACAAGCTGTTGATTCTACACCTGATCCAACCTTCACTTGCTTTAAACTGAACCAATAATGTTTATTCAGAAAATGAATTTTCGGTAAGCAAAGATAAGTGATGATCATATTTTATTGGCTATGAACGATACACTCATAAAATTAAACTTGGACATGATAATCTATCTACAATTTATACGAATACGTGTTGGTATGTCGGTACATTTGTTTTGTTTACCATGGTTACGTGTGTCTTATCAGTTAATACACATTTTGGGTACCTCTTTTCGTAATATTGGTTCAGAATTTATCGCTACTCTCAAGCCACTAATATATTGACAGAGCTCTAACAAAATGACAACACTGGACACCTGTTTTTTTCAAGGGGATTGATTTCGGTACTCACAAGCAGTCAGGTTTGTCCTAGGGATTTGTGTGTGATAATTTTGATACCTTATTTAATTGTATAAACCTGAGATTAGGCACGATTGTTCTCTACTATCAGAGCATCGCTAAGGTTGCAACTAGAGAGGTACTAAACTATTTTCTACGATCCACTTCTGTTAGAGTGATGAATACTATTTCGTGGATAATTGCACTAAAATCATGTTGCTTATTTTATATTTTTATGTTTTGAAGATTGTATCATTGAGTCTCGACTAGGCGTGCAATTTAGTTTCGTGCTTTTCGCGATTGTGTAAAAATCACGAAAATTAATAGTCGCGAATATCGCCAATTAAAGGCTGAGGTGCAACATGCCATTGACTAAGATCTAGAGATTGTAAATCTTATCCAAAGTATATGATATTGGGTAGATGGCAGTTCTTAAATATATGATAGACACCAATAATTCAACATCATAATTTAACCTTTTCCATTAAATATACCCTGTATCAAGCACAAAAACGTATTTACACCCTTTACTAAAATGGCAACCCCTGTATCACGCACTTGTTAATTGAAAATATATTATCCGACTCACCGTTTTTAATCTTCTTTTAACTTATACGCATTTGTAGTTTCTCCATCATTTCTATCATAAGCTACGCGAATTCAAAATGTTGACTTACCATTTGTATATATTATATTTTATCCCTCCTAGCTAGGTCAGTGTCCAGTCATTCCCGACCAGGCCCCTTCCATCCTCCATACAGAAAAAGCATAACTGAGTCTTTCATGTGCCACATAACTGCAACTTGCCATCTTCGAGTCATGGTCATCGCTGCGTAACACCTGGTACAAAAAGTCAATGTATCGTGTAGCAAGTTTTAGAGTCTGGATTTTACTGAGTTTGTCCGATGGCAAAGTCGGTATGATTTTTCGCAGCGATGTAAATGCTTCATTTAGTGACTGGGTACGTTGCCTTTCCCGGACATTTGCAAGAACGCGTTGTGTTTGAAGATCTTCGAACGATTGGGGAGAGGTTGATACTTTTCGTTTTTTCTTGTTCATGGCATCGGGGCTTGTACAAAAATCATCTCCAAGAATGTCCAAAGTACGTTTCCTTGATTGATGCATGCTAAGATTCTCGTCATTTTCATAGTCATTGAGTTGGTCATCACTTCCGATACTTTGATTGTCATGGTAACTCTCATCTTTTTCCATTTTGAATCTCTGTTCACAATCCATTACCCTCTCTGGTACCATTACAGCTTAACACCTACGAATGTTCAGAATGTCGATTTCTCTCAATTATAACCACTTTTGTTTTGAAAAGTCCTATCGAAAATGTTGATTTTCCCACGTTAGGAGTAGAACTATGGCCGACACTTGTCGCAGTTGACGGTGCTATATCACCAGTATGAGCCTAAAGTCTCTAACACGTGTTGTTGTCAAACAAACTCAGAGCTCTATAATAAAACAGGCTGTTGATAAGTTGAGGAGAGAATTCAGAATGATCAGCTGCTGAAGCACTTGTTCATAGAAGCTCATTGCGGTAATCTATACCGCCTTCTAGGGGGATTCCTCGCCGATTGGCCATAGAAACAGATCTTATCTTGCTCATCTCGGTGCTTGTGATTTAGAGTACACGCAGAGTGTTAAATGATTGGTCCAATGCTGGCCAAGTTGAAATTTCTATAAGGGCTTTGTTGTACATTCAACATTTGCCAAGAAAGATTTTTTTAACAATCATTTGTTTACTTATTTTTGGATTATCATGTCTCTGAATATTTTATGAGGCATGTATGGGTGCAATATATAAATGATCACATACCGATATACACATCATCTTCGACTTCCAAGGTGTTTAGTTATAACACAAGTTTGAATTGGAGCATGGTCGGAGCAACTGAATCCTTGTGTATCAAGATGTGTACACATACAGTATTCCAACATGATTAAATGATAAAAGGATGTTAAACTAACTTATTCTAAAGTTATTTAATACAGTTTATTTGATAAACCATATCATGGGCTTTCAACAACCATGACCATATCAACTCATTTCTTCTCCGTTTTAAAAGTTTATTGTTGGAAAACAGAGAATCAGGATGTCAGTACTGTATAGATTTTCTCTAAATAAAGGTTTGCATCATGAAAGAAGTATATGATGTGAAGGGGTCCAGGCATCAGCCATGCAGAGGCTTGAAGTGAAGTAGATAGAGGGGGAGGGGAGGGGGGGGTCCAGAAACAAAATGATGGTGAGCGTGCGGTATCCCCCGATGATCTTGCTCCGGTAGCAAGAGCGCCAGAGGTGATGTATATCTCAACGCCAATAAGAATCTTCCCTTAGAAACTGATTCACAGAAAAGCTTTTTCATGAGTTTTTACTAATTATTGGGGTTGCAATTTTATATGGACAAGGTTGAGCATGGATTTTAATTTTAATAACTTTAGTTATACTTTCTGTAAGGTTGATTGTGGAACGGAAATAATGATTTTTGAAAATGGTCCAAAAGGGCACGCAGGAAACCACTAACAAAAGTCAGTGTATATCTTCAAAATCTCTCCACAATGACCCATTCATAATTAGCTCCACTTATCTCAATGTGACCAATCAAAACCCTGATTTTCGACAAAGGATGTTGGGATATATCAGCTTTGTTTCGAACTTAAACTTTATCTGATCATATTAATTCGACCTTAGAAAATGAATTGCTAATTCGAAACTTCCCTTTTTGTTTTAATGGATAATTTATTCAATATATTAACATGGTTATCAATGAAGTAGTCTTAGATTATTAAGTGTGTAATATATGCAATCTGAAGTAGCCTGCCACACTTTAAAGTTTGTTTCCTCAAATTATCAGATAGTAGCAGATATGAATCAGTTAATGACAAATAGAAACGCGTGAGTTTAGTTAACGTCTTTTGTTTTAGATCATTAAACCCAAACATCAAAAGGTCCGCAATTTAGGACAGAAGAAAAATCTATTTCTGAAACACTTGTCAATTGCGTTTAATAGTCGGCTAGTGTTAGACTATTATATTATTGTTATATATCAATAGCTGTTTGTTTCTGGACCATGCTTTCTTTGTGTTATCTACATAAAAATCAAACTTTAAGCCAAGTAATATTAAATGATGCTATAAAATACAGAAATAAAAGAAAAGTTACAAACAGAAAGCAGTGTTTTCATGATAAGATCATAAAAACCAAGAATCAGTTCATAGAGAAAAGATTCTTGACATTTTTAGTTTTATTTTACTTTTCATCAACTGATTAAGTTTATTTATACATTGTCCTACTTTTTTCTCAAACCGAGATTGTATCTTATCCAAAAATCTGAATGTCACATTGTATAGCATTACACTTCAGTACGCATGCCATCATTCAATTTGTTAGTTCCATATTTACAAAAATTCTTCAAAGTAAATATGAAATTATCAAACAGGAATACGTAAGGTTGCAAACTGATAGATATTAATTAATTAATATAATGTTCTTGTTTATCTTTCGGGTGAATGTTTGATATAAGGACCCCGTGAGCAGGAAAGGCCTGGACCTGGTCCCACACATCCCACCTCGTCCATTCTCCCTTTATGATAGAAGAAATGGGGGGGGGGGTAGAGTGTCTTGATGCAACACTAGTCAGGAAACAGATTTCAACACTACAGGTACATTTCACTTTCTGCTGCACTTTTTACATTAGAGCTGTAGGAACCTGTCTAGTAGAAGCTCTGAAACTCATAGGTCGCTCTTATCTCTCCTGTTGATATGAACGTAAAGTGATAGCAAAACAAACACCCTATCCATCAAAACACCTTAATTCATCTTGGAAAGGGAATGAAAGCTATGAATATTGGATGCAACACGTGGAACAGGGGAAGTCTGAACATTTCCTAAAGTCTTTTATATGATTTTGTAGAACTCTAATCTTTATTGATGTTTTCAAGAAATTTGGAGAAAAATATCAAAGAATTACACATACTCTTGAAGCTTCTTGCCCAATAATTTTACGAAATAAAAAAAACGATTCACACGATCTTTTCACTTTTGATGAAATCCCTAGAGAAGATGAAACGATGATTTCTTAAAACAGTTTGTATGAATATCTTGAGTATTGCATAGAGCTCCTTTTATTCAGAACACTCAGAGAGTTTCATGAAACATGGCATAACACTTATATTTAGCCTAAATGTGATTTGTGAAGAAAGTGCCATTGTGTTGCCATAGTTGAGTTCACTACAGTTCTATTTCCTGAAGCTATAGTTCCCACAACTCAAAATCTTAGTTGGAAGAACCTTTAGTTCGATATGTTTACTACCAGCAAATGCAAGATTGATAAATTTGACCGTGTCTGGGTAATTTTGCCGTCCTGTGTATTTTGTTGTCTATAAGACAAGTTGCGACTAATAGACTAAAATATGTTGAGATACCTTGGTTGGTAATGAATGATGTAATGATATATCATTTATAGACATTAATATTCGCTTTTAATAGTTTGATTTCGCTTCTGTAAAATAGAGCTCCTTCTCCAATAGTATTCACTACTAGCCTCAGATACTCGTATGGCACCAAGGATGAAAGAGGTGAGTGTTAATTCTAATTTATTCCAAGGGATAAGTCGAGAGTGTGGATCCAACAATGGAGTTCGAAGTCAAGAAAAAAGAACATTGTTTCAAGTCATATGGAATTTTTGTGTACTTGTCGATAAGATTTTGCCACTCACCGAACTCGATAATTAATTTCTGAATAAAAAGTAGCCTATGTCTAAAAATTCTATCAGATACCTTCAAAATATATAACAGATTCACAAAATAACACCAATGCTAAAGTTCTTCATTGGTGAGGAGCAGATTGTCGCTCTGGATAAAATCCATATTCCTCGAGTTTCCTTTGGAGAGCCTTAACATCCTGATTACCACTGCCCGATGCTATGGGTTAGAAAAATATAGCCTAGTATATATCAGCTGAAACCACCAGCTTTTGGACAAAATACTATGATTGTTGAACGCTAGTAGTGTGGAAAATGAGGCCGCTAAAACCTAAATAATTTATTGGACGCGTTTGTGAGATATTCTTGAAAACTGTTTCACCTGTTTGCTAGAGTTGGTGTTTAATCATAAAAGTAGTACTTTTGTACAAACTACAACACAATTTAGGCCTTTCCTGCCATTAGTTTTTTATTTCTAACCTTGAGTTAAGATTAAAGATTAGATTAAGATTATTCCAAGGTTTAAAAGATCACGTCACGCTCACGTTCGGACGTCTTCGCGTCTCAATTGAAGCCTTCATTATTAGTTACCTCCCATTGTATTGGACGTAATGTTAACTAAAGTATTGCTTTGCTGGTGATGGAATGATCAGCGCGCTAAGGTTTACAATGTTTTCTTGGCATTTAAAACAGAGGGATGAATCGCGATCATTAAGCTAGAATGTTTGGAAACCTTACACAGGTGCAGCTAGGCGCCGGGGTTTCCCAGGAGTTTTTGACATCGACTCTGTTTTTAGAAGCACCTAAATGTTTATGCATTCACCAATCACGAGCGAGAGTGAGCAAGAAGTTTATTTGGACAAGTGGTATAGTCTTCAACTGCGTGCGGAAATCGCCAACCTATCCAAACGAAATGGCAGTCTATGTAAATAAACGGGGAAGCTGATCGCTGTCAGAATTCACGAAGAATTCCCGTTTTAGCTTCAGCTGGTGGATTAATGACATCATTAGCCGAGGCGCCAAGCAGTCTGGTAAATCCTAGACAGGCAGCCGCAGCTTGGATTTCATAAACAACAATATGAAGAAAAAATTCCCTCCCTTTTCTAGCTGCTAATGAACAACTCGCTATCGGCAACCGGCTACTTAGAACAGTGTGATGCCTGATTTGTGTATGGGAGGTCAGATGGCTGAATAACAGGACCATCCTATTCGTGATTTTTCTCGTTATTAGTTATCAGTATTTTGTTGCAGAGGTAGTTAGAGAAAAAATTATCATCAAGGACGTATCAATGTGACTATTTGTTTAAGCTGAATATAATACCAAACATATCGGCTAATTTAACGGGTAGTACAATTTGGTAGTAAACAAGAGATAAGTCAAAAAATAATATATGTTTTGCGTATCAGGCCTGTATAAATAAGAATGGGCATGAGAATTAATGAACGATCATCTCGACACCAAAAACCGAGGGAGTTCACCGTTATGAAACGATTTTAAACAAGTGTAAAAACTATAATTCCCTTGTGCCTGTACATACCTTTAAAGTTCCTTGTTTAAAACTAGGGTTGATTTCAGTGGTTTGGAACTTTGGAATATTGTTTTACTCTATCTGTCTATTACAGCTCCTGTTTTCAATTGCGAGAGAAGCAGAGGCAAAGTAGAATCCTTGATTAAAGAATTTGGAAAAAGAAAGAATACTTCGTATCATCAAAATATAAATTGCAGAAATCCTTCCATCAAAAACAGAAACGACTGTGACAAAAGCCATTTTTTCATATCACTTATCACAAATGATATCTAGTTGTTTTATTTTACTCAAATCAACAAATCAAAAATCAACTAATTTTTTACTTATTTTGGCGTAGGTAAATCTAATTGCGTTTTCGTCAAATCTATGCGATACTGTCGATCATTGTCCATACCTGTTCATTTTAGTATTTTTGTACTCGTCATATGATAAGTTGCATTCGTTCTCCGCACAAGTTCCAGGTGCAAAACGATTAGAGTAAAAACTTTAGAACGCTGATGAGCACATCAACTTTTCTATATCTTTAGAAAGGTTGGATGTGGCGTCTTAGGGGATAATCCGGAGACGTAAGCACATTACAAGCTAGCTTATTTTAGACCCTGCAGTTTTCAAAGTGAGCTTTGGGTTCATATTTCATCTGAGAAATGTCACTCTCAACAAGGGCACTTTCGATTTTGGTATTTGCTGGGCTTGAGAACACAAATAACATCGTTTTCTGCATCGTCTTAAGGAAGGAAGGGTGGAGCAAATGCGATCGTTGGTATCATAAAATACAGCATAAGGCAGCAGTATAACTACAGTAAAACCTCAATATTGAACATCTTTTTGCCGAGAAAGAACGTCCAGTGTCGATAGGTGTTCACTAAAGAGAGGGTTATTTAAATTTCTTCTTAGATTTCTTTCAAGAACTAAAAAATATACATCACGTATCGAATTTTCCAAAACACAAAAAACATGTATAAATAGTAAGGCCTGCAGGTCCAATTCCCTCTGGTAGCATTAACATTGGTCTCGTACATGTCACACAACTAATATTTGAAACTCAACTATTATTCGAACTTATGATGGACATTAGTATGATACTAGTATTACTTTATTACCTTGAAGTACACATCATACTTTTGCCCGATCATAATCGAATACTAGTTGTGTTTCAAATATTAATTTCATGACATATACGAGACCAATGTTAATGCTACCAGGGGGAATCGGACCTACAGGCCTTACTATTTATACTCAATATGACTGTCATTCACCATTTATAAAGCAGTAAAAAATTAATTTGCTTCATGGGTGGCAAAATTTTTCTAATTTCTAATTTCCCGGTGAATGTCGAGTCTCGCATCATACGAATGTAATTTTAGGCGATCTGTCAGCATGGGGTGTATTACTACGCACTGATTGGGACATACGAATTGAGGACGGATGAAGTTCTCTTTTACAGAAGCGAAATGAAACTACATGTATTGAAAGGTGTTAGCTACTGGATTGATCATTCTACTCAGTCTACCTTAATCTGGGATCACATGACCTAGTAAATCTAAATTGCAGTGTTTGGAGACAGGGTGTCCGGACAGGGTGCAACTGACATGGACTTTTATCTTGTTGAGCCAGATTATTTTTCAGCATGTATAGGAAAATATATCATAGCAAATGGGCATAATTCATGACAACGTGTATGTTGAAATTGTATGATTTGCAAAACTTGAATGCTTTGCACAACTTTTCTCTTGCAACAACTTATAAGGTGGTCTACTAGGCTATCCAAGTTACATGACTATTATATTATCTACCAATATTGCAATTAGGCTCCAGGTTTAACATAGTGGGTTACACAGCATTTACTAACTCAGGAAAAAAGCAAACCCTGTAAATCATGCTAAAATATATTTAAATAGACCCCCTCTTATCTAGTTCATCTCCAGTTGTGGTAATTTACAAGGGCTTGAAGCAAGACTTACACATACAACATTCTTGGGTTTTATGTTTTCCAGTTTTATAAAATCATGCATTTCCAAATGCTGCCTCAGCTCTATATTGATGAGAAACTCCATAGATATATACATATATCAAATTACAACAATGATTTTGACAGGTTGCTACATGGAGAAACTCTGAGAACAGTTGTTGAAGTAATGAAGTTGAAATATGTATGTATTTCTTAAACAGCAGGAAGTGACAAATAGTTTTTTAATCCCACGTCTGCTTCTTGAAAGTTTCTTTTTAGATGTTTATGTTCTATTTCATCCCCATTATATCCCATTCCATTTCATGTATTCCATCCCATTCCATTTCATTTGCTAGTATCAAATTCAATGCAATCCAGGCACATCAATCTCCAGATATAGATCAAAGCTCAAATTGCTAATTGAGAAATAAAAATGAATGTTGAGGTTGAATTACAATAAGATATGTCTCTTTCTCTTTGGAAATAGTTTATTGAATTCACAAAGATTTACTGCACTAGTAAAGAACAAGGTGGATGTTCAATTACTAACTACATTCACAGGATTGAAATTCTGTTTACTGTGTTGCTATAAACAACAAGGCCTATTTTACATGAAATACAGGAACCAGTCTGTTTTACAAAAACATGAAAATTCCTTGATGGCTTTTACACATTTTCTAAATGTTCCTACCAGAGAGAATCACACCAAGCTATTTAGCAGAGCTGAAGCACATGAGGCTTTTGAGTCCATACCTTGTCATAGATGTCATGAATTCATGTATAGAATACACTTGAAAACAACAATAAAAATTATTTTAACAAAGATTTACTTCCATTACTATAAAAAAGTTTTGTATTTGCTCTGCTTGATATTTAGTTGTAGGAGAATGAATCTGGTCCAGTATGAAGAAAAGCTTTTCATAGATACAGCTGAATTTCACAACAGATGCATGTAGTTTTATAAAGCAATTTCATGGTTTCATGCCTTTTAAACAAAACCTGGTGGATTCATATTTCATCCCATTCATAAAAGCATAAAGAGATTTTATGAGAACAGTTTCTGTGCCTCAGCTATCATACAGAATTGTGCTTTAACAGTTCTTATTGTTACTGTCCAGAGTGAGGCATTGACACTCAATGGTCCCATTATCTCCAGAATGAGATATTCCCATCTCTAAAATCTCCTGATGAAATAGTCATATCAACACATAGCTGGCTACATCAATACATAGTCACATCATCTCATCATTTCTCTGAAGGAAATGCCTCTCAGTCAGGTAATTTACTCTCCTCTTGGGCCTGCGCACCTGGGCTATTTAATCAATTTCAAAAGTGGCAATTCCATAATTTTGTGGAGTAATGACACAACCACATCAACACATAGTCACAAAGTGCCGCATCAGAAAATAGCTCACTGTCTCCCAGGGGGAATACCTCACAGCCACGTACGACATTTTCCCTTTGGACAATACACTGTATACACCTGGTTCAATGTGAGCTATTTCACTAACTTCATATGTTCACCAATTTGTGTGGAGTATCTCTCTCCCTACATCTCCACATATGTGTTGAGTTAGTTAGCCAGGCTGCAGGTTGATAACAGAGTAACCATGGATAGCCCAACATCTGTAAATATCTGTAACAGATAGGCAAGCATTTAATTATGAAACAATTTACCACACCAAAGATCAAACCAAGGCATGCATTTTTATCAAATATTAAAGTCTAAATATTACAGCCAAATTCTAACATTACAGAACTCATCATTTTCATCAAAAATACCTCTGTGAATATTAATCCTGTTTTGCTTCAAAATGTTTTTTACAATACTCCCCATTTTTCATTCAGAAAACCAAACATGTTTATATTTGCTTATATAAAGAGCAAGCAGGTTTTATGATAAAGATGGTAAAATAACTCTTTAAGTAAACTGAACATAATTGGACATGATTGATGGATGATATGGTTCATAATTTTGTTTATTTGTTGTGAAAATATAGTTGATTCTTGTTATGTAAACTGTATTTCCATGAGAGGGATCAATGTCATCAAAGGGTAACTCTGAATTCTTATCAAATTAATTGCCCTTCGTGGGATATTTTATATCATATTCTAGCAAAGGTTTGCTTAAAATTGATTTCAATCAGTTTTTTGGAGGCCAAGGGAATATAACAAATTGCATTCTGAACACATTTTCATTGTCTCCTGAAAGCCAAATAACTCTTCCAATGAAACAAGTAGCTCTGGATCAATCATATGTAATTTGATAACAAAGAAAGTGTAATTATTTGAGCAGTAGAGTGTAGTTTGAGAGGAAACAACATGAAGGCCAAATGACTCACTGAATAAGTTGTTTCTGAAAATACCTCAAATGAAACTAAAATAACAGAATGAAAACCATCACTATGGGAGCACTCGTGGAAGGTCTAATATCTTGTAATGTAGAGTGTACCTGTATTCTAGACTTCTTTTTCTAAATGATGCAAGATGATTAGTAACTGGCCTGTAAGCATCTTATTTAAATCAATCAAATGTTAAATCGTTGATCTCAAGACATCCGTGTTATGATGTTACACTCGGTCTGCCAGTATAGACAACCAAACAGAATATTATTTGCTGGAGGTTTTCAGATAATTATGAAAGTATAGCAGGTACTCTGAATTCACTCTTCCATATTCATTAAAAGGACAAGAAACTATAATAGAAGCTACAGTTAGTTAGTAAGAGTACTATTGAACCTTTCGTCTCCATTTACAGAATTAAGAATACTCTTCCAGAATCATCAACCTCACTTCCCAGACTTTTTGAACTACTTTATTCATTTCAATAAAAAATACTATCTTTCTCATTTTTGTTCTTCAGTGATGCCTGATTTTAACAGGAATTTTCAACCGAAATGGTGTGCCAGCATAACAAAGAACCATTTGATTTCATTGACGTACAAGCAATTAATGTAAGAGTTTTCGTCACTGATCTAGTTAGAGAGAATATGATCTCTATGACCGGAAGAAAGGCTTTACTTGTAAAGTGAATTCAAGTGCTATACATGCGAGATGAGTCTTTGTTTTATCTTATACATAGGATAGAATAAGTCAGCACCTTACAACTAGCACAAAACTGTATTACAGCAATGGCCCTAATTTCAAATCTCAGAAAATTAACAAAGCTCAAAATCTTGGAATTTTTCAATTAAAAATTAGTTATTAAAGCGTACGGTACAAAGTTAGTTTGCATGATCATATGTGAGCATTTTATTTGTCATTGAAACTCTAAAGAATAATTTGACTGCAAGAGGATGACTTCATAAAAACACTTCCTTAGATGAAGTGCGTAAGATGCTCTTGGCCACCAAAGAAGTTTGATTCGATTAAAAACGATATAAGAAAAAAGTGTTCAACATCAAACCCACAGCAACTTTAAAGAGAGCTCCCTATTCTAATGCTTTTTTGCCTTAACTTAGTTTAACAATATGTTTAACATTACTCACATGATGCAGATTAAATTTCATTATCTAGTTTAAAAATTATGCTTACTATGAATTATTAACTTAATAAATGAAACTTTATATCTATCTTGGCTAGATGGGAGACTATCTTACCATAGTATACTTCATAAAGATATATCACCAGTGAATAATAAAGGTTAAAAAATAAAGTAAATATAATACAAAAAAATTCACTGAATAAAAATATAAGTTGAAAGGTATGTTTGTGTACATGTACTTCTATTCTCAAGATTTATTACTGCTTAAAAATGTAATATCAAGGCGCCATCTTTAATACTTGGCAAAAGGCAAACATCTTCATTGTGATTATAAAAATCTCCAAAATTTTAAAAACATATCTCATTACATATTTGTCTTGTCTTATCTTATAACTTTATTCTAGATACAAAAAAACGTTCATACTTGATGTTGTTTTAAAACTCAATGATGAAAGTAAAATATAATTTAATTAGCCATGGACTCTCAATGTGCAATGTGGACTGATTCATATGGAATTTATTTTGTATCAAAATTGGACAATACATGATCCATGTGAAAAGTCAAACCATTTGATGCGACACTCGAACTACATGATTCGAAACTCTAATCAAAATATTCGAAATATGCATCCTTCATTTGGAAACTCGCATCATCGTATGGGGTTTTCAATCTATGTTATATTAACAGCTAATTTTCTTACATAACTTATATTCATTCACACACCCACTTGTTCTATCAAGTGTCACACAAAGAGTTACACTTGATCTGAATCACTTTGCAAAATTCCAAAGCAATGTTGAAATGTCACATGAATTGTGTTATAAGTAGCATAGAATACTGAACAAACTACACACAGATCAAAGTAAATTTCGAAGGTACGTGTCAATTCGCATAGGATGGTTCCCGTTCGCATATGCTGTCACCAACAACTTGCACCTCACCTCAGGGTGCGAGATTTGAAGTCACGTGACATTTACATCCTGGTTTCTACAATACGGCACCCTCCATGGGAAGCCAAAAGTCACACGAGATTTCAAGAAATCACGAACAAAATCTCGAATACAAGCTAAGTTTGACATCAAAAAAATAAAGATATAAGTACAATGAAAAGGGAATGCTATTTTACTTACCATTTCCATACAAAGATGTCATCGCAGAAAATACATTTCTCATGTAAAAGTTCTTCCATCCCTTGTTCAAGGTCTGTAATAATAATAATACACATTTATAATGTTTAAAATGCATATCTAACACTTTTGCTCTTTTTGTTATCAACAATATACTGAAGGCAAAAAATCTGCATTTTTGAAAACAAGTAATTCAGGTTTGGGGCTCTTCCATTTTAATCTTAATCTAAAAGTTGTACAAACCCCATCGCCATCCCATGATGTTTAGTGAAGAATTGTGTAGCAAGGCATTATGACTAAACATTACTAAAGCTATTCAGGTAACAGACCTACCTTTATCTAAATTAATAGATGGAGCATCACATGTCCGACATAATCTGTAACGTATGCTCTGACAAGAGCTCAGCGTCAAACAACACCGTTCTAAAAGTTTAATAAAAACAAATGTGGCAGATAAGTGGCAATTTGTAGGTTTAATATCATTTTGTGCAAAATGATGAACATGTACATAGTTGCACAGAGATAAAAGAGAATGACAAAAGAAGATTGAAAATAGGAGATTGGAAATAGGAGATTGGAAATAGGAGATCGGAAATAGAAGATTGGAAATAGGAGAATGGAAATAGAAGATTGAAAATAGGAGATTGGAAATAGGAGTATGAATTCTTTTATCTCATTTGTTAAAATAAGAGGATTGTGTGGCTAGCCATTGGGGGATTCAGGGTATTCAAAACCTAACTATGGGATAAGTCAAGCTGTTTTAGCTGACACAATATTCAATCTCTATATTGAAATCATTGAAAATCTGATATTTTGATTCAAAACTTACTAAATGGATGCCCATTAGAACAAACTGAAGTGCCTGTATCAGTGAAGTCTATCTGCATTTGGCAAATATCACACAATTCAGACAGGACTGGTTCCTCTGAACCCTGTATACTTTGCAGTCTTGAGAGAGTCACCTTGCCTAAAATGGAACACATGGAGAGTTAATACTTCATGTTATAAGTTAGGATTTCTTTTTGAAGTTGAAAACAGTACTGTACCATAAAATAATTAGGAAATATCTAATTCATCACATTTAAATCAATTTTACTATCAATACCTGTGTGACAATAGGGTTTTATTTGATAAAATAATATTTTTTCTAACTCTGCTGTCACGCCCGGTGATCGTGAATATGGGACTGAGGGGGGGAGCAGGCAATTTCTGCTAGGAAATTCAACAAATCTGGAAGATTTATTTTTTCAAGAAAAAGTTTACTATTGAATTGCTAATTGGATAGGCGCACGGTATGGTAGAATATGTTAGGTTTTCTGGGATTTTTTCTGAAACGATACGCATCTAAGGTATGAGATCTATTAAAAAAGGCGCAAGGCCATCAACAGGCACAAATCAACGTTTTTGCTATAAATCAAGCAACAATGGACTACACGACCTGTAATAAATACTTGTAAGTGATGTTATCATAACTAAATTAATGTCATTGCTGAATTTATAAAATAAGTTTTCATACGTAAAATAAAAATTAATCGAAAATAATTAAAATGGGACGGAGGGGGGGAGGGGACGGAGGGGGGGGGGGAGTAATAATTCTATAAAGTGAAACAACTTCACACGAATTCTTGTATTTGAAAAATGAACTCATTAACTTAGTAAGAAACTGGATGATATACCCCTGGAGACTGAAAAATGGGGACATTTGGAGTAAAAGGACTTAAAGTCGCGAAACATCTCTAATCATGTCTTATATACATATTGCTCCCCCCTCCGTCCCCTCCCCCCCTCCGTCCCAAATTCATTATTTTCGATTATTTTTTATTTCACATATGGAAACTCATTTTATAAATTCAGCAATGACATTAATTTAGTTATGATAACATCACTTACAAGTATTTATTACAGGTCGTCCAGACCATTGTTGCTTGATTTATAGCAAAAACGTTGATTTGTGCCTGTTGATGGCCCTGCGCCTTTTTTAATAGATCTCATACCTTAGATGCGTATCGTTTCAGAAAAAATCCCAGAAAACCTAACATATTCTACCATATCGTGCGCCTATCCATTTAGCAATTCAATAGTAAACTTTTTCTTGAAAAAATAAATCTTCCAGATTTGTTGAATTTCCTAGCAGAAATTGCCTGCTCCCCCCCTCCGTCCCATATTCACGATCACCGGGCGTGGCTGTGGAGGGTTATTTTATGTAGTTCTTTTTTACCCCACAGGGTGGGCCTTCAGGGAACCTATCACATAGATACTAGTATTCCGTAATTCCGCGGCGTGGACAGAGTTTGACAAAACTTCAATTTTTTGCAGAATCCCTGATTTTCATGAAAATCCCGCGGAATTACCAGAATTTCCAGAAATTACATATTTTACGATCTCCTACCTTTGCGGGGTATTTGAAGAGTGTCTGTTTATGTCCAACAATCAATCATTATTGAGTACAAGTACGATTTCACCGTGAAATTCAACATTCTATCACATTTAAATTCGCTAAAGCGAGTTCGCTAATGACGCGCAGTTCTTACCTAGAAAGGTAAATCCCTTGCTATGTCAATTTTCATTGTTTTAAAAGATTGCAGAATTTTGACTTTTTTTGAAAATTTGTGCAGAATTTCGATTTTCTCCTTGCAGAATTTGCTTTTTTTCTTGCAGAATTTTTTGCAGAATTTTGATTTTTTTTCATGAAGAAAACTAGTATCTGTGCTATCAGATGTGTCACCTACAAGAATGTATTTGGAAACAAATAAGGTCCCTTTATGTCCCATAGCCTTAGCACAAAACCATTGACTTTATAGTAACTGTATAATATAGTGATCAATTTGTGACATTTTGAGCATCATTAACTCCCTTATCTAAATAAATCATTTCATACATTTTACACTATTATTGTCGATCTTTGATTCCCCAACTTAGAAAGACATAAAACTTAAATCAATATCAGATGATGATATTTAAGTTGGCTTCACTCATAATCTTACTCACCAAAATCTGAGATGGCATCACTGGGGTATTGCATCAATTTGGGGACATACTTTGAGGCAAAAAGAAGATGTAGAGATTTCTCAAAGTTCTTCAGATCCCTGATAAGCACCTTCATTCTATCCTGAAAAGAAAAAGTGATCTCATAAGTTGATATGGGTTGCTAAAAGCACCTGTATTTCAACACGCCAGATGATGAATATCCTAAGACTGAAAGAAGTACAATCGCTACATTGGCCACTCGATCACTATTGCAGAAGTCAAAGCTGTGTTTGCCTAAAGATAACACAAATACCACTTATGAATGCACCACATTGATTAACAAACTTATCAGACGATATATTTGTCAATTCCTAGAGTTTCACTGTCAGAACTTATGGAGGCTCTAATAATTGTCAGTTATTTGATGATACCAAGGGCCGACTTTTTGTGTCACCCTGGCCTGGATATCAGTGCCATTTGAAATCTATTTCTTATCTGGCATCAAATCATATACAAATGCAGTGAAATATAGAAATATGGCCTTACTTCTATTTTTTGAAATGCAACATCTGGTATTATTTGTCTGGTCTGGCATTCAAACTTTAACTGCTCTAACTCATTGAGTACAATAAATCTGAAAGGAAAACAAGGATTAAAACAGGAGGTCATATTCAGACCAAGAGAATGCTAATGGGTTATGTGACTTCAATATGTAGTGGGACATAGCTGGGTTGAGTAGAACTTCACATTCAAACTATGAGAATGCTAATGGGCTATGTGACTTCAATATGTAGTGGAACATAGCTGGGTTGAGTAGAACTTCATATTCAGACCAGGAGAATGCTAATGGGCTATGTGACTTCAATATGTAGTGGAACATAGCTGGGTTGAGTAGAACTTCACATTCAAACTATGAGAATGCTAATGGGCTATGTGACTTCAATATGTAGTGGAACATAGCTGGGTTGAGTAGAACTTCACATTCAAACTATGAGAATGCTAATGGGCTATGTGACTTCAATATGTAGTGGAACATAGCTGGGTTGAGTAGAACTTCATATTCAGACCAGGAGAATGCTAATGGGCTATGTGACTTCAATATGTAGTGGAACATAGCTGGGTTGAGTAGAACTTCATATTCAGACCAGGAGAATGCTAATGGGCTATGTGACTTCAATATGTAGTGGAACATAGCTGGGTTGAGTAGAACTTCATATTCAGACCAGGAGAATGCTAATGGGCTATGTGACTTCAATATGTAGTGGAACATAGCTGGGTTGAGTAGAACTTCATATTCAGACCAGGAGAATGCTAATGGGCTATGTGACTTCAATATGTAGTGGAACATAGCTGGGTTGATTAGAACTTCAATACAGTATTTGCACAACTGCTTTCTTTAAATTGATTTTATTATTAATCTTTATTATCTTTATTAATTGTTGAACCATTACAATGTTTTCCAATAGGTTCAATTCTGTTTGTTTCCAAATATTCAAAAACATAATATTGAATTAAAAATAGCATTTCCAGAATCTTATTTGGTTTACCATGGAGACATACCTGTTAATCTTGAGGAAATAGCTTTGTTTCTCCAAGTCATCTTTATCTGGACAGTTGATATATTCCCAGGTGTGTTTGCTACATTGGTGTCCTCTAAGACACTCCAAGATGTCCTTCCTTGATTGAAAGTCACCTGAAATTGGCAAAGAGTTATTCAATCAGTTGATACACACCCAGGTGTGTTTGTCCTCTAAGACACTCCAAGATGTCCTTCCTTGATTGAAAGTCACCTGAAATTGGCAAAGAGTTATTCAATCAGTTGATACACTCCCAGGTGTGTTTGCTACATTGGTGTCCTCTAAGGCACTCCAAGATGTCCTTCCTTGATTGAAAGTCACCTGAAATAGGCAAAGAGTTATTCAATCAGTTGATACACTCCCAGGTGTGTTTGCTACATTGGTGTCCTCTAAGACACTCCAAGATGTCCTTCCTTGATTGAAAGTCACCTGAAATTGGCAAAGAGTTATTCAATCAGTTGATACACTCCCAGGTGTGTTTGTCCTCTAAGACACTCCAAGATGATTACATCAAAGTGGAGTGCCACAGGTGGGGGGGGGGGGGGCAGTATCACCTGGCCCCATCCTCAATTACAATGAGCCTGATAAATAAATTTGTTCTGTTTTGCACATGTACAATTTGCTACAAAAGTTATTATGGCAATAATAAATGAAACTTATATAATTATATGATGTAATTCCTAATTAAGTAACGTATTAGTTTTCTTACCATCTTCCTTAAGAAGCTGATGACACTGATCTTGCGAAAACCTGGAGAGTAGCTGCACCTTAATATATGGATTTTTGGCCAGGTGGTCCTTATATGTCACAATACTGAAATGAGCAAACCAATATTTTTAAAAAGGCATGACAAAATGTCACCTTATTGTTGAAGTCACAAAAAATATTTAGACTAAAATCATTAATATGTAAGATATGAACTGTCAAAATGTAGTTATAACCTGGAAATGGGATACTGTATGTATCTGAACATAATATTTACCTTTCAATAAAAACAAGCAGTGCTTGGTTTTTTGAAACACAGACATCGTGTATCCCCCATGTCTTATTGGGATTACTGCTTGCCAATTCCTCATCCCCTTGTTTCTGTATTTGAATATCTGAAAAATGCATGTTCATTCAATGTAAACACTTTTCGCAAATCTATGCAATTACATTGGCTACAGGAATGGCATGCATATGATATAAATGTATTTAGAAATACATGAATGAAAAATGAACATTTTGAAACACACAAATGTTAAACAGACTGCCACAAAAGATGGAAGACAACTAAGAAATCTACACTTGTCATTCAGAGCATATAATAAAACATAAAAATATTAATTCACTGTACATGGTCGTATTTCTCACCATTGTCTTGAGATTCTATTGTGTACATAGTGATGCTCCTATCCACCGTAGTAATATAGCATTTGCCTTTGTTGTATACTACACGGGTGGGAGGCAGATAGTCGCTGACCTGCAGTATGCTCTGACAAACTATAACAACAGCCCTATTAGCTTCAGCAGCCAGTTTTGTGCATATTAGATAGTTTCCTTTTAAAGCCAGCAATAGGCAGTCCTGAAACATAATGAATATTATGATGTACCTAACTGGATCAGAATGTCAATTATACAAGACATATGTTCCACCAGAATTTCTCACAACAGGCTAAATACTTGTATGATGATTTTAAACTTTGATTGAAATGAAAACAACAGGCAAAACTAACATATAATATAATGGAAATCATAAATTCAACATGGAAAAGTTGAAGTCCTTCAAAACAACAGGGGATTTCAATTTGTGAATACAACCAGTGAAAATCACCTGTTGCCTGCTGCTAATGAAACTCCTGCAAGAATATTGCATTTTCATGTGCAACAATGAGAGTTGTTATAGAGTATATATTAGAGTATATATTTGATGGCCAATGAGGCAACTGTAGATGCTATATGGCATTTCTTTATGATTTGAACTAAAGATGCTATATTGCATTTCTTTATGGTATGAGCGAAAGATGCTATATTGCATTCCTTTATATGAACTAAAGATGCTATATTGCATTTCTTTATGGTATGAGCGAAAGATGCTATATTGCATTCCTTTACGATATGAACTAAAGATATATTGCATTTCTTTGTGATATGAACTAAAGATGCTATATTGCATTTCTTTATGATATTAACTAAAGATGCTATCTTGCATTTCTTCATAATATGAACTAAAGATGCTATATTGCATTCCTTTATGATATGAACTATATATGCTATATTGCATTTCTTTATAATATGAACTAAATATGCCATATTGCATTTCTTTATGATATAAACTAAAGATGCTATATTGCATTTCTTTATAATATGAACTAAATATGCCATATTGCATTTCTTTATGATATTAACTAAAGATGCTATATTGCATTTCTTTCTCACCAATATTAGGTAGAGTGTCCAATTCTGAACCTGAAAATATGCTTGCACCCAATCAAAAACCAATTGGCACCAATATGAAAAAATAGTACCATGGGTACAGGACTCACATGGTGTTGCTAAAAATGAGAAAAGGAGAATAATAGCTAAAATGGCTGACAATAAAAAAGAGGACATACATTTTTTTTAAAATTATTTCATGAACTACTTTTAAGTGACGTCATCTGAAATTATTTATAAAGCTACTAAATGGTCCAAATGTGAATTTTCCGCGGCTAGAATGGTGGCCATTTTGAAAATATGTGAGCTTTTGAACCAGTACTCACAGAGGGATTTCTGTAGTGATGATGAATCAAAAAACTTAGGAAAATAGGAATCCCATCGACAGAGCTTTTAAAATGAAGCACTTTAGTTGACAAACAGACAGACTGCTGAACATGTCAATGATAGCTAAAATGGGGGACAATAAAACAGCAGATATATGTTTTTGCTGACTTCTTTTTCAAAATCACTTCATAAAACTACTATTTACATGAATTTGTGTCATTTGATTGTGATAATATTTCTTTGGTGAATGTGAGATCCAAGTTATGTTTGGGTGGTGATTATACCAAAATGATTCTCCAGATTCTGGTGCACAGATTGTGATCCTTTATAAGTGAACACCTACCTCCCATTTATTTAGTTTTAAACAGGCATATACATGTAACCAACCATCAATTTCCTTGCAACAATATCTAAATAGACAATTTCTAAACACATTCATGACATCAATATCGTAACTTACTTTCATAATCATTCTAACTTGCAATAATGAAAAGTTACAATACCCAATTTATTGTTTGTTTAGGACTGTAGATATTCAATGCAAAATATTATTTTACATAAATCCAATGCAGAAAAGTTCAATCCAACTAATACACTCAGTAATTAGATATTTTCGACACCTTCATTCTGAGAACTAAATTAGCAATTTATAAACAAGTTCATTAGTGTAATTCTTCACCTCCTCCCAGGTGCAAACCTGCCAAATCTGACAAATTGGATGACCAAGCAAGCAATAAATGATATTATTAAATCAATCCTATAACATCTTAACTAATAAAATGAATCATAACATTCGAGAAATTGCAATGTTAAAAGCTGTGTTCTTCAATGATTGTATATGTCAGTGGTTCTTATTGAAATGCTGAAAACATAACTCAAAGTTAAAATGGTTGAAGTCATTAATTATGATTTTCCTATTTACCTTGTCACCAAACAGTAGAATATTTGGACCTCAACTCAGTACACCAGTGATTGTTTTATGAGGTGTTCTGGAGCTCGACTAGGGTCTAGTCAGAGCTTGTGTCTAGGCTGGGCAGAGCTTAGGCATGGTTGATATGTCAGATCACTGACATTGGCTGGGTGAAACCAACCTTGTCTTTTGACCTGACACTGCTCGTGTCTGGGATCGGGGTGTCCATTGGGGAGGGTGACATACAGGGCTACAACTCAGTACACCAGTGATTGCTTAATGAGGTGTTCTGGAGCTCGACTAGGGTCTAGTCAGAGCTTGTGTCTAGGCTGGGCAGAGCTTAGGCATGAAACCAACCTTGTCTCTTGACCTGACACTGCTAATGGGGGGGAGGGTAAAGGGATGAGGGTAAAGGGGGGGGAGGGTAAAGGGGGGGAGGGTAAAGGGGGGAGGGTAGGTAAAGGGGGGAGGGTAGGTAAAGGGGGGAGGGTAGGTAAAGGGGGGAGGGTAGGTAAAGGGGGGAGGGTAGGTAAAGGGGGGAGGGTAAACGGGGGAGGGTAAAGGGGGGAGGGTAAAGGGGGGAGGGTAAAGGGTAAAGGGGGAGGGTAAATGGTAAAGGGGGAGGGTAAATGGTAAAGGGTAAAGGGGGAGGGTAATAGAAATACAGTAGCTTTTTGCATAAAAAAAAACATATTAATCATACAGTTTTATATGCTGTGACTAAAATACATTAAAATGGCAGCCATTTTGAAAATCTGATTTCAAGCAAAACGTGTACTCGCATGAGGCATATACATATAAAATATAAACAATATTGGCCCAACAGTATTTGAGTTATTGTCCAAATGGATAGATGGATGGACAGGCAAGCTATTGGAAAAGCTCAACATGCGAGTTAATAATGATATTGAGAGTTTGACTAAGTATTGTCCAAATGAGTATTTTGCACCCACTTGAGGAGAAATCTTAGGGAGGAGATTGACTCAATTCAGAACTTCATATATAATCAAAAATGCAATTTTCTCGTTAATATCAGAGTCAATCAATCTTTCCTAAAATTCTCTGGTCTCCTTTGACCTCCTCATGTCATCTATATCACATATAGCCTCCTCCATACAATTGAATGGATTTTGGAATCCTGGGTTCAGGCTTCATACCATTAATAATAGTGATGTATATACTCAGCTTACCTGTTCCGCCCACTCTAAGTGCCCAACTCCTATATCATCCTCATTTTCCCACACATCAATAGATGGCGCACATGGTTGATCCTGGCCCATGCATTCATTACCAGATGCTGATGTTTCGAATTTAGTTTGATCCATTTGGATTAGTTTGATTGGTCCATCAGCCCAGCCAATAACCAATAGGTTATCTAGAAATAGTTATGATAATACAATATGTAATATGGACATACTTTAAACCAGAACAACGGCAACGCCAAAGCATAGCGAATCCCATCGAACAGAAATGGCTGGCATTTTTACAAACGAAATATATAGCAAATATCATAAAATAACACACATAAGAAAGGCCACCATTTTCAAAATGGTTGCTCACTAGCCAAGTTGTCATCAGAAGTAAAAAAATTTTAAAAATAGCACACACGTACATGTCAATGGTGGCCATATTTTAAAATGGCCACCTACTACCCAAAATGTCTTAAGACAGTATGCAATGCTTATGGGTATTCACATATCAAATATGAACAAAATCACTCTATTACTTTTTGAGTTCTAATACAAAATGTAAAATAAATCTTTTTCAAAATGACAGACTACTCCCCAAAGTGATATTAGACAATGTGCCATGCTTAAGGTATTCACATATCAAATATGAACAAAATCGCTCCACTACTTTTCGGGTTATAGTAAAAAATGTAAAAATGACAGCCATTTTTAAAATAGCCGCCTAGTGTCATGAGACAGTGCTCATGAGTATTCACATGTCAAATATGAACAAAATTGCTCCACTACTTTTCAAGTTATAGTAAAAAACATAAAAATGGTGAAAATTTGGAAAATTGGCTTTCAAGCAGAACTTGTACTCTCATAGGGCACATGTGTACAAAATATGAACAAAATCGCAACAAAGGTATTTGAGTTGAGGAAAAACCTGTGTATATATGTGAACAATGAATGCCTCTAGCTCTCTAAAGGGAACACTTTAGAATGAAAATATGATTTCAAAATAAACAAAAGAAATCATGTTCTCAGAAAAAAGCTTCCAATTATTTCATTCATAAATGTCCCACTGACATACAAGTAGAATAAAACAGTTGATGAAGTATTTATTCTATTTATTTCAGCCTATATTAATGTATTGGAAAGCTTACCTGGAAAAATGTTGGAAGAACACCATTTTACTTCTGTTGGGAATGTTTTATTGGTATGAAGTGTCGTCTGAACTTCAATATCATTTCTATAATCAAAGCAAAAACAAATGGTTATGTGGTATCAAGGATTATTCTGCTTCCCAACTAGTGAACAGCACATAACCTTTTGAATAACAGCATGGAAACAGGCAGCCATGATGCAAGTGATGGAATGAGGCAGGTGAGGGAATGAAGCAGGTTAGGCAATGAGGCAGGTGATGGAATGAGGCAGGTGAGGCAATGAGGCAGGTGATGAAATGAGGCAGGTGATGGAATGAGGCAGTTGATGGAATGAGGCAGGTGAGAGGTGAGGCAATGAAGCAGGTGAGGGAATGAGGCAGGTGAGGCAATGAGGAATGAGGCAGGTGAGGCAATGAGGCAGGTGATGGAATGAGGCAGGTGAGGCAATGAAGCAGGTGAGGGAATGAGGCAGGTGAGGCAATGAGGCAGGTGATGGAATGAGGCAGATGAGGCAATGAAGCAGGTGAGGCAATGAAGCAGGTGAGGGAATGAGGCAGGTGAGGCAATGAAGCAGGTGAGGGAATGAGGCAGGTGAGGCAATGAGGCAGGTGATGGAATGAGGCAGGTGAGGGAATGAAGCAGGTGAGGCAATGAGGCAGGTGATGGAATGAGGCAGGTGAGGCAATGAAGCAGGTGAGGCAATGAGGCAGGTAATAGAATGAGGCAGGTGATGGAATGAGGCAGGTGAGGCAATGAGGCAGGTGATGGAATGAGGGAATGAGGCAGGTGAGGCAATGAGGCAGGTGATGGAATGAGGTAGGTGAGGCAATGAGGCAGGTGATGGAATGAGGCAATGAGGCGGGTGAGCCTCACAAACACAGACCCATTACACACATTTTGAAATACACTTTATGCAGATTAGACACGATATCGTCAAAATTAGTGTCTGTTAGAACATCAGAACTGTCAGGATTTGTTAACAATGAGAGCCATTCACACTAGGTGATAACATAGGATAGGGAGGAGGATATCTAAAATATGACACATGAATAGTGTTCATGTTTGAAAGGATTCACTTTGGCAAGTGTTCTTATGAACAGGTTTTAATGTAACAGAAGCTATTATTTATGATTATAAATTATAATGGCATTTAACTCATAAGAAATATCTGTAGTTTTGTTTCACATTAAAAATCATGGGTTGGTGCACTGGTAATTTATGCAATAACTTTCTTTTATTGTTCATAAAACTATATCGATGCAGTTAACACACATAAATAAAAGTAATATTCTTACATGACATTTCTATAATCTAATCAGGTGAAGCATAAACTGAACATAAAATATGAATGAATTACATTAGAAAGGAACGGCAGAAAGGATATGGATTTACATACAGTTTTACATACAGTAATTTTGTTGTTTAGTTCATCTATACACAGGATCAAAGCAGGTAAACAGTTCATCTCGCTAATCTCAAAATCTACTAACTTAGGACTACTTACAATTGTTCATTGAAGTTAATCTAAATTGATTTCTTGATATATTTACATCTAGCAATTAACAATGTACAATAAAACATGTGCAAAATAAATGAACATACATGTACATGTAGCTCAGAGACTGAATAAATAGAGGACATCCTATGATTTTTGAGAAATATCATTTTTATCTACAAGTGGATAAAATAAGAAAATCATAGGACATTCTCTATTTATTCAGTCTCAGAGCTACATGATCATAGGATATCCTATTTATCCTATGGAAGTCTTGACAATAATTATCCATATCCGGGTAAATGTCTTTCACATTTAGTTTTTCACCTTGATTTCAAAATGTCAAAAATTCTTCAAGAAATTTTACATCAAGTCTGGTTTTATACAAAGTGATTGCATGAAAACATTCAAATCATTTTAACAAGGACACAATTAATGCTTGGAACTATATTCCAGCAGATGAATGAGGCAAGGCTGTTATTTGGCAAACCATTTTTGGTGCTAAATTCAAAACGAAATGAAAAAATAGTATCCATCATATATAATTGGATATCACGTCATATCAGTTGGATACAATATTAGTGGCGCGTACCTAAAATTATCTTGTATTGTTATCCCCATATATATTTAGTATTCATGGGATAAAAGTGCAATAGTGTAAAAGTGTAAAGTGTAATATGGGAGTCAATGAGATCTCTAAGATGAGATTCATTTCTTGACAATCATATAATTCTCCGATTACAATATATAATAAAATCTGTTTCTAATAAGAAGACAGTCAATGAGGCATCCAAAAATAAGGGACCTTTTGTGTGTTCACATGCAAACATTTAATAAATAAAAAAAGGTTCTTGTTCTATTTATATGTTTAACACACTTGTTCCAAGCCTACTTTATTTAATTCATTGGCAGCAGACTCATATGCCTGATGACTATATAGCTGATAACTATATACCTGATGACTATATACCTGATGACTATGATTAGGTACTGTCTCAACTATATGAAATCAATTTTCAGGCCAATTCCAATAATTTAATACAGAACTTCTCCATTTCAGATGATGGAGACAAAAAAGATTATGAAGTGAGGCTAATTGGTGGTGATGAGAATTATGGAAGGGTTCAGATATATTACAATGGTGCATGGCGAAGTGTATGTAACTCTGGATGGGGACTTGAAGATGCAAGAGTTGTATGTAGGCAATTGGCCTTTAATCCTGATGAGACACTAGTACTTACATATGGTAAGTGAACTGCAATCTGCATATATATGAGTAAAACATGTCTAAAGTGAACAATGCTAAAAGTGCCCATGGAGTGCTCACTTATAAGACTTTCTGATTGTATGAACATCTTTCGCATGTTCTTCGATGGGACCTTTAAGTAATTACAATAAATAAGGTGTCCACATACATGGTTTTACTTGATCATACTTAAAATTATTGTAGTTTTATCATCTAAGAATTTCCTGATCCTGTAATTTTCTGATCAACTTCCAACTCGATTGAAGTAACATGGTAATATATGATATCAGTAATGTTTAATAAATACAATAAAATACCATTATAGTTGCAGTTTCCCAACATTACTTATTTTTGAGATTCAATAATTTGAGTGAATTAGGAATTAATATATCTGTGCAGATTTTTTTTATTCAGATGATTTAACCTCAAATAAGAAGAATCCTCCAGTATATGGCAATGGAAGGGAAGCTGGGTATATATTTAGAAATGTCCAATGTAATGGTACTGAGGACAATATCTCTAGCTGCAGCATGGACATCAGCAAGCGTTGTAGGGTACACATTTGGATTATACCCAACCATCACTCAGTAGATAGGGTTGAAATAATTTAGAAGAGGGATGTTGGTAAATTGTCAATTGAAGAGATATATACCAATATAGGAATGCACTTTTTTTATCTTTTCCAGTTTTTGCTTTTAATCTACATGTATTTCCACACATGTAATCAAGTTCCAAGCACATAATCTTTTAACATAGTCTGATTTACAGAAAAGAAATGATGCTGTGGCAACATGTAAAACAATTATACGACTTAGAGATGGCACCAATACATCAGGAAGGCTGGAAGTCTACAAGAATAAACGATGGCTATCAGTCTGTTATTCTTCAACCCTCGGCCCAAAGGCTGCAGAACACTTCTGTTCTCTGTTGGGAGTTAAGCCAGTTAATCCAATCATCATTGGTGATGCATACTTTGGAAAAAACAAGCAGGATACATGGTGGATACATTGGCCATGTATATTTGGCTATTGTAATCTAGATATATGGTGGTTGCCCAAGTGTAAAAGAGGAAAATATGCTAGTATCAAATGTCAAAATAATAACTCAAGAGGTGAGATGCATCATTTAACGATTCCTAATTAAGAATCATAGTATTTTTTTATTTTGCCTATTTTGTGTACTTTATTAGAGTTCTAGATTTGTACATGTAATGGTATGCAATAATTCATGGATTACTAATTGCCTATTAAAGCTCATACACTAAGCAATCAAAGACAGCATCCAAAATCAAAATAAACTTTATATTGTTCAGATAATCCTCCAGAAATCATGCTGGCTGGGATTAACAATTACTCTGGAATACTTATAATGAAGAAATTTGGTGTATGGGGTGGAATAGCTCTACGGCAACCTCAAAGTGACGAGAATGTCATATTGAACAATGCTTCAGATGTTGTATGTCACAAATTGGGATATGGCACTACTGATGCAATGTCCATCCCAATAGATCATACACATATCCCTATATCAACGATTACATGGATGTTTGATGTTTACTGTACTGGGGATGAGGACACAATATTTAACTGTGACCATACAAAATGGGGTGAACCATATATATATGATAGACAACCAAGTATGGTTTTTATAACCTGTAGGCTTCCATTGAGACTTGTAGAACAGGTGAGTGATAGCAAAACAGGACAACTGGAGGTATTAGTTAATGAGAGATGGACGAGTGTATGCTTAAAGGAATGGGAAACCGGCACATTGAGAGTAGCCTGTAAAGGACTAGGAATGGAATCACGATATGCGAAGGCAATACAGACAAGTACCGATATGGTAAATCATGATTGGTTTCAAGTTGGTCGATGTCTGGGCAATGAAGATAGCTTGGCTAAGTGCATATCAACAAGACCACGCTGTCATGATAAAGAAAAAATGTTGCTTCTATCTTGCCCAGATAAACCAGGTATTTTAATCTGAATTTATTAATCAAAAATTTTGTCAAGGTTAAAGATCAAGCTGTTAATGATAAATAGCTTAAACAACCTAAGAAAATATCAAAACCAGTTGAAATTGTTGAAATTTTTCTTGTCACAATTTCAGGGCCATAGCCACAGCCGTCTCAGAGGGAACTCAGGAATTAACTTCAATATTTTCTTATAAAATACATGTAACACATTGTGAACATAAAGTGTAAAGTAACAATATATATAATTCTCTTATGTTTGCAGGAGCAGACACCATGCAGGGTTCTCACAAGGCTTTTAGACTCCGGAGATTCTCTAATAGCTTTTCCGGAGTCTAAAGTGTTTTTTCGTGAGTCTAAAGGAAGTCAGAAACCTTTTAGAATTAAATATTGGGATTAAAATAGCAAGATAATCTTAAGAAGTATGTTGAAAAGTATATTGATAGGATATCTCTGATCTCACATGAGGGAGAAGAAGTCGCGATAACGCGAAAAAAGTAGTCACAATATCGCTAAAAACCCGGGGTCTAAAAATTTCCTGGTGAGAACCCTGCCATGAGTGTTTTACATTCTGTAATATGTACATCACATAAACCAATGGGCAAATGAGCCCATGTAAAAACAAACAGTTCATATGATCCTATCAGGACTTGACCAATTTAGTTATTATATGTAACTTACAAGATATGAAAAATGAAGCCATTGATAAAACAAAGCATGAGTTTAGTTTTGCTCTTGAGGTTTTTCATATTTCTCCATAAAATTCTGAGACACTGTGGGATCACATCCTAACCCATTGTATTGAAGTGCTCATCCTAACCCATTGTCACCCAGTATTGAAGTGCTCATTCTAACCCATTGTTACCCAGTATTGAAGTGCTCATCCTAACCCATTGTCACCCAGTATTGAGGTGCTCATTCTAACCCATTGTCACCCAGTATTGAGGTGCTCATTCTAACCCATTGTCACCCAGTATTGAGGTGCTCATTCTAATAAATTGTCACCCAGTATTGAAGTGCTCATCCTAACCCATTGTCACCCAGTATTGAAGTGCTCATCCTAACCAATTGTCACCCAGTATTGAGGTGCTCATTCTAACCCATTGTCACCCAGTATTGAAGTGCTCATCCTAACCCATTGTCACCCAGTATTGAAGTGCTCATCCTAACCAATTGTCACCCAGTATTGAGGTGCTCATTCTAACCCATTGTTACCCAGTATTGAAGTGCTCATCCTAACCCATTGTCAACCAGTATTGAGGTGCTCATTCTAACCCATTGTCACCCAGTATTGAGGTGCTCATTCTAACCCATTGTCACCCAGATTTGAAGTGCTCATCCTAACCCATTGTCACCCAGTATTGAGGTGCTCATTCTAACCCATTGTCACCCAGTATTGAGGTGCTCATTCTAACCCATTGTCACCCAGTATTGAGGTGCTCATCCTAACCCATTGTCACCCAGTATTGAGGTGCTCATTCTAACCCATTGTCACCCAGTATTGAGGTGCTCATTCTAACAAATTGTCACCTTATTGAAATGCTCATCCCTGATCCATTTTCACCCTATTAAAGTCACAGACTCCCCTTTCAATGGAGTCCACTATGAAAGATATGGCACAGGTAGTTGCAGAGAGTTGCACATGTTGAAAACAATATAATGATTTTTTGCAAATTTGAATTGAAGTAATATATTAAGTGGAGCAAAAGAACATTCATGACCACCCAAGCATTTCTGCTACTATCATTTTTACTTTTAAATTTTAGAAAGTAAGATCAACATTCATTTGGACAATCACAATGAAACTGGTGATATGTTTGTGAATCTAAATGGCGTTTCTTTCCCAATGTGCAATCCAAACTGGAACGGTGGAGCTGCTAGGGTGGCATGTAGACAAATGGGATACAATCCAGATCATGCGGAACACTTCAGGACTGATATAAAGGTGAACAGAGTACTATTAACTGATATGACATGCCATGGCAATGAAACTAATCTCAGTGAATGTAATTTTTCTGAGTGGAAGGTTATTTCATTTGAACATGACTCCGAACATATGAACTGTCAGAGAAATGGTGGAGTATTTATGTCATGTGCTGATGATTCCATGAAAGCCAGACTAGTAGGGGGACCTGATGAATACTCAGGACATGCCCAAATATGGCATGAAGGCAAATGGAAGCGTGTATGTTTTCGCAAAGGAGATGGCTCAAAAGAAATTGTTGCCGAAACAATCTGCAGAAAGCTCAAGAGACCAGGGCAGTATGCGAGGGATCATCCATATAGCGGCTATTTTGGGGGAGGAACATCAAAACCAGGCATTGAGCTAAACTGTAATCATAGATACCCATCCCTCCATCTCTGTCACATCCATGACAATAACTGTACACATGACCTTCACTATGACCTTGGTGTATCCTGCTTTGAACATAATCCAGGTAAACAGCCATGTTCTATTCAAATTTTACACTATTACTTTCATTCACTGGTTTAGTGGTACAAAAGGGTGTACAGATGTTTCAGAAGAAATTGTCACATATTTTTGTGCAGATTTCCATGAATACCTGCAGCCTACATTGACTGGCTATACAATTGATAATGGCTTGGTACTAGTTAAAAGCCATGACACTAACAAGCAGCCACTTACAATATGTGGAGAGAAGTGGACCAGAAATGAAGCAAAGGTTGTCTGCAGACAAATGGGTAACAATTGACTATTAGCTAGAGAACACAAAACATGCTAAAAACCAACAAACCCCAAATATTCATTTGATGGTGGTTGCAATCAAACATAATTTGGGAGTAGAAAGCACAAAGGGCAACAGAACACCAATCGACCATCCTCTACAAATCTTTGTATGTTTCTTCATTACCAATAATTAGTAAAGTGACATACTTCCCACCAAGCCTGATATGAATTCTTAGGCCCACATAGACAACATTGAATGTTCTGCTTTCAAGGTTACAATGAAGATGCAGTTAATGATGCAGCTGTGGACAAGTTCCCAATGCTTCAGTGTCTTGGTGGAGACAAGATTGTGTTAAGTGATGTTAACTGCACAGGGGATGAAATGAGTCTGGCACATTGCACTTTCAAACATGGAGACAATGTCACATGTTCAAGTAAATGTTTAAGTATAAATATGGGGCTAAATTTTAGCATTAGATATCTATTGAAGAAAATCAAATGTTTTTGATAGACTATCATCCCCCTCCCCACCATCCTTTACACAGTTACATAGTCATTAGAGAACTTAAATAAATCTTAGAGATAATTAAGAAACAACATTTGCAAAACAGTACAGTCATTTCTACAGCATTCTGTGTTTTGTATCATTAAAATTACATAACAACTTATACCAAAACCAAAAGCAAGTACACTGTACACTACAATAGGGAGTTTAAGCTTGCAATGTTTTTCACAACCCAAACGTGAATGGAAAATATTTAAGCATTGCATTTGTATGGGCGATTGGACATACGTATAGGTTGGTGTTTCAATTTTATATGCAAGCTTAAACTCCCTATCAACTGAAAAAATCAGAGTTTATTTACTATTCAAGGTAACTGACAGAGAAAATATTAGGGTAACACTTCTTTAAGAGTTATTTATTTTTATTGATGCATGAAGGGTTCATTGAAGGTGGTTTGAGAGCTGCAGTGTTCTGTCGAAAACTGTCTTTGAAGTTAACAAAAACTGACAAAACCAACTCCAGTGGTTTGGTTACACTTGATCATCTGTTGATATCTGACCACGTATCAAATGAGCCTAATAAACACCCCATATGTGCCTCTGGTTGGGACGAGAGAGATGCAAGAGTAGTCTGCCGACAACTTGGACTACCTTACCATAATGCATCTGTATACATTTCCACACAAGGCAATCTTACACATGAATACAAGCCCTGGATAACTAATGTTGATTGTATTGGCAATGAAGCTCACATTGGACAGTGTGACTTTGACAATGATTTCACAGTGGCATCTGATGGTATCTATGACAACGTGGATTATTGTACACAGTATGAACTGACAGCACATTATGTAGAACACACTTACAATTATAATTTCTGTGATGGTAACAGCTATGCTGGAGTTGTTTGCAAATAAAATATGCCAGATTTGTTGTACTTTACAAGATAAAAGAAATGCCAAATGTCAGTGAGATATTGTTCATACATGTACATGCATCTCAACCAGTTCTCAATACTGGGTATTTTAATTGTAAACATACACATACAATCATTAGTTCGGTATGTTTTCTTATAACTAGAAAAACAGCAAAGATTGTGTTTTTATGAAACATGGTTGCCATTTTGAAATTCAGCTGTCATCTTTAGATTTCTCCTTTAGCAGAGCTCCTATGTCCAAAGGCATCAGTATATACATTTAATCAAAATCCGTCAACTGGTACTTTAACAAAGGTTACATTCTTTTATGAAAAATGGCGGCCATTTTGAAATTTAGCTGCCATCTTGAAAATCCCGTCTCGAACAGAGCTCCAATGTCCCTAGGCATCAGCATGTAAAATTTGAACCAAATCCATTCAATGGTATTTGAGCTATCAAAGATAACGTTTTTTTGAAATATGGTAGCCATCTTGAAAATGTCTTCTTGAGCAAGGCTCCTTTGTACCCAGGCAACAGCATATAAAATTTGATCCAAATCCATTCTATGGTACTTGAGTTATCAAAGATAACGTTTTTTACAAAAAATGGCCGCCATTTTGAAATATGGTGGCCATCTTGAAAATGTCTTCTTCAGCAAGGCTCCTCTGTACCTGGGCAACAGCATATAAAATTTCAACCAAATCCATCCACTAGTATTTGAGTAATCAAAGATTATATTTTTTCCGAAAAATGGCCGCCATTTTGAATTTAGTGGCCATATTGAAAATTCCTTCTCAAGCAGAGGTCCTACACCCATAAGGCATAAGCCTATAAAATGTGAATGAAATCTGTCAACCGGTATTTGAGTTATTGCCCGGACACACGAACAGATGGACGAACGAACGGACGGACGGACAACGGATGGATGGACGGCTTTTCTATATCCCCCTCGAACTTCGTTCGGTGGGATAATAAATGGTAACAATCTTGAGATCACGATGTTTATCATGAAATGAAGAGTTACTTTAAGCTGTTACAAATAATCACTTACAAACTATGACCAAATAGTTGTGCAAAAGATTGCGCATTTGCTTTGATGCTCTAATGTAATATATTTACCTGTCGAGACAAGGTGTGTGAACCTTGAATATGACAATATCTCCATTCCTCATGGCACAACTCAGATAACAGTAGGGCTTAGATGCATCTTCATTGAACAGCTTGGACCAAGTCACATCTGAAGAAACAAAATTGTTTGCTTCACATTAACACACTTTAATATATGTATTCCCTACTCTTGTCAAGAGCCCAACTTTGTGAAATAGACTCTTAAAAGTAGAGATGATTCTTTGATCTGTTCATATCGGAATATGTAGTCAGAATAGTTCTGCTTATACATTGTAAGTAACTAACATTCATTGCACATCCAAACTCATAATAAAAAGACCATTAAAGCCACAATTGAGATCCTATCAGAATCAAAACTGTAAAATCAGATATTATAGTCAGAGGGGAGTGTTGTGTGACTAGCATATTAAGCATTCAGGGTACATATAATTCAGGGTAACATAATGATTCAGGGTATTGTATTATTCAGGGTAAAATATGATTAAGGGTAATGTATGATTCAGGGTAACATATGATTTGGGGTATTATATGATTCAGGGCATTATATGATTAAGGGTAACATATGATTCAGGGTAATATATGATTTAGGGTATTGTATGATTCAGGTTATGATATGATTAAGGGTAACATATGATTCAGGGTAACATATGATTCAGGGTAACATATGATTCAGGGAAACATATGATTCAGGGTATAATCTGATTCGGTTATTATATGATTCGAGGTAACATATGATTTAAGATATTATATGATTCAGGGTATTATATGATTCAGGGTACTATATGATTCAGGGTATAATATGATTCAGGGTATTATTGATTCAGATTATTATATGATTAAGGGTAACATATGATTCAGGGTATTATTTGATTCAGGGTACTATATGATTCAGGGTAACATATGATACAGGGTATAATATGATTCAGGGTATTACATAAAAAATAAACAAAGCAACTATAATGTCACTAGTATCATTGGCCAAAGTCATATGTTGAATTTGATATACATGTAATATTGTGTTTAGAAATAAACCAAGGGCTTTAATTTGAGAAAGACAATTTGTATGCTCTTAGACACTGACTTATTATATAATAGAGAACTCTTACTTACCGACACAACAGAGTTTCTCCATAAGTTGTTTGTACTTAGAGGCTCTACTATGAGTAATGGACCCCATAGAGAGAATGGGATTAATGTGCTCATAGTAAACTTGAGTTATATCACATACCTTGAAAATACATAAAGGAAAATGTGTCACAACTAGAAAATGCATTTGAAAACATGACAATATTTTAACATCTGGTTGAAATTGAGAAACTAATAGATTAGTCTGATGAATTTATAATTGACTTACACATTTCCAACGACAGTTGCTCACTCCAAGACTGTACATTCTGACATGATGGTCGAGGGTCACACTGGCAAACACACATCTGAAAATCACAAAATTAGGTAACACTCCACTAATCAGGGTCCAAGACCATAGATAAGGACATGATGGTCCAGTATCACACTGGCAAACATACATCTGAAACTCACAAAGTAAGGTTAAGCCCACAAGATAATCCCCAAAGAATCATTGGTTTTAGAAGGGAGGTTTAATTCCAATTTGATTTAAAATAACAACACTAAATAACATTAAGTGCAGCACAGAGTGCCACATACATGTAGTGTGTATGTATGGTGCTCTATTTACTCCACTAATCAATTCAAAATAGTGAATTATATCATTGCTCATGTCCAACTCTATTTAATCATATCAGTTATTACATTTACCTTTTCATTGGATCAACTGCAGTTGGTGACCAAATAGCAGAAAGGAATGGTTGAGTACTCCCAGGTGATGTCACTGGGAGCATACTGTGTTCTAATGTCAATTCAACTTGAGGTACTGAAACAAAAAATATGTACATAAAATACTGTACTTATGTGGAGTTTGTCAATACATGGCATATTGGAATAGTTTCTTCAACATGTTTGCTTATAACATACATGAAGTGATATGAATGAGGCTTTTGACATGGGCCACCCAACAATTTACTAAAAATGATCATGTTGCCTTTATCAACTTCACAAATCTAACTCTGTCTCGTAGTTGTAGTCTCCCATTCAATGAGGGTGCTATATCTATAAGGGCTGCCATTGTTTGTTCAATACTAACAATGTCTCAATGGTCATAACTGGATTTTCTAAGTTCACAACAACATAAAAAATAACAAGTACGTTTTCAAATGTCATTTGAGCGTTTTTATCTACACTACTTGGTTGAGATCAATAAATGGTTGATGCACTACAAACCCCCAGGTACAAACCAAACGTGATCACCAGGTGGAAATGACTTACATCTGTGTTTCTCTTTCTGAAGATCCTCTGCTGTGATGCCAACATCAAATGTTAGAGAAGGTTCTGCAGGAATAAACTGGTTGATGACCCTTGGTTGAACTCCCTTCACACTTGGTGATATGTCAATTTCCTATTTAAACAAAATTTCCGTATTTGTTTCTTATGGAGAAAATATTTAAACCAGTGATAAAAGGAGCTCTTGAATTATACAGACGTCCCTGATACTTTGAATATGGCCAAATAATGACAATAATGTTTGAAACATTTAGGGATAGAGGGTAAGCAGTGATTTTTGGTATTTCAATTTCATGGGCACAAATTTAATAGAGTGTGGATAGCGACTAGAAATGCCACGAGAATAGTTATAAGAAGGTGGATGACACGGTGACCTGTAAAATTACCAAATGACCAAATCACAGTTCAATCAAAACTCACAATACTGTACTAATCACTTCAACTCTTTCTCAGATCTTAGGGCTATTTAAAGGAAATAACCACTCATGTGCCCTTAACTCATCCTTCAAGATCGGTCCTTTTCTGCTTTCATAGCAGATCATGTAATGTAATGCAATGAATTACTCTTGGGCCAAGGATATAGGATGCCTTAACTTTACAATTTCAGCTCAATCTGTCAATGTTTAGACCCCCTACCGCATTTTCTGATGCCCATTCACTACCATGTTAAAATTATCTGAAAGTCGCAGAAGGTGTCAATTTCATCATGTTTGAGACCCATTTTCTACCAAAGGCACTACAGTGATTTTCATCAAATTTATTTAAATAGTTGTTCAATATTTTTTTGATCTGTGGCAAAACCTAAGAGATGGTACTTTGCCTCATTTTTGATCTTTAAAAATGGAAGGGATTTTAAATTGTTCCATGTGAATGGATTTTTACCATCTTTAGGTGACCATAACTCCAATGATTAGAATATGTATGGTCCCAAACCTTTAAGAAGTGAAACTTGATAGCTGATCTGCTGCATCTATAATTTTGAGGATCATAGGTCCTATAAAACTTATTTTTTAAATGCCTGAATCTTGCTTAAAAACTGACGCAGGTTAGCATCACTATACATAGCACATTCTGAAAAATCAATGGTCAAATAATTATTTTCTCAGAAATGAGGCAAAGTACCATCTCTTAGGTTTTACCATGGATCAATAACATATTGAACAACTATTCAAATAAAATTGATGAAAATCAATGTTGTGCCTTTGGTAGAAAATGGGTCTCAAGCATGATGATATTGACACTTTCAGCGACTCGTCAGAAAATGCAGTGGGGGAGGGGGGTCTAAACGTTGGCAGATTGAGCTGAAATTTTTTTATAAGTTAAGGGCATGTTAGTGGTTATTTCCTTTAATTAGCACTAAGATCTGAGAAAAAGTTGAAATACAGAATGTAATGATCCACCCTACACTGAAGTAAATGGTTTACATATTTGTTACTTCCCCTAGCTTTATTTCTACTTGACAACATAGACTATCATCACATGGTTGGGAGTTTCTAAGCATTCTAATTGGTCAATTAGGAGTTAATAACCATTTTGATTTGGTCAATTGTGCGATTTTGTTCATTACTCTGTATTTCTGGTAATTTTGATAAGTAACTTTATCACAGGAGTGTCTGAGCATTTTGATTGGTCAATTGTGATGATGCATTTTCCGTATCACATGGCACGTGACTCATTTTCATGTGATACGGTGGTCTGTATCACTATGGAGTCAATAGCAATGATATGACTTCAGTTAGGTGTAAATACTTCGGACCAAATGTGTGACATGAACGACAATCGCGTTGCAAAGACCGAACAGAATGCATTCGCTTTTTTTTCCCATTCAGATTTTACCATATCGGCATTTCATAAAAAAACAACTTTTAAAAATATCAACATAATTTTTGCTACATATATTACATATATATACATATATTGCAACAGTATATAAAAAAGAAACATATGTACTTGTCCTAACTTTTGTATATTTCAGATTGTTATATATAATGTGCAGTAAAGCTTTGGCCCTTTTATTTGTAATTCAGGGAGTTTCAGCCATGTTAATTTTTCCAAGAATAACATGGCAGAGAAGCATCAAAATATAAGAGGCCATAGATATGATAGCTAAACTACAAAACAAACTAAAATATACAAAAGTTAGGACATGTATAAATGCTTCTATTTTTAAATATATTGTTTCAATATGGTCCTTTAATTGCTTATTTTTTAAATTCAAATTTTACTGTACAGCAAGGATTTGTTTTCTCGGCATTTTGCTGTATTATATAAAGACACTTTATATGCTGAAACATGTGATAACTGATAATTCTGTACTACTGCAGCTAGCCTACAGATAAACAGAGAGTAAAACTAGACGAAAGTAACCTAAAAGTTATAAAAGTATTAGTCTACTAGATCTATTAGTCTACGGATGGGCGATAATAGAGATTACACACCACAAGTGCATATACGGTGTGCTTTTCAAACATTATATACATACCAGTACATGGACTCCGTACTGCTCGCAAACTGTGATTTTATTTTCATCTGAATAGTCAAGTACTTTTCCTGTGCGGACCACTTTTGTCTGCAACCCCAAGATTTCTGAGCTCATTTTGGAAAGGACTCAAACATATGTCTACGCTTATACTATCACGATATTACCTAGTCAAATTCATACTTCCATTTTATTTAATTCTGTAAATTTCATCAAACATAATGATGTTTAGCATAGGTGGAATACGAAACAATATACTATTTGCACAATTGTCACAGATGAATTGGTTTCCCGGTGTAAAAATCTGACTGAATCAGATCTGACTGAAAGAAAATCGTGATACATCAGTCGCCGTCGCAAAAAAGTTTTTAAAAGTTTGAACAGGTAAACACACAGTCTACATGCAGTTATGATCTGTGGCAAGCCCAAATCATAAGTCTGTCTACCTTCTCCCAGAGAAGGTAGACTAGACTAATGATTTGGGCTTGCCCCAAATCATAACTGCATATAGACTGTGCAGACACGCGAACAAGAGTTCATCCCCCTCCCACTCACTGTGTATTAGGTTTACATCAGCTATACAGTGACTGGGAGGGGGGGGATTTAAATCTTCCTGGGCCTGTGGGTAAACAAGCTAGGGTAATATCTTTAGTTTTCCTGTATATACGTGTACTTGTTGTTTAGAGTACTTTCATTTTGCCTCGTGAAAATTAGTTAATAAAAAGGTACCTCCATTGACAAATCACAACGTGAAGGTTAAATCTTGGAAAAGTAGACAGTACTGTCAACCCCCAAAGGTTTTCTCGCGGGACAGATTTTTTAGACCCAGTGCCAAAAATTCGCTGAATTCTGCGGGACATCCCCCTAAATTTGCGGGATTTTGCGGGACATTTAAAGGATTTGCGCGATAGGTCAAATTTTGATCAAATTCGCGGGATTTTGCGGGACCATTCTAGTGAAAACATGCTAATTGCGGGACAGTTAACAGCGTTATCACCAAAGACTTCACAGGGGGACAGATTTTTTAGACAAAGTGCCCTAAATTCGTGGGATTTCGCGGGACATCCACCTAAATTTGCGGCCGGGATGTCGCAGGACATTCAAGTGATTTGTGTGATTGGGGCTTAATGTAAAAGTACTCAAATCAAACTTTCAGATACTGATTTATCAAATATGATGCACCTAACCCACACAATACGCATAGAAATATTATTAAACTATCAAAAAACCACGCTTTTTGATTATCCATAGTTTGTGCGAATTTTTGGTTTGTCAAAAGTTTTCTCATTTCTTGTATCATAATTATGTCTATTTTCAACTGTTTGGAAGAAATTTGGAAATATTTGTTTGTAATTATCCTTGTCATTGATCCATTTAAACATGAATATATATCTTTCTTGCTTATTTATCTCAAGATTCCCAAGAATTAGATGACATGACCAAATTAAACATATTTGAACCATTGAATGTAATGGGTTTAAAAGATATCAATAATGGGATGCTTTTAATTTGATTAAAATTATTGTGATATTTTACTTACTGCATAAAATGTATTTTGTCATTACTGTTGATTGAAGAATGAAATAAATTATTACACTGATCAATAATAAAGGAATATGTTAATTGTATATTATTTAAGCAAGTTATAATAAAGAAATAATTTCTGATATAAAAATCAAACCAGTACCAAAATTATATTTACCCTGTAATATAAAATTCCATGTGAAAGAGGAAAGTCACCCCTTATATCTATTTCCACAGATTTTTGTAAATATCTTGCTTTTTTCTATATTTTGCGTAAACAGGATGGTAAATTTTTGCAATTCTTGTCAAAATATCTGTATTATCATTATGAATCATTTCTGTGAATTTCAAAAAAATCGTGCCACTACAATAAAAAATAATTGACATGAAGTCATTTTTCTCATTGGGCTCCATTATAAAAATGTTCTATATTTTGCATAAACAGGATGCTTAATCTTTTCATTTCTTGTCAAAATATTTATATTATTATTAGGAATCATTTCTGTGAATTTCAAGAAAACTGCGCCACTACAATAAAAAATAATTAAGATGAAGTCATTTTTCTCATTGGGCTCCATTCATCCATCATGAAAATGAATTTTCATGCTTAATATTTTAAAATTCTACATGGTGAAAAGTTACATAATAGGTTGTGAGTTAATGCCATGGCATTAAAGATTCAAAGCAAAAAGGAATAAAGAAAAATTGTCATGGGCAAGTTAGTTACATAAGTCTTTAATAGTCTTATAGTCTGATTTAGTTCAAATATCAAACCATTACGTCTACTATAAAGTAGTTTAACCTCTTGAATACCAGCCTCTAAAAAGGGTTTGAAACCAGAGCATTTTTCATTTTCTGCTAGTTTTCTGGATATTTACATCTAAAAACACTATGTTTGATATTTGATTTCATAAGAAGAGTAAACATAGACCCATTACATACATTCTAAAACATTAGTTGTGAAGATTGGATAAAAAATGCCAAAGTTAGAGCAGTTTTAGTGAAAAATTCTGTGACAGATATATCTGTCGCTCTGGGTTCCAAATGGATTTTATTTGTGACAGATATATCCGTCATTCTGGGTATTCAAGAGGTTAAAGGGGCAACAAGGCATGTAGATAGAAAATTCAAATTTTTTTTCTTTTTTCTGAACTATCAGGGCAACATTTGGCTTAAAATCTTTTTAAACATACCTATTTTCTTAACATGTATTGATAAACTACAAATTTCAGCGTTAAGCAGTGTAAGTTCAGTTCAAAGCTTTTATAAAAGGAGTCGCACTTATAGATTTTGAAGATCCGACTCGTTTCAAGAGGAATATCAGCTGAAATGATGTTCATGCAGGTGGGATGATTTCTTTGGAGATAATAAAAATATGGAATATCCAAAATTAAATATATTTTGACACCGGTCCATGATCGTTTAATGACCCCTCTGAACTAATTGTTGCACCTTTAATTCAATGAAACTAAAAATATTGAAATCGACACTTCCTGTCCGCCATCTTTGATGCAAACGTGACGGCTGGTATACCTTCACTTGATAGTGACCAGTGCAAGTGCCTGTACTTCAGTACTTCCAAAACCAATCATTAGATACAATATATGGTGAAATGTATATTATGGTATAAAACAATGCAATTATTTCAGAGTATATAAAGTTATCCTTACATGCACTTTATTTGGTGAGTTTTGAAGTGTACATTTTGTTCCAAAATGGTGCTCAGATGTTTAAGGATTTAAGCACTGTACACAGTGCAATGTGGAATGACCATTCCTTGAAGGTGTTGCTTTCCAAAATTTGCACGAGTTGTGCAGCATCGAGTAATAATTTTAGGAAACAATTCCTGAAATGAATGATCATTCCACAATGCAAATCTTTGGCTTAAATTATTTTCACAAATTGCAAAATATTCTCTACCATGTCACTTAGAAGATACAAAATCACAAAAGGCTATAAGAACAGATTTTCAATGAAACTTTTTGCAAGGGTCAAGTTGGCAAAGCATCAATTTCAATCTGTAGAGTCAAGTTGTCACCTTCACAACCACACAGGTGTGACCATGGATGCAGTGATTGGAGATATAATGCACTGCAGTTATATGAAATAGTGTGTTCAGATATTTGTCATGAACACTCTATATATTCCTATTGGTTTCTAATAAATGTGCCTATTTGCACAACAAACTGATTTTACTGATTAAGAAAGCTGATCAAATTTTCAAAATGCACAAATGGCTCAAATGTCAAATGTTGAATATCTTCTTTTTAAATTGTCTTATTTGTCTTGCTTTCTTTTATTTTACATTTTGTCCAGAAATAAAGTGTCTAATAACAGCTTAGTATGCACCAATCAGCACCAAGAATTCCTCTATGTTTTTGCAGCTCATTACTTTGAGGTTCAATTTAACTTTTTGTATTCTTTTCAAATTTCACCCTGCATGGGTCGAAATGATGATAATATGTTATAGATATCAATATGTACATGTAACTTCCCAGGATCTCTCTTGGCTAGCTGGCCTCACTTCGCTCCATCTGATTTTACATATGATGTTACACTTTTAATTGTTGTGAGATCTTGATGATCTCAAATCAGGGATAGAATAGATCAAATAATTTAATATAATAATATCTAATATAGTATGTAGTATGTTGACCTGTTTCCATTTTTCAACATACTACCCCCCCCCCCCAGGATATCAGCAGCCCTCCTATCTTTTGTTTCATTGCAAGGCATTCTACCATTTACAGGTGACTTCCAGGTTAAAATGAATATTGTACTTTATTGTTTATTTATATAAGGGGACATCTAATGCTTACAGCGCTTTGCCCCTTGTTATTGTATCTAAATGACTTGTGCTTACAATAAATATGAAAGATGATAAAAAAAATCTAATATTATAATTTAATATAAAAAGGATAGATGGCGCAAAGCTTTTTGGAAGGGTCATACTTCAGGAGTCTTTACCTTGTCTTAATTAGCATCTAGTCTACAGTTTGCATTGAAATTCATACATCTAAAATCTGTGTTTATTTCCAGAGATTGGAAGATCTCAAGTGTGTTGCAGAGATGCTCCACTGGCAGCTTCTATCCTTAAAGAGGGTTCTCCTTCAAGCTGAAATACTATGCTGTCTTCAGTCAAGGATCATCCTCCCTTAATGTATTCTGGAGGTTTTAAGGAATTTGAACTGGCATTGACCTATTGAAGTCCTTTGCACTGTATTGGCCTACTAAGATGCTTTGGTCTTATTGCCACATGTACAGTGTTTCAGTATGACTGGACATTACAGTATTCTGCAGCTCAAAGTAAATCAGAGAAACAACTTTACTCAAGGAATAAAAGAACAGATATTTAGTACCAGAATTGCAAGAAGCATAAGTGAAGAAAGGATGGGACATATGGACGACTTGACAACTTTTGGATAAATATTTGGAGAAGACATAATAAACTTATAAATTAAAGGATCTGATGTGTGTGAACTAATTAAATGTGTAATTGTAGAAGCAGGTTTTGACGGCTCTTTGCAGGATTATGTAATTAACTTAAACATTTTCCACATCTACTGCACTGCACTGCTCTTTGATAAAGTGCAGCTTAGTTGCTGCAACCCAGCATAGGCAGAGGTGTACCAAACAAGTTTTCAGTATTACTATGAGTGTGAAACAAGGTTATCAAATACATGTAAGGACTGATTTCCAATGAACATTGAACAAAAAGAATCATAAAAAGTTTTCTACATTATTGTTTTCTCCGTAAAGTCACCACTACAGTAATCATGAGTGGTTTTGGAGCCGCAGATTATGTTGTGTTTGTTCTGGTGCTGTTAATCTCAGCAAGCATAGGGATTGTGTATGCTTTTATTGGAGGAAAGCAAAAAACAACTCAAGAATATTTACTTGCTAATCGACAAATGCAGGTGCTACCAGTGGCGCTATCTTTACTAGCCAGCTTCATGTCTGCTATCACGCTACTAGGGACGCCATCAGAAGTCTACACATATGGAACACAGTATATGATCATTGGGGTATTATGATTTTTCTACTTTCTTTTGTAAGGAAATTACATTGTTGTGAGTATGAACAGGAAGATTGTCTACATGTAGAATGCTATAGAGGACTTAATTTAAAGCGGCTACAAGGACTGTGGAGAGAAAAATTGATAAATTTTACCTTTTCTGAGCTATCGGGGCAAAGTTTGGTCTAACATCTTCTTCCTTATTCCTATTTTATTGCCTTTTTTGAGAAAACCACCTCTGTGAAACCTTTTTGTTTGTTATGATTTCGGACATGTATTTTTGCAATTAATGTTTGATTTTCAAAAACAATTCCTGCTATTAAACAGGCAAGAGAGGACTAAATGATTATCAATACAGGGTTCCTTCAAGGAGGGGTTTCTGGGTCTATCTTCAAGGTTAAGTACACAAATTACGACTGTATATATACAGGATATACACAGGTATTACTCACCTTGATTGGTGGTAAACAAAATACAATACACTACAATACAAGAATACCACATCTTTATTTGGAGAAACTGGCAAAATGTATCCAGTAAAAGAAAGATTATTATCTGTCGAATACAAGACAAGATATTTCCTCTTTTGTGATTTTATAACATGGGGTCTATGAGGAATCTCCCGACCTAGAAGTTAACCTAGAACCTAGAAGAAATTAAGATTTTCAAAGTTGATATACATTTTTTGAAACCACATTGCTAGATGTAATTTTACATGTTGATTTCAAATATATTAGTTTGACTAAATTTTGTATATTTAATGATGTAAATCAAGAGCATTTTTACTCGCATAAAGTCTATTGACAAACAACTAGGTGGTTTTGTTGACATGCAGATTTTGATCATTAAAAGAGTAATTCATCTTTAAACATGGCATCAAAAAGAACACAAATGGTACATGTACAATGTACCTACTAGTAGTTCAACATTCCCCAGGATTTCGAAGCTATATAGCAAAGCTCTATTATCCTGTAGAGGCCTTTAGGGAAGACAGCTCCAGATTGTTTGTTGATTATTTCAAGTTGTTATTCTCTCTTCTAGCTGAGCTACTTCCTTGTGATCCCTGGTGCTGCACATATTTACATCCCAATCTTCTATAACCTTGGCCTAACTTCAGCTTATGAGGTAGGTATCTTGCTACTATGGTTATCATTGTATAAACTCATGTTGTACCATCTGGTGAATTATTCTGACCAGAAGAATTGAAATCAGCCCAAGTCTCAAGTCACTTTCTTATTACCGTAGCAACTATAGTAAGAGCAGCATGGCTTACCTGATTCAAAAGCTGACTGATCTAATAGAACAGCCTTTGCTCGCTCACTATCACTTGTTTCATGATGTCTGAAACTGGAAAACTGAAATCAGCTGCTAACTTTATATCTCCAAATGTTCCCTACATCTCCAACCTCCGTTTGTGAAAGTCTTTAAGTTATCAGCTGCTTCTGTGTTGATCAGGACTTCTCTTTATCCTCGGGTAGACATATTTTCTAGTGAGGAATGAGAGCTACCAGAAGTTCAGCAATTTTAAAGTTCATTCTGAAATCACCAGAGATTTTGAATACTACTTCATAAACTTCTATCAAAACCTGCTCTCAAATGTATTTTCTGTGTATTCTAGTACCTGGAGTTGAGGTTTAGTAAAGGTGTGCGACTTGCAGGATCTATGACATTCTCCTTGCAAATGGTAAGTTTAGGCACAAAAATTGAATTCAGACATTTGTAATTTGGTATCATTTTGTGATTATAAGAGGCTGAGACTTTTAATTATTCACATATCCTAAAAGTTTAGCCAATTATTGAATTCCGTTGAATTATGAACATGTACATGAAAAATCCTAGATTCACTATGTATTTTCCATAACTGTTGTATAAACTACATGTAAATACTTTACAATTACAGATTCTGTATATGTCAGTTGTCCTTTATGCCCCATCTCTGGCACTTAATGCAGGTGAGAATTTGCACTTAATGCAGGTGAGAATTTGCATGTAATGCATGTGAGAATTTGCACTTAATGCAGATGAGAATTTGCATGTAATGCAGGTGAGAATTTGCACTTAATGCAGGTGAGAATTTGCATGTAATGCAGATGAGAATTTGCACTTAATTCAGGTGAGAATTTGCACTTAATGCAGGTGAGAATTTGCACTTAATACAGGTGAGAATTTGCATGTAATGCATGTGAGAATTTGCACTTAATGCAGGTGAGAATTTGCATGTAATGCAGGTGAGAATTTGCATGTAATGCAGGTGAGAATTTGCACTTAATGCAGGTGAGAATTTGCATGTAATGCAGGTGAGAATTTGCAATTAATGCAGGTGAGAATTTGCACTTAATGCAGGTGAGAATTTCATTCTGTACAGTGAACATTACATCAGCAAATTCTCATTTCCAGATATTTTATGATTTAAAGATTGTACAGTATATATAAATTGCAATTTCCCCAAAATTTGTCTTTTCTCTATATTTTTTTAATGTTCACAATGTATGATATAAGTGATATGAAATTTTGTTTCAGTAACGGGAATAAATGTTTGGGCCTCTGTCATATCAGTGGGGAGTGTTTGTATATTCTACACAACACTGGTAAGTTAATTAAATATAAAAATTTTTCATAGTGGCACAACCTCTAGATGAATCCATTAAACTGTAATTGAAATTTAGGAAATGGGAAAGCCTCCGTATTAAAATATAAATGCAATTATTCAGAACAATTTATTTTTTCTTGAATTGACTTATTTCTCTTATTTGTCATAATGATTTAAATTTCTTAATGACCTGTTTCTCATTTTGACTTGTTTTTTATCAATGCTTGGTTCTCGTAAAGGTTTATTTTTCTGTAAAAATGACTTGCTGCATCCTCTCAGGCTCTATATGGCCACTATTACATTCTAATTATAGTTAAATTATAATCAGTCCTTATTTATGGTGACATGAAGAAAGGTTGTCATTTTGTTTTGTATTTAGGGTGGTATGAAGGCTGTTATGTGGACTGATGTGTTCCAAGTGTGTATGATGTTTGCTGGACTCTTTGCTGTGTTAATCAGAGGGACAATAGAGGAAGGAGGCTGGAGTAGGGTATGGGAGATTGCACAACAAGGGGAACGCATAGAGTTCTTCAAGTATGATTCTCCCAGTTTATCCATACTCAGCCAATATTACATGTCGCAATTTATCAAACAATGAAATACTTGATAATTATACTGTAACTCCTTTATTTGTATTCACTTTTGACTTGACATATTTTTAAAGTTTTACAGTCAACTTTGATAGTTTACAATTAATTGACATGCATAATTTATCTTCAGTTTTGACCCAAATCCTGGTGTACGGCATACATTCTGGTCACTTGCCATTGGTGGCTACTTCACATGGGTTGCCATATATGGAATAAACCAAGCAATGGTGCAGCGTGCGATATCAACCCCAACTCTACGTACTGCTCAAATGTAAGTTACACCTTATATCATTAACAGCATAATATTTGTACCTTACCATGAAACAGAACTTGGCATTTAACCCTTATGTGCCCAACCAAGCTTTAAAGTATGATTGTACTCCTGGGTCTTATATCTTGCTTTTAGATATTAAATCAATGCCCACCATATTCACATCATTCCATCAAATAAAACATGGAGGTCATATAACATCTGTGATGTCTCGTGCATCTTCTTAACCTGGTTTCACTTCAAAGCAGATGCTCACTTAGCCATGCTTATTAACTTCATTGTTAGTTTGTTGCCTAATTGTTAATGTGTCGCATACATCATTGTTAGTGTGCTGTGTAATTGTTAGTGTTAATTGTTAGGGACACATAAGTGTTAATGTGTCACATCTTTGTTAGTGTGGCATGTAATTGTTAGTGTGGCATGTAATTGTTATAAGTGTGTCTTGTCATTGTTAGATTGGAGGTTAAATTTTACAATTTCAACATTTAGAGCACTATGGATCAACCTCCCTGGACTCCTCGGCCTGATGATAATCTGTTCCCTTTGTGGACTCCTCATTTATTCCCGTTTTCAAGACTGCCACCCAATTGGACGGGAAATAATGGCTGCAGATCAGGTAGGTGGAACACATATCAGGGATCAACCTACTTTGGCCTTTACAGACCAGTAATCTCCTCAGATTTGAAACATGTGGCTGTGAATTCAAAATTGGTTTGTACATTCCTTTAAAAAAACATTTATATTCTATTTTCCTGAACATGTTATTCAAATCAGTTCATAATAAATACAACTGTAATAAACATTTTTTCGTTGATACCTTAAATACAATCGATTTTTTGAGGTTTTGCTAAAAGAATAACTGTTTATTATTAAGTTTGGGGGGGTATAAAAAAGCTGTCCATCTGTCCGTTTGTCCGTCCATCCATCCGTCCATTCCTGTGTCCGGGCAATAACTTGTTGACGGATTCTATTTAAATTATATAGGGTTATGCCTTGTGGGTGTAGGACCTCTGCTCGAGAAGGAATTTTCAGTATGGTCACTTAATTCAAAATGGCTGCCATTTTTAAAAAAAAATATAATCTTTGACAACTCAAATACAAGTGGATGGATTTGGTTCAAATTTTTTATGCTATTGCCTGGGTACAAAGGAGCCTTGCTCAAGAAGACATTTTCAAGATGGCCACCATATTTCAAAATGGTGGCCATTTTTCGTAAAAAACCTTACCTTTGGTAACTCAAATCAAATACCGGTTGATGGATTTCATTCAAATTTTATAGGCTTATGCTTTATGGATGTAGGACCTCTGCTCGAGAAAGAATTTTCAATATGACCACTTAATTCAAAATGACAGCCATCTTTCGAAAAAAATATAATCTTTGATGACTCAAATACTAGTGGATGGATTTGGTTCAAATTTTATATGCTGTTGCCTGGGTACAAAGGAGCCTTGCTCAAGAAAACATTTTCAAGATGGCCACTGAATTTCAAAATGGCCGCCATTTTTCGTAAAAAACATAATCATTGATAACTCAAATACCAGTGGATGGATTTGGTTCCAATTTTATATATTTCGTAAAAAAAACATTATCTTTGATAACTCAAATACCATTGAATGGATTTGGTTCAAATTTTATATCCTGATGCCTAGAGACAAAGAAGTTCTGCTCAAGAAGACATTTTTAAGATGGCCACTGAATTTCAAAATGGCCGCCATTTTTCGTAAAAAAACGTAATCTAATTGATAACTCAAATACCAGTGGATGGATTTGGTTCCAATTTTATATGCTGATGTTTAAGGAAAAGGAGATCTGCTTCAGAAAAAATTTCAAAGGCATCAGCTGAATTTCAAAATGGCTGCCATTTTTCATAAAAAAAGGTAATCTTTGATAACTCCAATACCATTGGACGGATTTACTTCAAATTTACATATTGATGCCTAGAGATAAAGGAGCTCTGCTTGAGAAGAAATTTTCAAGGTGACTGCTATTTATCGAAATCTCCGCCATTTTTCATTAAACATGTAATCCATGATAACTCAAGTACCAGTTGACGGATTTGGATAAAATTGTATATGCTGATGCCTTGGGACATAGGAGCTCTGCTAAAGAAGAAATCTAAAGATGACAGCTGAATGGCAACCTTGTTTCATAAAAACATAATCTTTGATAATTCAAATACCAGTGGATGGATTTGGCTCAAATTTTATAAGGCCGCTATTTATCAAAACATGTTTTGTTTGGTGGGATTTGCTAATCCGTGGAGTTGCTGTTTTTCTACTTTACTTTTTTTCTCGTTGGTTTGAGTAAATCTGAGAGAGCAAATCACAAACTTGGAAGAAAATGAGCAAATATTTTCACTATTTGTCTATTTTATTTTAATAACATTATAGATAAAAAGAATTACACCAAAAATTACACAAACTACTGTAGTTTTTATAATCATATGTGTGCAATTATTATAACATTAAGTTTATATTGTACAAATTGCCCTACTACGTAGTAGTTCTTAAAAAGTGGGTATGGTCAATGATTCATTGTTGAAGCATGTATACAAGAGGTTATTTAATGGGAGGTTTTTGATACAGGATATATCCGAGGGAAATAAAATATATTGTATTTACCAAGGGTAATATATCCTGTATCAAAAATCAAGCATTTAATATCTGATTTATCCTATACTTAGTAGATTATGAGGATTAAGTATGCATTGAATGTTAAATAGAACCCTAATGTAATAATTGCAAATGATAATAACAATCAAAAGATGAATTATACTTTATCTCAATTTGAAGTTCTCAACATTTATTGTTATTTTTTTTAACTCAACAGCTTTTAATATTTACAGTATATGAAATTAGTATCCCTCCAATAGAGCCAAAAAGCAAAGAATGAAATTCCCGGGGATTGCTGATGAGCGGGTTATATATATATCAACCACTCACCTCAGATATCGATTATATTCCCATATGTTATTTACCTCTAAGTTTAGGATAAAAATGAATATTAAAATGAGATAAATTATTTATATGGTCCCATCTGCATGGTCAATATTAGAATGGTCTCCTATTTCTATACATCTTCTAAAATTCATTAAGAATTTGTCAATTGCAATCATCTATGATAGAATATTGCAGGAATCATGATATGCTGCAAATGGTTAACTTACTGATTATCAAGGAACTAGATTGAAAAATCATTTTCCAATATACATTAGATGTAGATTATCGACAAGTTGAACACAGGCGAAAAAACTAATTTACAAACTTCTAAAATAAGGAGAGAAAATATATTTGACACAGGTAGAGCAAAATAGAGCTCATTATAATTTACACTACTTAATTTCTACAAAGTTCACACTATTATGTACATGTAAATGCATCAAAGCAAATACATATTGTTGGTGCATAAATTAGCCTCATTTTTGAAACAGTCAGATATACAGAGGAGCAACTGGTACCATCTCTGCCACTTAAGCAAAGCAATCCTCTATTATTGCACATTGAAGAAATCAATATCACTAAGCATTATATTACAGTTTTGGCCCTCCTGACAAAATTCCATCTGTAGGGACACTATTTCTTCAAAATACTAAATTCAAAGGTGGAGCTTATTTTAGTATTTAAAAGCACTTGAGAAGTCATTCCGTGGCATAGTGTCATTATGTAGATGAGCCAGATTTTTAGTAAATTCAATGTCATATTGTGTCTTACCATCTGTGGATTGGTTTGCCTCCTTCACTTGGATAACTTCAACGTTATCAGACCTTCTTGCCCCAGCTGACTTGCATCTCCGCAAACATGCACAAATTATCATCCAGAACAGGTTTAAAAACTCACAGAGGGTGACAACGCTGATACCAACATAGAACCCTAGTGTTCCTCCGATATCAGACACCATGTTATTGAGACCATAAGCAACAGTCTGTTTTGTAGTCTCAACGGTAAAGTCTTTAAAGTAGATGTTGACACGAAGGAAATTCTGACGAACCATTCCTGTATTTATAATATAATCCATTTGAGCTGGCCAGTCAGCCAACAGGTCTTCGAAAAGCTTGAATGACCTTCGTGTTTGGTTGTTATCAGGGCCATAGACGAGGGTGTTTGTTAGAAAATTTCCCTGGACGTAATTGAATGGCCATAATGCTTGGGCAATGGTCTGTTCATATTTCATTGCATTACAAGCTGGCAGGCATAGTGGACATCGTTCTGTCATGTTGTCAGTAAACCCAAGCATCATTAACCTATCCTCACATTCCAGACTATTGAAGTCATCATCCATTAAAGTAATATTAGGTCCAAGTGGGTTGAGAAAATTATCAAGGTTCAGATCACCACAGTAAAGCATACCTTGTGTGTCATTAGGGTATGGCAAATAGGCAGTTATACATCCACATTGATCCATCATCTCCTTCTGAACACACTGAGCTAAACAACCCAACTCAGAGTACTTGAACTGGGTTCCCTCTATATATTCCTGGTTTGTACAAACACCATAGGGCTCTGGAAGCCTTTCTCTTGCCACAGGAGTCAAACCTATAGTTGTTGAGTAGCCAGGAGGTACATCAAAGCCCTCAATAGTTGGAAATGGCATAGTCTGCGGAGAATGTATTGTGACATGGATGCCTGTGGTTCCACTATTTGGGTTCTCTGGGTTGTATATCATACCACCTGGAAGTGTGTAGTTTGCCTTATAGGCATCCAGAAATAAAACCATACTTAGGCCATTATTAGGGTCAGTGGCCAAGGCTGTCATATCTGTCAAGTTCAAACCAGCTCCATTAAAGGTGAAACACTTTTGGTAATTGGCATTTTCTATTTCTGAAAAGAATGAGTCGTCACATGGTTTACCATTAAAAAAGCATTGTTCCAACATATTTGACAGATCATGTGTGTATAACAGCTTTTGGTCATCCTCAACATTCTCAAATAATGCTGCATAAGAATTAATTCTATTCTTATGCTTTCTGTATTCATCTTTATGCTCTCCATAAAAAGTGCCATAGTGGTACACATGGAAGAGGGTCAAAAGTTTGGCGAGATTTGTGTCAGCACCAGGCACAGGTAATGTCATCTGTGATGATATCGTAAAAGGGAAAAGACTGCATATGGTTACAGAAGGAATCTCCAATTCTCTGCGTTCTAGAGTCACTGTATCTGTCGTAGGGTAACCAAAGTATGTCACAAAAATAGCTACTAATCCTTGACATGCAGTGCAGATACATCCCAGAAATATTACACTCCATACCAGTTTCCCTAACTTATGCTTGGACCTGCTGATCGAGCCACACCCATGGGCAGTAGTATTGTCTGCAAATGTATTAAGAATTTCACCTACAGTTGCTTTACACTTTGTCTCTTCTTCTTTCATGATTTTGTCTCTTTCAGTTTGTTTTCTGTAATGTTAAGAATGTCGATGTTTTGACATTTGTTTCTTCATTCTTATATGTAATATGATATACTGTATAATGTAACTGTTTGATCACACATCATCTGGTTTCTTAGCTTGGAACATTACTTGCAATGCAACTTATGTATAATATTGCCCACTTTGTGATTATTTTCATTGCACAAGAGTATTTGAGTAGAACTAAATCCTATTATAATAGACTATCCTAATAAAGGAATGTTATTTGATAACTTGTTGTAAGCACCTAGCATTAATTCAGTTTGAGGCGATGTCACATCTGAGTTAATCAAGTATATTTTGCTAAAATCCTGACGTCAATTTCCATCACTAAGTTGTTAATATTTAATGGTTTCAAACATACTTATCTTCACGTGTAATGGAAACAGAATCAATTCATTTATTTTCAACGATTTCTAGTATGCAAACATTGTTCGAATAGAATTTGGGGAATCTTAATTACTATTTGTGGCAATCAATTTCCGAAACTTTCTTAGCATTGAAAATAAAATAGAAGGAAAGAAATGAAACCATTATGATTAAGAATAGACTTTTAAATGGTACAACGTCACTATATTTGCAATTTACTGCTGTGTAATTGCATATTTCTTCTTAGACCTCTTTCTTCATTGTTCTACTATATTGATTCGGCCAGTTGTACTAAGTGTATATTGAGGGAGTGTTTAGGTTTGTTCATGAATAAAACATACTTTAAGTGCAGCAAATTAATTGTTACATTTTAGTATACATCTATGTGTAATCTGAAACCATGAATTGATTATCCTTTGTATGATAAAAGCCGGAATTGCTCCTAATTGCTGACTTATACAATAACACTTCTACCTTTCCTAAATTTTGTCACTTAATTTTGTTGATGGTATTGCTGACAATTGATTTGAGGGGGCATTGAATGTTATATCCGATTTTATGTAAAAAATAAGCAAGTTAATTGCATATTTTAACCTATTTTTACATTGACAAACTTTATGAGCACATGTGCCCTAAAAGTTTTTTTCATAATAAAGGTTTAGTAGACTTTTTTTAGTTAAAAATCTATAGAGGTTATTTAGTGAAATGAATTGAATATGTGAATGCAGATGTGTAACATGTGAACAGATATGTAACATGTGAACAGATGTGTAACATTTGAACAGATGTGTAACATTTGAACAGTTGTGTAACATGTGAACAGATGTGTAACATTTGAACAGATGTGTAACATTTGAACAGTTGTTAATAATTGTTTGTTCCAGCTTTTACCACTGTATGTGATGAAGATCTCCACCTGGTTGCCAGGGCTACCTGGATTGTTTGTGGCGTGTCTCTTCAGCGGAGCACTAAGGTTTGTTGTGTGTCATGAGGTCTGTGATATACTTTCATACATCACAAAAGATAATTCCAATATAAGTGAGAGTTGTTTTAAAATTAGAGGCATCAATGTTTTGGGTCACCCTGCATTCTGATTTTCCTCGTTTCCTCTGATTCCTCAGCACTGGTTTTTATTCTTTGTTTATTCTAATACTAGTAAAAGGTATTTACTAAAGGTAACATCATGATAAACACCAAAAGGCAAATACTGTCACATGTAATAAAATTAATCTTTAATTTCTTTCAGCACTGTTTCTTCAGGTCTTAATTCCCTCTCAGCTGTAGCTTTAACTGATCTCATCCGTGCATACTGGTTCAAAGACATGACAGAAGCAAGGGCAACACTAGTTGGGAAAATAGTTGGTATGTACATTGTACTGATATGTATACATATATTATTTGTACATAAAGTATCAGTATTATCTCACAGTTTTCTTTTTTTGTGTTGATATGTTGTAACTTGTGACTTGTCAATATAATATAATTATATTGGTTTCATTTTCAAGTAAAATGGTCTCATTTCTCTGTTTTTAGTTATCACATATGGTTTAGTGATGATAGCATTAACATTTGTGGCTTCACAGCTTGGAGGAGTATTACAGGTGAGGCCTATACATGCATTTAGATACTAAAGGTAAATTAATGACAGTTATAGCATGTCATTGGCATAACATACATAAAATTCTTTATGACAATGAGTTTAATAGTGATTTAAGTTAAAACACAATTTTGGAATATGTTATTTTTACATTTTCATACAATTGACAAGATTATTAATGCTCTAATATTTAGTTGATGTAATAAACTATTTTTTCATCGTAATATCAAAGCACGACCATACAATTAAAAAACAGATTGAACTTGGAATTGAGCCACCAACCTACCATGTTGTGAGCAAGGATTCTGGGGAGGAGTACAAGGACATGTTTCTCAGGAAAATTTGATGGAATGATGATGGCATTTGCAAGGTCTGAGTGTATCTGACTTGTCCCCAGTGTCATGCAAAGTTTACAGTTGTGAACTGGGAATTTAAAAAAAACCTCTTAAACCAATCATTGAAAACATTCTGTAAAAATACACGGTATTTTATGTAATGTTGACTGATTGACAACAATTTAATGCGAAAAGTATATAGAAATATTTTGTATAACTGTTTTTGTTAACATTTTTAGTTTTTTTGGTGCAACTGTTTTTGCTCCTTTCTACCAATTCTTGAGAATGAAATAAAATATCTTTCCGAACCTTGTTGGAACAAAATAGCATATACAACATGTTTTTAGAGATCTCAATAGTATAGTTATACAAAGGAATTTTTGGTTGATTTTAAAAAAGTATTCAAAAAGTTAAAACAAAATCCCCCCAAAATAGATAAAAATCAAGATAAACCTTTTATTTCATTAACAAGATACTTTTTTAAAATCAACCAAAAATTCCTTTGTACAATTACAATATTGAGAGACCTAAACATGTTGTGTTTATGTCGTTTTGTTCCAGTGAGGTTCGGAAAGATGTTTCATTTCACTCTGGAAACATGATACCAAGAACAAAACAAGTGTTTGATGTGTTTTCTAAAACAATATAGATGAAAGTATATATATATTTTTCAAATTATATTGTTACCATTCAAAAGATCACCATTAAATTGACACTGTGTAAAATTTTCAGAATTTTTTGATGACTGGTTTAAGAGAAACGTGTGTTCAAAAAGTTCGCCATATCGATACCCATCCTTTGGGAAAAATGAGGGGTTATATAATCTTTGAAAAATCAACCTGTCTGTTTCAGGCTGCCCTTGCATTGTTTGGTATGATTGGGGGTCCTCTCTTGGGACTTTTCTCATTGGGGATGTTTTTCCCTTGGGCTAACTGGAAGGTGAGTTTAGCACGTTAGATGTTTAGCAAGAGGTGTTTAGTAGAGGGGGAGGGGGCCACAAGGGTTTGTAACTATACTAAGAAGCCATCACAGAAAAAGTGAAGTCTTTATATTTTCTCACAGACTTTTTTAATTGTCAGTGTTTTGTCATGCTGTAACGAAATAGTACACTTGATAACCAGGCAGAAGGCAACAAAATTGTATCTTTACAGAATTTAAATTCTGTACAGGCTATTACAAATCTGTGTTATCTTTATTTTAGGGAGCATATGCAGGTCTATTCACTGGGTTGTTTCTCTCATTCTGGATAGGTATAGGCGCACAAGTTGACAAGCCTGTCATCCCTAAACTGCCAGTCTCAACCACTGGTTGTCCAGTGTTGAATGCAACATCACTTAGTACCAATATGAGTGTATTAGCAACTGCATCTGATGATTTCATGTAAGTTATTAAGTCACCCCAAAAAAGGTATGAACTATTGTTACAGCCATTGTGACCAGAATTCAACTGTTGTTACAGCCATTGTGACCAGAATTCAACTATTGTTACAGCCATTGTGACCAGGATTCAACTGTTGTTACAGCCATTGTGACCAGAATTCAACTGTTGTTACAGCCATTGTGACCAGAATTCAACTATTGTTACAGCCATTGTGACCAGAATTCAACTGTTGTTACAGCCATTGTGACAGGAATTCAACTATTGTTACAGCCATTGTGACCAGAATTCAACTGTTGTTACAGCCATTGTGACAGGAATTCAACTATTGTTACAGCCATTGTGACCAGAATTCAACTGTTGTTACAGCCATTGTGACAGGAATTCAACTATTGTTACAGCCATTGTGACAGGAATTCAACTGTTGTTACAGCCATTGTGACAGGAATGGTAGCATTTTGCAACATTGAAACTTGATTTACCTTTCCAAAGGTGTATATTTGTAGGAAATAACTCTGAGATTTCTAGTTGGCCTAGATCTCGACTAAGATACTTATAATTAACAATAAACTGTACCTTATTAGGGGGTGGGCACTAAATACAGTGATTATGGTAAAGGTGTATTGTAAGTATAAAAAGTATAACTTAGATCAAAATTTTTCCTAAATCCCCATAAACTACATGTAGGTCACTTACCCTTAATATTCAAGTTGATTTATCTTGATTGCTGAGGAAAGTTCGATGTGTTTAATAAAAGATAAAAACAGGTGTCAAGTATATCCAACAAATCACAACATACTTTTACTTTTGATCACTGCCCCAGTCATATTGACTAATATAGTTCAACAGAGAATACGCTAATTGGAGATTCACCCCAAAACCATAATGTGTTCCATCAAAGCTAAATGTATGAGTTGTAAGTAGACTTGTGTTGAATGTAGGAATGCCATAACTTGCAAAGAGCTTCCTCATTCTGTTGGAGTAAATCATTACATCTTTAGGTCCTTGGTTATTGTCCAAATAGACAAGACGTTTCCTAAGTCCGGGGAGGGGGGGGAGTCATAAACAGCATTCTTGATCTTGGAACAGCGTTTCGCCTGAAGATACTTATATCCAAAGCCTTTAGATATTTTTCTAAATCTGGCTTAAATGAGCTCAAATTAAATTGATTGTGGTAACCAATCGAGAATAGCAAAATATGATTCCTTCGTTTTCGAATCAGGCTAATAGATTTTGGCAATCTTGCTGCACTGAAGTCCTCTTCAAATATCAGTCGGATTGTTGAATTACAAACGATTCGGCTTCTATCAATCTTTTTGCGACATTTCACCCCTTCAAACTGTCCATGATATTTACAGTTTTCCCTGTCACCTGAAATTTTTATATATTTTTTAGTATTTTTTTCACCGCAACATATGCCTGGTCTTCTTGCAGCATGATTTTATAGTGTAAGAAATTATGAAATAAATTGAATTGAAATCAAATTGAAATATTTCAGTTTTCACACAGGATATGATTTTCCGATCATGAAATACTATTTTTGGAAGTTGAGAAATCATATATCAGAAGTTGATTTCACGGAGATAAACTATATGGCAATCACGGGTCTGCATTCAATCTAGTTAAAGGTCCATGATACAATGTAGCCAAAATTAAACTTTTATTGGTCTTTAGCAGATAATAAAAAGGAGATCATTATCATATTTGATTAGATTGAAAATCACATATTTTAAAATCAAATTTGCCTTTGCATTTGGAGTTCATCTCCTTTTTGATTGCCAAATCAAGACATTCATTGCCATAAGAATTAATTCTGCAAATAATGAAATATTGTTTCTCAGGCAAATTACATCGTGGCTCGTATGAGGTTGTACAAGGTATCCTTCCCTCAGTGTGCTCTGTACAACATTTCAAGTCCCTTAATTGCTTGTGATTACAAGGCCTGTTAGAAACCGTAATTTCTGACCCATGTACTTGCCTGAAGGGGGCCTGCAGTGAGACCCGAACTGCTTGTAATTTCCGACCAACTATTGCCTGCATGGGGATCGTAATGATTATATGTATTTATATGATGGAACAGTATAAAGCTAGAAAACAAATTGTCAAGTTTAGCAATGATAGTCACCATATTAAGAGTAAGTTTGTTAAGTTAGTTAGATAATTAGCATATGTAAGGAAGGTAAATTAGAAAATAGCAAGCTTTGAAAGATGAGAAATGTATGTGGTAAGTTAATATCGAAAACTGAAGTGATCAAAAGTGAATTAATTTTCTTTTCGTATTTGAAAAAGAGTGAAATTAAGAGCCTCTTACATGCTCGTATTGGCCTTGAAATTATAAGTATGGGCCTCTGTGCTCTTTTTTGCCTGTAATGACTCATAATTTTCGAGCCTTGTTCAAGCTTGTACGGGGCCTGATATAATTTGCCTGTGTACTTAGGAATGGTACATGTCATCAAGACAATATAAGCACCATATTTAGCATGTAACATGTAAATTATTAAATTTTCAATACAAACTTTGGAATTATTTTCTGTAACATAACAGTACCTGGATTAGTATTAGGTTGCAATGCTCCATCTTTAAGATTTCCATTGAAAAGTATCAGGAGTGCCTCAAAGAAGTGTCTCACCAAAGAATCCCCCACAAATATAATACTTTCACATTCCTTCGAGCTACATGTAGCATTTCACATGCGGACACTGAGTCAAAATGTGTCATTGGACAATGTTTTGAGATAGGATGCCAGGCATATTTTTCTGCATGAAGCCTTTGTCTAAGGTCTAAACACCCCTCACACTGACACTGTTCTATTGTTCTATTTTGACACTGATTTTCAAAACAGCATGGTTTGTGAGAACTGGGGTGACAAAGTGCACGATAGACATGATGCTTCCTGATTTTTGTCTCCCTGTTTCCACATTGGCCATTTGGTAATGTCATTGTAGCTTCATTGGGCATGTTAATCATTTGTTTCATTTCCTCATTCACATTATCATTTACAATCCATCCACCATTTGCCAAGCAGTCAATATATTCCTGTTCCATATGTACATCAACATGATTGAAATGGTTCATCTTATTCATCAGAAAAGACTGCTGTGTCTGTTTAATTATTCCATTGGCCATCAAAAAGCTATGGATTGTATAAAAGAACAAAACAACACAGCACGGTAATATGAAAATTACCCAATGTTGAAAAAACTTCATGCACCCCATCTCCTCCGATGCTCTGCTAAAAGTCAAGTGTGGCTAAAATATGAAATTGCGTGAAAGATAGAATGTTGACAATGAAACGAATGGAAAACCTGTTACTAGTGTAGTGTCAAACTGACAAGTGTTTATCTTATAAAACTAATTATTTTGTATTCAATGGTAAGCAGCTGAGATGTTGTATGAGATTTGAAGGCCAGTTTTAGCATGCAATGTCATTTGCATCATTGGTTGATTATTGCCAAACCACTGCATTTCATCCTCCGATCACAGAGCTTCAATATCCAGAATATATTCTTTCTCTATACCCCCTGCGATAAGCAGTTACCATTTCCCCAATTAAGAACTCACATTCTGATTGGCTGTCGCAACACTGCGACAGAAATCATGCATACATGCACGGGTTTCGTGCTATTTTGCAAAGCAACACTAAGAAACCCACACAATTTATTTTTTTACTCATGTGTTTCACTATACCAAAGAAAATTACTTACTCCATGCAATGGAGTAAGCATGGAGTAAGTAATTTTTACAGTATTTAAACTTTACAGTATTTACAGTATTTAAACTTTATCGTTTTACCTTAACTTAAATGACAATCATGACGGTTTTATGATTTATAATGTGTTTTAAAACAACAAATGCTGTTCTTAACTAAATTCATAATGTACATGTTTAATTGTTTAAAACATAGCCTGTCGTATTGAAATAAACAAATATATTTTAACATGACTTTTAAGTTTGTTTTTACGTTTGTTTTATAATTGCATGCAACACTTGAATAAGATAAACAAAACATATTTAAAAATACTGTATACTAGTATATTTTATTCTTCATTCACCTTACACATAAAAAAATTGTGATGTCCAATTTTAAATTCGCGGGATCATGAATTCGCGATTTTAAACCCACGCGAATATACGCGAATTCAAGATGATCGTGAATTCAACATGTTTTACAGTAAATGCCTATTGTTTTCAAGATATGAGAAACATTTATGTTGTAATGGCGATAGGAAACAATTATGTTTTGTAAACATATACTGATTTTTAAATCATTTTTTTCTTTTGTTTGCTTATAGATATCAAGGAAATAAATGGTCATTTTTCTTATGTAATAGTAATGATGTGCAGCTCTCAATTTGTATAATTTATTTAGAAATTACTTTGCATACTATAGATTTTGTTATTTTACATTCTTATTTTGACTAAATACAAGATTTGCTATGCTACGATGTTGCTGTTGTTGGCAATTGTCCCCCTGGCTCAATGCAACAATGTTTACTCTACTTTTGTGAATTTAATATGGAAAGCAGTGACATAATGAGATGCACTCTATACATAGTGTAGTGTATGTATAGTGAATGTAAATGCATGTATCACAAAAATGTGCTTGTTGTTTCAGAGAGTCTACAGGTCCCAAGATAAGTGATCTCTACACACTGTCCTACATGTGGTACAGTGGTAATGCTGTTATAACTGTTGTGGTGGTGGGGATAATTGTAAGCCTTATAACAGGTAGGAGTCCTTCACGTAATATGCTAAACAAAGTAAGAAAAAATGAGGGACTAGAGAATTGATGTCTTAAAAACAAGAAGATCAATCTGAAGTCAAATGTAATTATCAGTCTGCTGTTAGTTATTATGGAGAGCATTGGAGTATAATTGAGTCCTTTACAGTGTATGTGCAGATTATCTCTTGTTTGCAGTTGCTGATAGTGTTGCTACATCTCAAGGAATTATTTTAATGATTTGTGTAATTTTGTACACCCACCTGTGTGTTTGTGTAATACTTTTTATCGTACCTAAACGTACAATATTGTTGTCAGCTTGATGGATGGTAGGAGGCGTCTCACTTTCTTGTCATCATGATTCCAGGAAAATCACTTGACGGATTTACTTCAAATTTTCACACATGTTACATGGTAAGAAGTTGTAGAGCTGATTGACTTTTGGGCGGCCATCTTGCATTCTGGTAGCCATCTTGGAAGTTTTTAGATGAATCTTGTCATTGTGATTCCAGGAAAATGATTCCAGGAAAACTACTTGACGGATTTCATTCAAATTTTCACACATGTTACATGGTAAGAAGTTGTAGAGCTGATTAACTTTTTGTTGGCCATCTTGCCTTCTGGTGGCCATCTTAGAAGTTTTTATTGGATAAATCTTGTCATCACCATTCCAGGAAAACCACTTATTGGATTTTCTTCAAATTTTTACACATGTTACATTAGAGGTGTCAAGTATTAACCGGTTAACCGGTTAACCGCCGATAATGCCTTGACCGGTCTGTGTTTTTAGGGGCGGTTAGTTGACCGTGTATAATTCTGTTATTTCCAGCGCTTATTTTGCATGCTAATCCGTTTGGTTTTATGGTGTCAGTTTCACGTAAGCTACTCATACATGTCATAAGTCCCATAACTCCTTACAAACATCCAATCAGCAACTTTAATCCCTGCCACATTGCTTTCCCGCGCTTACTTTGCATTTTAATCTGTTTGTTTTTCAAGCGTCAGTTTCATGTGAGCTATTCATACATGTGATAGGTCCGATAATTCCTTACAAATATCCAATCAGCAACTTTAATCCCTGCCACATTGCTTTCCCGCGCTTACTTACATAGAATAGAGTAAAGCTTGACGAACGAAAAAAATAAACGCCGATATATCATTTTTCCAATTTTTTTCAACTTTCAAGATCGAAGATGAAGATTTCATTTGAAATTATCAGTTCAAATTTCTCGCCGGTTAACCGACTTTAACCGGTAAAAACCCTCGGTTAACCGGTTAATGCTCAAGCGGTTAATTGACACCACTATGTTACATGGATAGAAGTTCTAGAACTGCTTAACTTTTTGGCGGCCATCTTGCTTTCTGGGTCATCAAGCCCACACCGCTATGTTTAAGGTACAATATTTTTCACCCTGTGCCTTGTTATGTAATAGTCACCCATGCATCTGTATACCAGTGTTTCATGTTATATAAGTCAATAGTTAATCAATACTGTACATTTTCCTTCTTTTAGGTAGGACTGACCCTAGCACTGTAGATCCTAGGCTAATCTTTTCTGTTGGAGACAAGTTGTTCTGGTTTCTTCCAGAAACTATGAAACACAAGCTTCGCTTTGGAGTTCCAAAGCTAGAGGTACTTGAATGTTTTATATGAAACATATAGCTGTTGTATCCAAAATGGTTGCATTCATTTAATTCTTGCCTTATTGGGGTATATTTAATTACTGTTTAAAACCTTCATCTTGGATATAAATCTGTTTTAAGAGAGGCATATGTTTTGTTGGCGAAAAGATAAAAATAATAGTAGAATAACTTCATTTCAAAGTGCAATATACTGAAATATTGCCATCAGAAATGAAGTTATTAGTATTATTACCACCGTTAATGACCAGGACTGAAACAGCAAGAAAATCTTACGATATCTAATTTTCCGGGGAAAATTGCTGGTAATCAATTGCATTCTTGACCAGCAATATTGACGGCCCCTATGACGTCACATATTGCTCAGGTCGATATAGTAAAATGAATGCTTTCTAAACTAGCACTAAAACCCCTAGAACTGGCCCGGCAAGGTGGTAATAATATGGCATAAAACAGAGGCATATGATGAAAACTTGTTTTCACATCTGTGCAAGATCATCCATTCTTGACTCCCTATAATAATGTTTCTGTTTGATTGACTCAAATTAAAAATTGTCAAAGCTTATCAAGAATGGATGAACTTCAACCTATATATTATAGGATTACCTTCCAGTGGTATATTATAGGAATACCTCTATTAATTTCAGCCGAATGACATTAATGACATGAAAAAGATTGACCAACCTAGTGCCAATGGTGCTGAAAATGAGGCCTTATTTGGTAGTGAAACACAGTCAGGTTTACCCAACCATAAAACCAGCCAAGACAATGTCAGTCATATATCAGCATCATCTAGCCACTCTCTACAATTAGAAACTAGTATGTAACTGATATTATGAATAAGAGGCTAGTATGTAACTGAAATTATGAATTAGAGACTAGTATGTAACTGATATTATGAATTAGAGACTAGTATGTAACTGATATTATGAATTAAAGACTAGTATGTAACTGATATTATGAATAAGAGGCTAGTATGTAACTGAAATTATGAATTAGAGACTAGTATGTAACTGATATTATGAATTAGAGACTAGTATGTAACTGATATTATGAATTAAAGACTAGTATGTAACTGATATTATGAATTAGAGGCTAGTATGTAACTGATATTATGAATTAAAGACTAGTATGTAACTGATATTATGAATTAGAGGCTAGTATGTAACATATTATGAATTGGAGACTTTTACGTAACTGATATTATGAATTAAAGACTAGTATGTAACTGATATTATGAATTAAAGACTAGTATGTAACTGATATTATGAATTAAAGACTAGTATGTAACTGATATTATGAATTTGAGGCTAGTATGTAACTGATATTATGAATTAAAGGCTAGTATGTAACTGATTTTATGAATTAGAGGCTAGTATGTACATGTAACTGATATTATGAATAAGAGACTTTTATGTAACTGATATTATGAATTAGAGACTTTTATGTAACTGATATTAAGAATTAGAGACTTTTACGTAACTGATATTATGAATTAGAGACTTGTAATTGTTGGATTACAACCTTTACAAGGATTACAATTAGCTTTGAAGAGTTGAATTGATTAGGATTAACACAGTATGCTATAGATTGATGGACTTACACATAATTGTGACACAAGAAAACATGACATATCAGATGTCATACTTCCAATGTGTCGCTAAAGGGATACATTGACATTGTCATAAACTATCAGGGTACTCTGTGTGCCAAACATTTAATTGTGAGCTGGATTCCCAGCTGGAAACACTAATTTTTGTGTAGTTTGCTGGTAAAGCCTGGGTCACATTTGCTTTACGAGGCTTCACAAAATTGATATAGAAAATCAACATCCTACTACTTAACCCTATACTTTATGCTGCATATTTCTCTGAAATTTGGGATGCTATGGCTGCCGTACGTTTGCCGTAGATCAAATGTGACTGAGGTATAAATACGCACAAGTTGTAACATTCAAACAGCATTCATATCATTGATGCCTATTACCTATTACTTTCTCATATGGGGTAACACTCAGGAAAACACATCTTGTCGTCTGTATTGACCGTGTAAAGTAATTGTATTTGAAACATGTATTGATTCTTATATATTATATCTAACATTTGTTACTTATATTTTCTTATTTGAATCTCATAATAAAATAATAATAATCAAAAAATGAGTTAATAGGTTATATATACCCTCTGTTCCACATACAAAGGCAGAACAGAGGGTATATATGCAATATAAAATGTGCCTATATATGTAGCCTAATATTATAGTTTTTGTATCTAATATAGCACTATATTCTGAAACTCTAAATGATATTTTACATTAACATGATGTATTATGTATGTATGTATTCTAAAGAACTTTATATTATGTGTGTTTTAGCGTGTAAGGTAAAATATTTTTATACATGGGTAGTGTTTTAAGATCGGCCCTCTTGTAGTACTAGTATAGTATATGTTGAAAGTAGATATTTTATGAAAACTTGCCTATAGGTGATATTATATTATATACATCATATGATTTCATATGCAAATGACAAGTCTCGATTTGGAGAATGAAGTTCCTCAGTCTACTGCACGTTACTTCTGCTTTGGACAATTTTGATATGTTTACATATTTAAATGTCCTCTTTTCAATATCCATAATTTAATTTTTTGGGTGTTATTTCTATATTTTTCATGAAAAATATTAGTTCTGAAGACTGATGAACTTCATTCTCCAAACTGAGACTTGTCTTTTTAGTCCATATGTCCCTTTCTTTTTATATCTTTAGTTATATTGAATGATAAATATAAAACCCATATAGAAATCCAAAATATTAAGTTGTTTTTTTAATACAGTAGAACCTGTATATCCGAACACCTGGCTAATCCGAACACCTTCCAATTTGAACACTTTTTTTCGGTCCCATTTTTTCATCTCATTGACTCCCATGTTAAAAAAACCTTGAAATCTGAACACCTCCTAATTATCCCATCGAACGAAGTTCGGAGGGATATAGGGAACGCCTCCGTCCATTTGTACGTACGTCCATCCGTCCGGGCAATAACTCAAATACCGTTGGCCCGATTTTGTTCATATTTTGTACACATATACCCAATGGAGGTAGAAGTTCTGCTCGAAAACCGATTTTCAAAATGGCCGCTCATTTAAAAATGGCGGCCATTTTAGTGCCGATTTTACCATTATTTAGGTACTGCATATAAAACTGTAATAGCAATATGTTTTAAATGTAAAAAAGTTATATAGGACATTGATTAAGCTAGAAATGTAAATATAGAAGATATACATGGCAGCCATCTTGAAAAATGGCTGCCTTTGCACGTCATTTTTCGATTTTTGCTGTAACTTGAAAAGTAGTAGAGCGATTTTGTTCATATTTGGTATGTGAATACTTTAAGCATGGCACAATGTCTAATGACATTTTTGGTAGTAGGCGGCCATTTTGAAAAATGGCCACCATTTTTACGTTTTTTACTATAACTTGAAAAGTATTGGAGCGATTTTGTTCATATTTGATATGTGAATACTCATGAGCCTAGCACACTGTCTCATGACACTTCACATAGTAAGTGGCCATTTTAAAAAATGGCTGTCTTCTTTACATTTTTTACTATAACTCGAAAAATATTGGAGCAATTTTGCTCATATTTGATATGTGAATACTTTAAGCATGGCACATTGTCTAATTAAACTTTGGGGAGTAGTCGGCCATTTTGAAAAATGGCCACCATTTTTATGTGTGTTATTTTACATTTTTATTATAACTCATAAAGTAATAGAGCAAAAAAGAAACAAAGGTGATTTTTAAATCTGTTGAACATGAAAATACTGAAAACTTTTACAACATTATGTCTTCATATAACCTTATTCCTGTAATATATAAAGCAACTAGAGTAACTTCTACTACAGCCACTCTCATAGATAACATCTTTACTAATGATTCTAAAGTTGACTTATGCGGAATTATATACAATGACATATCAGATCATTTCCCAATATTTGCTGTTTCCAATAAACCTGTTAACAAAACCACATTCATGAAAAGGTCTATTAGAAAATATACTGATGAAAGCATTTTAAGATTTAAAGAAATTCTTTCTAACGAATCTTGGATCGACATTACAAATTTTAATGATGCTAATGAATCTTATAATAAATTTGAGGAAAAACTATCAGAATTTTATGACGAATGTTTCCCATTAAAACAGATCACAATTAAACTATACAATAATAATCAAAAGCCATGGATTACGTCAGCCATACTTAAGTCAATTAGATATAAAAGCAAACTATACAAGAAATATCTTCGAAATCCCACAGATCAAAATAAAAAACAATATAAAACTTATGCAAATCAACTAAAAAGTACAATTAAATTATCTGAAAAGCAATATTATAATAACAAATTTAAACTGAATCAAGGCAACATAAAGGCAAATTGGCAAATAATTAATGAGATACTTCAAAGAAAGAATAAAAATAATAACATTCCAGACTTCTTCATTCAAAATAATGTGAAAATAACCAACAAGCAGGATATAGCTAATCAGTTTAATAATTTCTTTGTAAAAGTTGGAGAAAAATTAGCTGCCAAAATTCCAAAGTCAGATAAAAAACCTTTAGATTTTATGCAAACATTAGGTCAACAGGCTTCTTCAATTTTTTTAGACCCAGTTGATGTTAACGAACTACAAAAAATAATTTCTAATTTAAAACCTTCTGCTGCAGGTCATGATGATTTTAAACCTTTTATTATGAAAGAATGCGGTTTTGTTCTATATCAGCCTCTAATGCATATTTTTAATTTATCCATTTCAAACGGAGTTTTTCCGGACCAACTTAAAATTGCTAAAGTTATACCGATTTATAAAAAAGATGACAAACATTTTTTCACCAATTATCGGCCAATATCTGTATTACCTGTTTTTTCAAAAATTTTGGAAAAAATAATGCATAAAAGAATAACAAAGTTTATAGATATCATTGACATTTTGTATACTAATCAATTTGGATTTAGGGAAAAGAGATCAACTTTCATGGGTGTGTTAACATTTATTGAAAAGATCAGAAAATCTATCGATGATGGTGAATTTACAATAGGATTATTCATTGACTTTTCCAAAGCTTTCGATACAATAGATCATAACATACTATTTGACAAACTTCAATATTATGGTATACGTGGTGTTGCTCTTGACTGGATAAAAAGTTATTTTAAAAATAGATTTCAGCAAACTTTATATGAGGAAACAATCTCTAATCGTGAGTTTAACACTTGCGGTATTCCTCAAGGCTCAATTTTGGGACCCCTGTTTTTTATATTATATATTAATGATATTTATCTTTCTTCTCCGACACTATTTTTCGTCTTATTTGCAGATGATACTAATTTATTGATCAAAGGCAAAAATCTACATGACCTGACAGAAACTTTAAACACTGAACTCAAACATATTGAGGAATGGCTGGTCACAAACAAATTATCACTCAATGCTAATAAAACAAAATATATCATTTTTTCCTCAAGACAAAAAAGATTTAATGCAAATAATATAAAAATCTATCTAAATGACAAACAACTTGAACAAGTTGATCATATTAACTTTCTTGGAATAACAATAGATAACCATTTGAACTGGAAACGGCATATTGCTTCTGTTAATGCAAAAATTTCTAGGACAATTGGTATTTTATATAGAGTTAAACAACTGTTGAATATCAGCGGTTTTATGAGTATCTATTATTCACTTATATATTCCCATCTTATATACGAGGGGTGATCAATAAGTAATGGACGCTTTTTTACACAGATGCTTTTTATAGACCAATCCCTTCGATTTTCTTACCAGTGATTCATCATTCAATTATCTATCAGCC